TGGCCCTTTGATTGTTTAACAGATTATGAATAAATGTAAATGTATGGTGAAGTTAAAGGTGCATCAGTTAGGGACATTGCATGCAAATGAACTCAAGCTGTTGGATGAGAATCTGAATGCTGCAATCTATATATCTGAAAATAAATGCATCAAAGAATAAACTAGGTATATTTCATAGAGAAAGTGAACAGGTTCAAATCATATAATAAGTAGCAAAAAATAGAGAAAACACCATCTACCTTAATAATGTTTGTTGAAAGTGGGGGGAGGGGATATGTAGACAAATTTTAAATAATGCAATTGCTGGCAGACAACAAGTTATATTTTTGTATCCCTTTGAAATGCTATTGATTAAAAAACGAATTAGGAACAATTAGAAAGCAACTGTGAGATTCCTTTGACAATCATGATATTGGCATGGCTCCACTTTTTCTTTCTTTTTAATAATAAAAATAGAGGGGTGATACATGAATATTGAATGGATAGAAAAATAAATAACTAGAACAAAAAAGTGGTTTTATAATTCAGAGACAATGAGGATTGAGTAACAAAACAAATGTAGAGTTGAATGGGCTAAGAAAGAAGACAATGTTGACAATGTTGGGATTAAAAATCTCAAAAAGAAATAAGAATTTTAAAAACCAAAATTTAATCAATCTGTTTACATGTCATCAAGTTGTCACCTATTAGCAACCATATAATTTAGATCAGCAATGTCAAACTGCCGGCCGCGGGCCAGATGCGTCATGAGGAAACTGCGTCCACCCCATTGCCGGCAATGGGGAAAAAGTTCCGTAACGTCACGCAATGTCACAAGTTTGACATGTCTGATTTAGATATTCTCCATGATGATCTGTCTTCAGCTCTTCCAATAATGTAGTTATCACTACTTAACTGAATCTATCCACCTTGCTGCTGGTTGTTGTCTTCTTTTTCCTTCCATCTTTTTGTCTTAGAGCCTTATCCAGAGAGCTAGGCCTTCACATAATGTGTCTGAAGGAGAATAATATGTCTAAGTGACCTACATTCAGAGCCATATTTTTCTTGAGTTAGAGCTCTCTATTTCATCATGTACTGTTTGGATTGTGGCTTCCTGGCCTGTGCATAGATTTTGTAGGAGGACAATCAGATGCTCCGGAATTCCCATTTTCCTAAGCATATTTTGAACACCCTTTTCTAATAAATGAAGTACGCATTGACTTCTTTTTATTGTTTGCTTTCTCAATCATTTAGCAAGCATCACCAATAATATCCCATGTTCCTCGGTCTTTTCTGAAGCCAGCTTGAATATCCAGCATTTCCCTTTGTATGAAGAGTTCTAATCTGCATTGGATAACTCTATGCATAATTGTGCTAACATGTCAAATTAAGAATGCTGTATAGCAGTGGTTCTCAACCTTTCTAATGCCGCGACCCCATAATACAGTTCCCCATGTTGTGGTGACCCCCAACCATTTATACATCACCGGTTGCCAGGGCCGTGTCCAAAGAAAAGGGGGGGGGGAAATGGCGGACAGCCTTGTTTGGCGACCCCCGTGAAATGGTCGTTCGACCCCAAATGGGGTCCCGACCCACAGGTTGAGAACCACTGCTGTATAGTATAATAGTCTGCATTCTCTGTCATTTTTTTTCTTTTTTTGATACTGATGTTTCTATTAACCTCTCCCAATCTGTTGGCCACTCTGTCGTTTTCCAGATTTGCTGGCATACTTTGGTTAGAACCTTTACAGTTTTCTTCTTCCATTGCATTTTCTTTACATATTTGACAATTCCTGTAGCCTTCTGATTTCGAAATAACTAGACTGCAAATCTAACTTCACTTTTAGAATTACAGTTTCTTGTATACATGTCTTAATATTGACTTTTCTATTGTACAGAATTTCAGTATACTTTCATCTGTGATCTTTGAATCAATTATCTGTCCATTGGCAACCTTTAGCACACCAATTGAAAACTGGAATCGTCTTCTGAGTATTAAGATCTCATTTGGCTACTTTATCCTTAAATATGTTGTTGTAATATTCCTTCTTGTTTTTTATGTTTACTGATAGTTTCTGTTCTAAGATCTTTGGCATTCTTGGCTTTGGTTTCTCTTCTCTTCTTGGCAATTTCTGCCATTGGTTCTAACATTCAGTTTTCTTTCTTAGCCATGCCTTTGCTGTTATAACTGAGCTTTATGTAATTCTTGTTATTTTAGTTTCATAAATCATATGGTCTAACTACATTTTTCTCCTCAATATTTCTAACATTGGTATTCCAGTTTCCACCCATAAGTGGCACATCTTGCTTGCTTGAACTTGAGGATAAAGCAAAACAACCTCCCCTTTTGCTGCATCAGAAGATACAGCATGAACTTTATCAACATTGTTTCATGTTTTTTCTTGTTTGTGTGCTAAATGATAAACATTATGATCTTCTGACCAAAAGCATCCATTGCAACCCATTTCAATTTGCTGATGCTGGAGTGAAAGATGAAATTACTTTCACTGTGGTGATCATTCTCATATTCAGCTTCTTGCATTCCACATTCCCAATTATGCTTTTGCAGCTTTGAATTTTCTTTTCCTACAATGACATCTCTGGAAGCTTTATGAAGCTCTGTATCATAATTACCACTGGCATATTAAAAGCTCCTTAGCTCCTCCTAGTAGCATTTTCAGTGCCATCAGATCTGAGGGGCCCATCATCCAGTTCTATATCATCAATCATTTTATATTGCCTATCCATGTTTGTGTGTGTAATGTATAGAAGAGGTTTACCAGTGATTTCTTCTTTGCAGCATGAAATGATGCCTTTGCCAATATCACTAGAGTGATTATCCACCTCCAGCATTTTCCTGTATCACTCCTGCCCAATATAGAAGCTTGCTTGCTTTAGCTGGACAGCTGGGATTACCTTCATCACCTTGGGTGACCCTGCTGGCAGTATGTACTCTTAACATACACTCCCAGCTTGCTTCACATCTTCTCAAGATCACAGTCACTGCCACAATAAGACAGCAAAGAAGGACTATAGCCTTCTCAAAACAAATTTTTACTATTATCCCAAGGTCTCATTCAATATAACTGTTTTAGTGTAAATGGTTTAGATTTTTTTTGTGTCTTGAAGTCAGTGTCGACTCCTGGTAATTGCTTGGACAAGTATCTGCAAGGTTTTTTTTTTCAGAAGTGGCTTGCCATTGCCTCCTTCCTAGGCTGAGAATGACTGTTTGAAAAGTCACCCACGTGGCTTTGGCCTAAGCCACTAAGAAATGCCATCTGATGGACCATAGGAAGTGTACTTTCTCTGTCATGGTATCCCCTCAGAGATTCAGACTGCACCAATTTCATAAGCTTTTAAACAATCGTGGAAAATCTGTTTGCTTTCCCCAAAATTGGGGTGTGCTTATCTGGCATTCAGTGTCTGTTTTGGTAAGGAAATGTCTATTTTCCCCATTTCACTTTTTTTAATCTGTGCACCACCCTGCACTGGGTGGCCTTATAAATCTAAATTATAAATAAAGTGTATTGTTTTGAACCCTAATCCTGAGTTTACAACCATTCAGTGATCAAGTTACAATGCACTGAAAAAGTGGCTTATAACCAGTCCTCACACTTACAGCATACACAGCATCTTCACAGTAACATGATCAAAATGTTCACACTTGGCAACTGGTACATACCAGTATTTAGGATGGTTGCAGCATCCTGGGGTCATATGAGCTTATTTGCAACCTACCCAACTGGCTTCCAACAAGTAAGGTCAATGAGGGATGCCAGATTCAGTTAATGATATAATTCACTTAAGAATTGATTTGCTTAATAACTGGTGCAAAAAAAGGATGCAAAATTGGATATGACGCACTTAGCTGCCTTGCTTAACAACAGACATTCTGATCCAGTTGTGATAAGTTGAGGACTGCCTGTACTGAATATTCAATAAATATAGCAATAAATGTACAACATATATCAGGAAGCAATAATTGGCTCATGCTAGTGGGAGCGCTAGAACACTAAATTCTGTCATTAATTTCAACAGCACAATACTAAGATTATCTTTTAACACCACATAGATGTACCTATATTTTGAAATTAGTACAAACAAGTGCTGAATTCTCTGCTTTAGAAGTCTCCGACCATAGATCAGTTAAGAGAAAAATTATGTATCCATACCAGCTGGCCAATTAGTATTTTCAAAAACTGTATTTTGTTAGGTGACATGCTGCAGTGAAAAAAGCTAATGTGCCGCCTTCTTTTATGTCGACAGTAAAGATATCCGGGTGTTTCTTCCTTTGCCACTGAGCGTATGTAAGAAAGTTACAAGGTCGATTTGCTTCTATACGGCTGCTAAAGGCAAGGCCAAAATTCTTCGTCAAGTCCACACTTTTTGGTGAATTACACTGAAAGGTAAATAGGTACGATTCGTATTTTTCAAGAAATGCTTCTAATAATATATTTGCCTAAACCTTTCTACTGTGCAGGATGAGAATACCGCGAGAGACATCACGTGTCCCTCAGAAACCAATTGAAATTAAAGACACCATAGACTTACAATTGAGGACTACCGAAGAGTTCCCGCACTTGAAGGCCTATTCAGTAATTCGACCTTACAACAGAGTTTTATAAAAGCGATGCCCACGTAACAATTCTTCCATCAGCCTCTTACTAATTTATTTCTTTTATTGTGCTCAAAATGTGAAAAGCATACAAACCTACCTCGCATGGACTCGGAACACTCCTAAGCCGAATAGGAAGAACTTGCCGCCATCTTGGTGAAGGAAAGAAGATATCCGTCACCCACTAATATCCGAGGAGGAAGCTCCTCCTCCATCGTTGCCCTTTTTTTAAAATCACTATAGCAACCGGAAGAGGAAACGTGTTGGCAGGAAGGTAGCGCACGCGCTTTTGTTACCAGCAGCCTTGACGTTTTTTGTCGCGCGCGAAGCCGTGAAAGGCTTTTCAGGGGGGCGGAGAAATGATTTTGCCTCGTGAGCTGAGTGGAGATGCGTTTGTGAAGAGAGGCAAGCATGCGCATGCGTTGCGGGACCCTGTGAGGTGGTGGGGCGGGTTCGGAGATTCCTGCGGCGGCGGTGGAGACTTTGGGGCGGCTCCCAGGTGCGGCACCTTCTGTTGTGCGGTTTCTCCTAAACTAGGTAACTTGCAGGGATGTAGGGTGTTGACGGTGGCTGCAGTTTTTTATTCTGAGGGAAGCGGGGACCGTTCCTGCTTTTTCTAAGCAGACGCCTTATTTCGGCGGGATGATCTGCCCGTCCTACCCCCTAGTTCGCATTCCCTCAGCCCCCCCCCCTTCCCCATTCTCTAAAGCCGCCGTTCTTGCCGTACCCGGGTGTGCAGTAAAGAAAAAGAGGTGGAGGGAAGGGAGGCCGTGGTGTAACGGGCGTTATTTCGTTTACCAAATAGCGAGTAGCAGTGCATTCCGGAGTTTTCAGGGGACTGTTAGGAAACGGATCCCGCCTCTCAAAAAGTATAATAAGAAAAAGTCGCGGGGGAGGAGGGGAACGATTTGAATATACTTTCCTCTGGTCCATCTTAGACTCCAACAAAGTGAGGCTGGGTGTTGAAAGAAAAAGATACTCTCGGGTGCATGACTGGAGGACCCTCCCACCCTGTCTTGAGAAATGTTAAAGGATTCCGATGAATCGGATTTTGGTCTATTGTTCTTCTCACCCCCCCCCCCCGCCACAGTGATGATAGGTTGGATTCCATACATCTAAAAGTCACCAGAAATGCAAAAGAGTCCTGAAGAAAAGGCAAAGAGCCAAAGACTTTAAAATGCGTGGGGAGGAGAGGAAGCTCGGTATAAATGACATTCTCGGCTTCATGTTCGGGAGTTTACCTTTTGGAGGAGAAGGAAAGATACCGGTTCTCTTTCCGTACTTTGGAGATCTTGTTGATTACCTAGGTCATTCCTAAGGGGAGAAATCTTGATTATATTTATTTTACAGCTTAGGGCATCTTTCTTTTCCAGCATTTGAAAACATCAATGCCATTCTCACAGATCACCCAAAATTAATTTCCAACAGTAATAATACTGTGTCAGGATTTTCTCTTTCCCCATTTATTACTTTTGTGCTGGGTATCCTGGCACTTAAGAAAAATTCTCTGTAGCAGAGTATAGTTTCTGTATCTGGCACTGGACTATGTTGTTTCCCGCATTCCAGATTTTTTGAAGGAAGAAAATCACCTCTCAAAGGCTTCCTTTGTCCGTTTTGTTGTATAGGAACCCTTTGTCAGATGATTTCTTCTCTGGCTCTTTGTAAAGAAATCTAGAATGACTGATTGTATTCAAACTGATTTTCACAAAGGTTCATATCTTAATTTTACTTCCTCAATTTTTTATTAAATACTTTTCTTTTGAACAATTAGTAATGGTAGATTTGGCACTTAAGGATATATACTGAAAATCTGTCTCTTTAATTACTGGCATCCTTTTTGTTCTTTGTTTTTCAGTTTAAAGAACTGATATGTAATGTTACTCATTTTTAAAATATATATATATATACTATAACATTTGAGTTCTAATTCTATCAAAATGGATCTGCATCTGCTATGCCTTTTGTAGTCCTGTTTTTGTTCTCTTTAAATTCCTTGAAATTAACTTTTTCTCTCTATAAATGCATTATGCGTGATATATTGTTCATCCTGTTTTTTTCCTAGCAATTTTTGTATTTTTCTCATCCAGAGCCTTCATCATCACACCCAACATCATTTTTAATAAATATTTCCCATCAATTCCATATGTTTCTGTAACACTTTGCAACATATAGTAATTCTGCTTCAGGCAGGTTAATTATATATATATATCCATTCATTCTGCTAGGTGATTAATCTGCTTTCTAGTTTTTAGTATAGTACTTAATACTGCCTTTTGCTATTGTTTTGTTTATAGTTTTCACTTTTTTCCATGTACATTTTTTCTCAAGATCCTCTCTTGACCCTACAAGAAATAGTCTTTTCAGAAACTCTAACCACATTTGTTATTTCACTTGTTCACTCAGTTTTTGTTATAAAAAATCAAGTCAGTAAACTTTTAGATAGTACTAATTTCTTTGCTCTATGTACACATGAATAGACTTATGTTCTATGGATTCAAAATATATTCCTTTATGCAGATACTCAAATAGTCACAATTCTCATTCTCCCTTTGATCAGAGTGGCCCAGTCATTTTTTTCTGTACTCTTTCATTTCATTTCCCCTGCCCCACATCCATTTTTGTCATGTAACCATTTATTTCCCCTGTATAATATAAAATAAAAGACAACTCTGGTTCTGCAAATATTACCACTGGATTCCTGCATTAATACACACCCAGAACAACCTACGGTAGATGACATCAATACATATTTCTCCTTTCATAATTAAACTTACCTCATTAGCTCTACTGAATGAAGTCACACCACCTTCATTCAGTTCTATTGCATCCTTCTTTGTCATATTTTGATAATCATGCAAGAAATACATATTCTTTACTATTTACTTTTCTTACATTCATAGTCTTTTTGGTCTTCATATGCTGGCCCTATCCCTTGTCTTGGGATAGTAGTTTGTAAGTTACTGCTACCATCACCTGGCATTCTTCATCTAACCTTCACTATGAGAGATGGGGCTCTGTGCTGCCATTCTGGTGATTAAAAGTAAAAAATAATAAGAAAAAATGCAACTTACTGATCGTGTCACTAGAGCATTCATGGGAGATAGACCGGTCTTACAAGTTAAAATGAAGCTTTATATAAAACATGAAAAAATATTTCCTTTTTAAATATTCGAACTGCACTCTTTCTGTAGGGAGGGTGTTCAAGTACATAGTTGCAGGATCCAATCTGGTCAGTTACCATGGTCAGAAGTTTAGTCTTCCAAGCTTTCAGGCTTGTGCTAGAACCCATCTATAAGGAACTTCTCTCTAGAAGCTTGGGGACACATACTGCTAGAGAGAAGTTCCTGAAGATGGGCTCCAGCACAGGTCCAAAAGCTTGGAAGACTAAATCTCTGATCCTGGTGACCAACCCAGATTGGATTCTGCAACATTATCCCGGGACACACATATTCACCTTCATTCATAAACACAGAGCTGTTCAGAAAAGATCTGTAGTTTGACTTTTAGAAAATTAGAAAATAAAATGTAATGCTACCAGAAAATCACAAGATGTCACAGGTCTATTACAAATATAGCATTAATGCTAAGAAAGAAAGAGAAAAGGAAGGAAGGGAAGGGAAGGGAAGGGAAGGGAAGGGAAAGGATATAGAGTTTATAGATCTTGAGATCTGCTTCAGGTCTAAAATAAACACAATATCCTAATTTTTACAGAGAAATAAATACAATTTATACCACACAGAAAGAAAATATCTAAAACAATTTCTGCTAGGCTTTGTTTTCTTTTTTTTCCAGAAATAATGTTATCTGAAACATTATTCTGTTTCAGTTTTCCTGAACTTCCTGCAAATTTCAGTAAGTTAATTTTAGGTTTGTTGGGAAGTTTCCCAGCCTCAGTTCACAGCTTCTGCAGTTCTGATTATAGATTTGAAACCAGTTTTTTTCCCCTTTATCCAAGAGAGTGATGGGCTAGAATAATCTAATTTGTATATTTTAATTTACTAACAAATGAATCTTAGAATTCACTATCTGATTACTATACAAACATAATTTGATCATAAGACATACAGTAGGATCTGTTCTAACAAATAATATATTATTTTGGGTTTGTTTTTTTAGTTTGTACGAATCTACTGAAACATGTCTAAGGTAAGGAGTGTCTTTGTTAATGAGTATTTGTTGATTTCTACATATAATAGACAATTTGTATACATAAATTGTAGCTTATACTCTATAGTTCATTATTTTAGAGCATGTGAATTGAATTAATATGAGATAGACTTTTATAATTAATAGATTAAATATTAATATTTATATTAAATACTTAAAAACTAATTTTTCATCTTGTGGCTACTCATGTATTCATGTATGCATTCATTTAATATTGCTACAATCTATACTAGTTCTATATATTATACTGGCAATAAAAGAAATATATTTGCTCTTGTGGTAAGCAAAAAACCTCTAAAGAATATATGGTTTTTAAATTAGCTTTACAGGTGATACATTTTTAAAACAATAAGATTAATATGCTAGTTAAGATTATTTAATAATGGTTGAATTTCTTAAGGATTGATTGTTAGGAAACAAAGATCAGAAAATAAATGGTATTTAAATCCTCACATTTTTGCATTTGATATTTTTAATACAATTCCAATTAAAATGCTTTTATTCATTGAATCTGCATTGGGAAGCAGTTGAGCCAGATCATTAATTTTAAGAGTATCAGGCAAAAAGTATCAGGACCATTGGTGGCTCAGAAAGATTTATTGTTCATGCCTATGCACAAAAATCTGATCAACTAATGGTTAACACTAAATTGGTGGTAGATAAGAGCCAACAGAATTCAGGGGGTCTGGATTTCGATCTCTTGTGGCCACTGAAGGACTCTAAACTGATGATGCATTTAACTCTACCCTCTAGCTCTGCCTGCTCTTCTACAAAAAGCTAACTTTTCTTAAGGATAATAAATTCACTACTTTTTTGTATCCCTGCATTTAAGATATAATTTGTTTATATTGTGTAATAAAAATAGACACATTTCAGAAATGTCAAGACTAAACTGTTTTTATCAAGTTAGTCAAAATCTAAAATCATGTTTCTATTATACTTAAATATTTCCTAGGAAATGATTCACAGTATGCTCTATTTTCAGAAATCAATATGAAATAAATGGAACATGAGATTTCTTCTAATAGCTTGTTATTAATTACTAATTCTAAACCAATTTATTGAACTATACTTTTCAAATAACACCTAGTCATTTTAAATTTAGGGAATATAAGGACATCTGTAACTTTAACTATTTTCTCAATAATTTTAAAAACATAATTATAAAATTTTATTTAAATATAGTATTCTATTTTTTTTCAGCAACAGCCTGCTGAAAAGTTTGCAAATCCAGAAACCCCTGGTTATGTTGGATTTGCAAACCTTCCAAACCAGGTTCATCGGAAGTCTGTGAAAAAAGGCTTTGAATTTACCCTTATGGTAGTTGGTAAGATTATTAATTTTTTAAATTGATATATGCACTATTACCTTTCAAGGTGCCAGTTCAATTGTAGTAAAATGTACTCTTAATTTGTAAAAATTACTTGCGGTATATTCTGTTTAATCGATGCATCAGTATTTTAGAATGATAAATTTTTCAAAGAACCGAGTCATAGAGTCTGTTTTATAAAGAATTCATCATATGGTGTATAAATAATTGATCATTCAGAAATTTAGATCCATAACCAAAAAGGTATTTAGTTTTAAAATTCCTAAATCTGAATACTAAATATTGGCTTCAGTGCAGAATTTCAATGAGTTATAATAGTCCATTCAAATAATTAAGGTAATCTTTTTATGATTAAGTTTGTTTCTAACTTTATTTTATATTGTTTAATAGGTGAATCTGGATTGGGAAAATCTACTTTAATAAACAGCTTGTTCTTAACAGATCTCTACCCAGAAAGGATAATCCCAGGAGCAGCTGGTAAGATTAACTTTGTCCTTTCAGTACAGTCTTATTTTATTGGCTCTTAACATTGCAGTAGAAAAATTAAATAATGAAAACTTTTGTTGTGTGATGTGTTTGGAGGAGTGTAGTTTTTAGAAATCGTTTATCCATTGAATTTTTATTAATTTTCTCTATACAATTACAAATGTATTCATTGTAAACCAGGCATGTTAAACTGCCAGCCCGCAGGCCAGATGCGTCACACCGAGACCGCGCCCATCCCGTTGCCGGCAATGGGGAAAAAGTAACGTCACGAGTTTGACATGCCTGTTGTAAACCATCTTCCTTCAAAAAAAATGTTTATAATTCTTTAATAAAAAGTATAGAAAACAGAATATATTGCAATAATTTGGTGAAATCTGCCACCTGATCTACATCTTGCAGTACAAGTCTTGATCTTTTTGCTATTTCAGTTGTAGGGTGTTTTTCTTTTTATCAGTATTGGATTATTAGAAAATCATTCAGCTCAAACCATGCTCTTGTCCAAATCAAATAAGTTTGTCAACTGTGGGGTAATATCCATATTTTTGAATTAGATTGCCTTGGAACATTTCAGCTTTATAATTTTAGGGCATAATTTATAATTGACAATATATATTGGGTTGCAGCATCATAACTGATTTGTCTGTGAGGTATATCTTAATCAGCTATCTACTGAGCGTAATTGTTAATTCCTGATCCTGCCATAAAGGCTCAATGTCTTGAAATCCAGTTTTGTTCTTTTCCTAGAAAAAATTGAAAGAACTGTACAGATTGAGGCCTCAACAGTTGAAATTGAGGAAAGAGGTGTAAAGCTCCGTCTGACTGTAGTAGATACACCAGGATATGGTGATGCTATTAATTGCCGGGATTGGTATGTATTCAGTAGATGTATTAAAATATTTAAATAGAATATAATAATATAAATAGAGTTATATTGTTTATTATTCTTAGCTTTCATGTTAAGAATTGCTAAATTTAATTTCATATTTCATATGTTTTTATGTAAAGCTCTGGAATCAGTTTTTCTTGAAATCTGTCCTCCCTGCTCTGTGAGTAGTGTTTTGGTATTGCATATTGCAGTATAATCTGACTAAATAAATCCTACTTCTGTTTTTGTTTTGTCAGCTCCAGTCCTGCCCTATGGGTTCTTTTTAAGGTCTCTTCTATTATACAATTCAATGTGTAATTCTTACATTCTTTAATTTCTTTGCATATGGATGCATAGTCTCCTCAGATAAGTGATGATTAAACAATAACTGCAGTCTGGTGAAAGGTATATATTGCAGTATCTATCACTGCTTGTATTTATTTCATCAAGGAGTAATGCAATATGAAAGAAGAAGAAAAAAATTGCCCAGAGGAGCTTCACTTGTTAGTTATTTGAGAGACAGTTTGGTCTAATGGTTATAGCACCAGGCTAGAAACCAGGAGACTGACTTCTAAATGCCACCATTGGACCAGTCACACTCTTTCAGCCCTTTGAAGAAGACAGGAGGAAGAAGAAGTTTTAGGTATATCTGCTGTCTTAAGTTATTTATAAAAATAATAAAGGCAGGACAAAAATAAAATTTATTATTTGTTTCCAAAATCTCTGTATTTATATATATCTCCCCCTTGCAGAGCAGATTAATTTGAGAGAAAGGAATTTCAAAACAGCTGTTTGCAATGCAATTGCACCGGCAGCCCAAGACTGAGCCATACACACTTCGCAAATAGCTTATAGTACTCTCTTGAAATATCTTTCGCTCCAATCTTTCTGCTCTGTTGTATGGGGGAGGGGGGGGAAAGCAAGCAATATCTGTAAGCAATCTCTGCTTGATCCTTTCCTGTTGCTGTGCAATCACATTGCTTTTGATGTCTATAAGAGGAAACAGCTTACTCTCTTGAAATTCTTTTCCAATCTCTGGTTGAGGGAAAAGTCAGGAAAAGGAGATATTGCCTACAGCAGCGGTAGGCCACCCAAAACACTCAAAGAGCCACTTGGACCTGTTTCCCACCAAAAACAAAACACTGGGAGCTGCAAAACCCTTTTGATATCTAAAATGAAGATAACACTGCATAAATCCTTTTTTACCTTTATTATAGGTGTGTGTGTGTGTGTGTGTAAAGGATATATGCAGTGTTATCTTCATTTTAGATGTCAAAAGGGTCTCTCTCTGTCTCTCCCTCCCTCTCTATCTGCCCTTGGTCTGCCACTCCTCTTCCCCCGCTCTCTTTCTTTCTCTCTCTCTCTCTCCCTCCCTCCCTCCCTCTCTCTCTCTTTCTCTCTCTCTCTTTCTCCCCCCCCTCCTATCTGCTGCTCACCTGGCAAGCTTCAAGCTGTTGTCCAACAAGCAACCTCATCTCTTTTATGACTCATGGACTTCAACTCCCAGAATTCCTGAGTCAGCCTAGCTGGGCTAGCTAGCTCTCTCCTGCCCTTCCTGCTTCCTGCAGAGATGCAGCAAAGGGAGGAGCTCCGCCCAGTAAGCTTTTCAGTTCCTCGGAGAATACTGTGAGTGCACTCTCTTTTACACATACACACAGACACACACACACAGAGAGAGAGAGAGAGAGAGAGAAGCAGGGAAGCACAATTGCCTCTCTCTGTCTCTGTCTCTCTCTGCAAAGGCAGAGGAGGCTGGGAGCCACAGGGGAAGGCTCAAAGAGCTGCATGCGGCTCCGGAGCCGCAGGTTGCCGACCTGTGGCCTACAGAAATCACTTGTTTTTCCTCTTGTCATACCCCAAAAGACTTGAGGCTGTAATTGCTGCCAAAGGTGCTTCAACAAAGTACTGAGTGATGCCAATGTGATATTTCAGGGTTTTTTTTCTTTTTAATAAATTTAGATTTCTAAAATTCTGTTTTTACCTTGCCATTATGTGGTACTGACTGTAGATTTATGAGAAAAAAATGAATTTCAACAACTGTAGAATCAGGCTGAATACTTTCTGAATGCACTGTAACTACTGCTTTGCTTAGCAGAATTGCTCATCCCAATTAGGGTCCTTAAGCAAGCACTACCTGTAGATGATAGATTGCTAGATCAGCATGCATCTATCAGTTAGTAGGTTGCTGCAATTTGCACTAATTGCCTTTGATAGTTTATAATTGAAAGAAACTGAAAGTACTTTATGTTATTATCAAGAGTGAGTGAGGTTCTCAATTATACACAGTAGCTGGTTTGCCAGCAATGCAATTCTGTGGTTTGTTTTAATTAGTGCAACTATTTCACAATTTAAAAAAAATTAAAAGTTACTGTATTGGAAGTGAAGCTATTAATGAATTTATTTGATATATCAGAAGAAGAAATCCTATTTATTTGTTAGAATTCTAAAACTTTTGAATGCCAGAAATCATATAGAAGAACATTGATGGTTTCAGTACGCCCAGGTTATGAATATGATAATTTTGTTCTGTTGCCCTCTGTAGTTAGAGACCTCATTCCATATTTGTTTTGATAAGTTAGGAAGTGCTTGCTACTAAGGTGGCTGCTAAGACTTTTGGCGCATTAATTCTATGAAGTGGGTGTAAAAATGTTGTATGTGTGTGCATGCATATCTGTAATAAACAGTAATTTGGAATACCAATGGGTTATGGTCAGTTATAATTGAAAAAATAAAAATAAAATTCACATTAAAAAGACCAAAAATACTCTTAAAAGTTTCAAGAGTTTAGGTGAATAGACAGGTTTCAGTTCGTACGGAACTATTGCAAGCATCAAATATAATAACTATTTTGTCATATAAACTTTTAATAAATGAAATTGTTGAAAATATGATTTATTCAATTTCTATTAAAGAAGTGACTCTGGGTAGTGAACAACCAAAACCCAAAAACAGTTAACACCACAGTACAAAATTAAAATATATGGTGATGGAAAAATATGTCATAGATGTCAATACATGCAGGAAATACGGCTCTTCATACACTCAGGGCTACAAGTCCAGATACAAAGTTAGGTCATCCCCATCTCTGAAGGGAGAAATGTTCCAGAGGGCAGGGACTACAGTAGAGAAGGCACATCTCCTAGTTGCTGCTGACAGAACCCATAGCATGCCCAACGTACTAGATCAAATTGGTTGGTAGAAACCACGGGGAAAAGATGATCCCTCCGGGTAACCAGGTCCCAAACTAGGAAGGGTTTTAAAGGTGACAGCCAGCACTTGAATTACCTACAGAAGTACACAGGCAACCAATGCAACTCATAAAGCAGTAGTGTTACATGTGTTGAATTTCTGACACTACAAACTACCCATACTGCCACATTTTAAAACAGTCAAAGCTTCCAAATGCATTTCAAGGGTAGCCCCATGTAGAATGTAAGATGAGATCATGAGTGTGTGAGTGACTATGAGCAGGTCCAGGAACAGGTACAACTGGCACACAGCCTGAAGGTTCACCCAGGCTCTCTTGCCACAACTACCACTTGCTTTTCTAGTAGGAGCTGTGAGTTCAGGAGGACGCCCAGATTGTGCTCTGATCTGTCTGGGCAGTGCTATCCCATCCAGGACCAAAGGAGGAAGAATCTTGTCATTAGAGGGCTCGAATACCCAAAGCCACCAAATCTTGCTTGAGTTGAGCCGAAGCCCCTACATCCTCTAGGCCAGAGGTCCTCAACCTTTTGGGCACCAGGGACCGGTTCCATGGAGAGAGGTTTTTCCGTGGATTGGAGGGTGCATGGTTTTGTGTGCTGCCTGCATCTCGCAGTTGGGGCTTTGTTTATGCAGCAGCTCAGTTGCTGGCATGCTGCGGCCCAGTTCTGGTCCACGGATTGGTGATTGGAGACCCCTGTTCTAGTCCAGCGGCCCCCACCTTTTTAGCACTAGGGACTGGCTTAATGGAAGACAATTCTTCTATGGAGCGGGGGGTGGGGATGGTTTTGGTTTTGTTTGCTCATCTACCACTCACCTTCAACTGTGTGGTCTGGTTCCTACAGGCCATGGACCAGTACCAGTCCTTGTCCCAGGGTTGGGGAGCCCTGCTCTAGACACTGAGACAGGACCACCTTGGCACTACTCAGGCAGCTGTGAAATTAAAAAAAAAAAAATTACTAAGTTTCAGCCAACAACCAATTGGTGCATACTTAAAGGGCATTTTATAGAACGTGCATTGTAAGTATTGAAGTTTTAATGCTTGAATTAAATATCCTTTTTGAGAAATAGAGTTCCATGCAAGGCACACTAAAATACAACATGTTAGAATTCTCAGTCCACAGAGTCTCCAGATTACCATTCATGGATGAACAGTTAAAAACCAAAATTCTATAGAAAATATAAAATGTTAGGATTTGGGTTGTTATAAAGCATTTTAATGCCTGCTTATTTCTTTCTGTATTATGCATATACTGTAACATGAAAAAGATTTATGCCTGTCAATTCATTTCTTAAAATTTTGACAATTCAGTTATGGAATTATTTTTAAACATTATTTGCTTAGGTTTAAACAACAATTATAAAGCATCTCAGATAATGAATATTTAAACAATAGTATTTCATATTTGTTTTAATAGTTTCAGGACCATTATTTCCTATATTGATGAGCAATTTGAACGTTATCTTCATGATGAGAGTGGCTTGAACAGACGGCATATTGTGGATAATCGAGTTCATTGCTGTTTCTATTTTATCTCACCTTTTGGTCATGGGTAAGTACTATGATTGAGAAGTGCTCTTTGGATTCAATTCCAAAAAGGCATTTTATAAGCGATCAATGTATTCATGCCGGAAAAAATATATATTGAGCAATTTAACTTCTACAATTCTAAAATGGTTTGTTTACAAAAAGTTCATACAAATATACTTATTATGCTATTCCCTTTCAAGAAAAGTGATGTTAATGCAGAAAAGGATTAAAAATAGAAAGTCAAAAGAAACTAAGGCATGAAATCAAAAGGAAATATAGCTAAATTTATTTTACATAAAACCATTTACTATACTTCTCTCTGTTTCCATCTTTACAAATCATTCATCTTCCATGTCCATGCATAATTTTATACATTTTGCTTGTGTGCATGTCAGTACACTATGTATCTCCTAGCTGGGTTTTTGGGTAATAATGTATCTACTTGCAAATAATGTATCTACTTGCAATTTACATCAAGTACTTTGAGTTTGTTTGGTATAAAATTGGGCTTTGGTTGTATTTGTGGACATACTGGATATAATATACCAAAATTATTTGTTGCCACCCTTAGTGTTTACAGGGGATGCCCGTGTGGCATTGTATACTTAAGATGGTAGCCAAGACTATAATTTCTCTATTTTATAGAGTTACATTTAAAAAAATGAGTTACATTTTACAATAATAATGCATATTTCTTTCTTGATGTAACCAAAGCAGAAATTTGATCTGAGAATCTGAATGTTTTGGAAATGTTTAAGTTTCTGTGTTAACTGCTTCTGTTAATTTTTAGTTTGTGAAGAAAAAGGAGACTAAATCTTAGGATGTCATAATCTGTATTTTTAGTCTCAAGCCTTTGGATGTTGAGTTCATGAAAGCTATACACAACAAAGTGAATATTGTGCCTGTGATTGCAAAAGCTGATACCCTTACGCTGAAAGAGCGGGAAAGACTGAAGAAAAGGGTGAGGTTTTTTTCTTTAGTTTAAGCATAGTATAAATAGAAACATGATTCTTATATATTGTGCATAATAGGCCTTTGGTCAGAACCTAATGAACACTGAATTTTTAGATAGTGTGTACAGCTTTAACTTTTTGAAGTGAAGGAGACTAATTGCTGGCTTCTCCAACTGCAGCACTTTGTACCATGTGTAATTCTAGGGGTATGATTTCCTGGCATTCAGAAGCTGCTTGGGTTTAAGTGGGGAAAAAACAGATAAAAATCAGGCAAAAAATCCTTGTTGATTTTGCAGATGTTGAATCTCAGCTCATGTTTTTTTATATCTTACTGTGATTTGGGGACAGATTTTGGATGAAATTGAAGAACATAGCATCAAGATTTATCACTTGCCCGATGCGGAATCAGATGAAGATGAAGATTTTAAAGAACAGACCAGACTTTTGAAAGTAAGGACAATTTATTAAGTCAGAAATAGTTTATCCTGTCATTTAATTTCAAGAATTTATTATTTTTGCTTTATTATCATTGCTTATCAAAGCTAGTGTTTTTAATCTATTTTTAATCTCAGAAGAAGAGAATTCTTCACACCAAATGAATTTTGATCTTGGGATTGGAAAATGCTTTGTTATCCAAATTTAATAGCAATTTTTTTAAATATTATGCATTCAGAATGACAGTATGAAGCAGTAATTTGTAGCAAGAGTTCCTATATGTTTTTTTTTTCCTTTCTTTGCACCTTACTTCCACTTAGCACTTCCACTTAGCACTGCAGGGCACACAAGGTTCAGGTGAAAACAAGAGAGCCCTGAATTGAGTTTCAATTTTGACAGTGTAAATTGTAACAATTAAAAGTATAGAAAAGGAATGCAAGGGGGCAATAACAGAAATTTAGATGAGGTTAACAGAAGCATTAGAGTTAGATGAGCGCAACAGAAGATAATGAATGTAACCAGAATTTTTATCAGAAATCATTGTGGAGAAAGGATGAAAGCAGTAAGATTAGGCAAGTGACTTTTAACTGGAGAATGGTAGGATACAAGAGGTAATATATCTTATTGAAAAGCATTTAAAAAGGAAGATAAAAACTAAAAAGAATGCAAAAGTCCATAAGGGGTTTCCAGTCAATGGCATGTCTCATTCTTTTAACAAAATAGTTGACTTTCTTTTCAGAAATTTAAATTAGTGTTGATTGTTATCAAACTTCTAATTGCAAAGCACAGTGAGATTATATGATTATTTTTCTCTTCAATTCCAGACCAGCATTCCATTTTGTGTTGTGGGATCCAACCAGTTAATTGAAGCTAAGGGTAAAAAAGTTAGAGGTCGTCTTTATCCCTGGGGTGTTGTTGAAGTGGAAAATCCAGAACATAATGACTTCTTAAAACTAAGAACCATGCTGATGTAAGTAAAGTGCATTTATCCGTGTACTTTGGTCATTGTTCATCTTATTTTCTCTCCCACACAATACAAAGCAAAATCATTACTGTTTGTTGAACTGTTAAACAGGAGATACAGATAGTTCTTAACTTATGATCACAGTAAGGACTGGAAAATTAATTGTTAAGGAGTGTGATTGTGAAGTGAAACATCATGTGACTGGACCCACTTTTATAATCTTTTTTATTACAAAAAGTCTCTAAGTGAGACATCACGTATCAGCCTTTCCAGGTAAACCAGAAAGGAAATACAATTAGATGCAACTAATTTCATTTTATTGTAAGGCTGCATTAATAGAATCTTGCAAGTCTGAAAATACAAATCTTCCATCGCCACTTTTAACTGCCCAATCAATAAGACAGGTCTTTCCCAAATTTCTTCCTCTATTAAGTCACCGTGGCTCCATCGTTTCTTGTCTAATTGTTTCTTAAAGAGCATCTCTTCCCCTCATCCCTCAAGATCATCTTCATGAGTATATATTTTTATTAAAACTTTTAAATAAGAAGGTAAAAGCTAACACAGACTAATAGAAGTAAACAAAGGAGAAAAAGAAAGCAAAGAGAAAGCAAAAAAGTGCAAGAAAAGAATAAAGTTAAAAACAGAAAAGGACAAAACAATGGCTTCTGATATTCTTCACAGCAGCTATAAGAACAAATATATTTTGACCTGTAAAGTTACATCATATTGCTCTTTCTATAATATATTCTGTCTAAATATCAAAACTATAAGTCACAATTTCACTTTTTTTATTTTTACACCAAAGTCTATAAGAAGCTTGTAATCAGCAATAAATGTAGATAATGCCTTTTCTGTAATGAAAGAAATTATCCATTTTAGCAAAATCTATTAACTTTACCAACCATTCTTCCATAATGTTGAATCTTTCCATCTCTGTACCTAGAGTAATCTGGCTGCTGTGATCATATATTGAAATAATCTTCCATGACTTCTTTCTATTGCTAGAGTAATCTGGCTGCTGTGATCATATATTGAAATAATCTTCCATGACTTCTTTCTATTGCCTGTTAATCCTGAAATGAAAAGTTTTGGTTTAAATTGAATATTAATCTTTCAAATCATCTGTATCAAAATATGTATTTGGATCATTTTTTTTAATTTTTGTATATGTCTACCACATGATAAAAATGTACCTTCATGTTCATATTTCTGACATACATACAAAAGAGGGCAAATGAGATTCTAAAAAAAAAAGATTATTTGTGTTCTGTATGAAGTTACATTATATAACTATTAAAGGACTTGGGTAGCAAACACAGTAACAGTGTAGGATGTATGCATTTCAGAGCATTTTTAACCCATTGAGTTAGTCAAATTCTATATGCTGTTTTCCATTCCACTGCTTCTAATGCACAATTGTTAATTTGAGGATTAAAATGATATTAGTGATGCTGTATTAAATAATTATTATCATAGTTGTGTCATTCCAGCACTCATATGCAGGATCTTCAAGAAGTGACTCAAGATCTTCACTATGAGAACTTCCGTTCTGAAAGACTTAAAAAGGGTGGCCGGTAAGTATCTCTTACTAAATGGTCTATGGTTCCATCACATTTCAGGTTTTCTTGTCATGTTTTGATTGCTGTCATTTTGAATCTATGTCAGATACTTTCCCGGCATACTTAACAATTAATCTGTTTGGGTGTATTACTCAAGTACTTTGGTCACCTAATGAGAAGGAAGGACTCACTGGAGAAGAGCCTAATGCTGGGAAAGATTGAGGGCAATAGAAGAAAGGGACGACAGAGAATGAGGTGGCTGGATGGAGTCACCAAAGCAGTAGGCGTGAGCTTAAATGGACTCCAGAAGATGGTAGAGGCAGGAAGGCCTGGAGGAATGTTGTCCATGGGGTCGCAATGGGTCGGACATGACTTCGCAACTAACAACAACAACTCTTATTATATTTTTCTATACAGTAACAGCATTCTTTCAGTTATTACGAATAGATGTAAACTTCACACGTGTTAAACATGTTGTTTGCAGACTTCATATTTTAATGTTTTTCCAGTTATGCCATTTAAATCTGCAGCCATAATATTTTTTAACATGTCACTATCTTTCCCAACCAGATTTCTAAAATGTTCCTCCAGTATTCAGTCATTTGTATTTTTTATTCTGTTCATTCTGCTGAAGATTCTTTGTTAGAAGATGCTGTTTTTAAGTACATATTGCTATATATTTATAAGCCTTTTTTCCCTCCTACATATAGTAAAGTTGAAGATGAAGAAGTTAATAAAGATCAAATCTTGCTTGAAAAGGAAGCAGAAGTAAGGACTTCATTTTTAAAAAAATATACTGTATTTTGGATCTTCAAATCATGTGATATTCATAAGTGGTTCTGAATTCCCACCCCATAGGGATAGAATATTATTTAATAGGATTTTGCCAAGAAATTCCAAAGTTATTAGTTAGCTTTTTCTAAAGAAAATTTAAAAAATTAAAGGCATCTAGCACAAACACTTCTCAATGTGAATTCTCTGAAAGGTATCCTTCTACAGAGCCCATAAATTTAAAATTAAAACAATTACAGTCATTCATTGATTTTCATTTATAATTGATGAAAAAGGAGAGGCAAATGGACCTGAATGGCTCAATCCAGATTTAAAGGAAGCCCTAATTTGATGTGATCTACTATGGCTGTTTTCCAAACTGAATTTATGTATTTTGTCAGAAAATATTGAAAGCTGTGTAGATTAGATTTATATAGCAGCAATGGGAAAGTAGTCTCATGCAACTATACAATCAAAAGTATGGTAACTATTTGGATTTAGATATCAAGATATCCTGCTTTGGTAGCTGCATTAATACTGAATTTTGTCATTTTTACTATGGTTTATTGTTGCCTGTCAACATAATTGATCTGGTTGGTATCTCTTAGATTTGTATAATGCTAAATAAAGTCTTATTTCATGATGGTCTTGATGTTAATTCACATGAGTGAATCCATTGAACTCTATAGAATTTAAGAATCATACTAAAAATGTAAAAACTGAACCAGAAACTGGAAAATGTGCAGCCCCAATTGCTGAATTTCAGTTCTCAGCATCTATAACCAATGTCCCCACTGGGGGATATGATGGTATGTATAATTCAAAAATACCTGGAGACCCATAGATTTCCTACCTGTATTGCACATCATTTATGGGGAGTAGGGGATGAAAGTGGGAAAAGAATATGGCCTCATGATACCAATATCTCATACTGCAAAAGAAACATAGTTGTACGTGAAAGATATAAATTCTGATTTTTTAAAATTGGTGATATAATTCTGGTTTAATGTTTTTGTTGTAAGCTGCCAACACACTCTTAGTTGGAGGATGGCTAGCCAAGGTAGAAATGATATTCTTTTGTTTTAGCTTCGCCGCATGCAGGAAATGATTGCAAGGATGCAGGCACAGATGCAGATGCAGAGACAAGGAGGTGAAGGAGATAGCAGTGCAACTCATGGGTACAAAGTTTGAATTATTTGGTAAGAACACTTTTATACTAAAATGTGTGTGTGTGTGTGTGTGTGTGTGTGTGAAAATATTGCTTTGGAAATTACAGTGTTACAGATTTGATCTATTTATCATGATTTTGACTTTTAGGTAAGTAATTTTAAAATGATATAATTACTGCATTCTGAAACAAAAGGGCTTCCATTTATTTAATTATTTGCTCATTCAATTGTTACAACTGCCTACTTGCCATAAGGCTTAAATTCAAAAAACTAAAAATGCATATATTAATAGACTAAAGAACCAATTCTCATCAACTTTGCAAATGTTTGGATAGCATACATTTAGTAATGGTCACTGTATACTATATCCTGTTCTTCGGGGAAGAGTAGTTTTTAATATCAAGAAAAATGAGATAATGCTTTATCCAATTTCTGTATTTCCCAGCTACTGTGCCAGCATGTAATACAGTTTGACTTCTCTTCCTCACTTTTAAAGAACCAAAACAAAAGATAGAATGAGGCAGAGAAAAGAGCAGGCAGGGTTCTTTTTCCCCCTAAATGATCAAGCAAGTAATGAATGATCAAGCAAACAATAAACTACAACATTTAACACAGCATTAATGACCAATCACTTAGTGACCGGTCAAAGTTACAAAGCTACTTGTGATCCAGTTTCACAGTTCTGATAGCCATACTACCACCTCCTCCCTCCACGGTCATGTCATTACATTTTGGGAATTTGACATCCGGCTTGCATTTATAGCCATTTGTAGTGTCCTGCAGTCAGATGACCATGATTTTCATCATTCACTTCCCCTTTCCAGCAAAAAAAAAAAAAAATGCCCATTGGAAAAAATGGATTTATTTAACAGCTGCCACGTTTGCTTAATGACTGTGATATATGCTTAATAATTACAGTGTAATCTTAATGACAGCCGCAAAAAGAGGTCACAAAAACAGGCATGGTCATGTGTGTCATAGAATGTTAAGCAGTAACATCCCGTGACAATGCAATATTACTACTATGGCAGCCCAAAAAATTGAGACAGTGTATGCATAAATAGTCATGGATATTTTCTTTATTTTAAGCAATACATTGCAAAGAACAGGAAGGAGTTAACATAGGCCAGGGATGTCAAACTCGCAATGTCATGTGACGTATTGCAACATATCATGACTTTTTTTTCCATTGCCGGTAATGGAGTAGGCATGGTTTCAGCATTGTGCATCTAGCCCATGGTCCGCCAGTTTGACACCACTGACATAGGCTAACAAAAAAAGGGGGTGAATTACTAGAACAATATACTCTTATGTGGTTCCCTGTGGTCTTTATGCTGTAAACTTTCTTTATAATATATGTGTATAAGATGGTGCCATTATTTTATTAGTAAAATTTGTAGGAGGAATCTATAGGCATTGCTCCTTCCCAGATTTGTAATTGAAAAGTTTGGTTATCATTGTTGCTATATATATTAATTATAATTCATTTTTTAAAAGTATGCATAATCAGGTAACCTGTCAATATTCTCTTTTCATCATTGCAGATAAGTTTCATTAATTGGAATCATTTAAGATTTAAGACACAGAGCTTATTTTGTGGGGAAAGTTACTCCTTATCCTGCTGTGACTTGGAAGGTCTGTTAACATTCAGCAAACAAATATATAGTTGTTGTAATCTCTATTTTGTAAACAAATAAGATTTCTTTAATCTTTTTAAAATGTTGAATGCAATATGAGTTCGTTCAAATTTACTAATATTTTATTGAGCTGATTTTACTACGCAGACTATACAAATGTGTAGATTTTCCCTACCCTGTCGTTCCTCTCTAATACTATGGACTAATGCCACTGTTTTTGTTTTTGTTTTTGTTTTTTTTTTGCACTGGGTAATCAGTTGATTTCAACCACATTATATTTGTGATTTAAATTCTTATTCTTAATTTTCCCTGGTTTCCTTTATACAGCTTACATGTTTGTGTGAAAGTCCCTTTAAGTCACCTACTATATAAATATTACATATTTCCTATTTCTTGAAATGTCATTGTAAAGGTTTTCATAGGAAAGACTAAAGAAAGTCTTAAAGAAATGTTCATTTTTTTTTTGAAATAGAGACCTTTGCATGCAGACTGACCAACAAGAAAATAAGTGATAATATTTGCAATTTTTCAGTGTTGCTCTTTTTATATACAAGTAGTCCTTGACCTACAACCATAATTGAGCCCGAAATCTTAGTTGTTGAGTGAAGCAGTTGTTAAATGAGACATCACATAATCGCTTCCCTCAGTGACTACCATCCTGGCTCATTCATTTCCAGTTATTAAGTGACCATGCGGATCGTTCAGCAGAGTAAGGAGATACTGCACCAGGTAGAGAGGCCTGGGACCCACAGGGATACATAAACCTGCTGATGTCTGAGAGGTTTCAGCTGCTTCCCAATCCAGCCACTCAGCTACCTAGGGAGCCTCAGCCTGGCTATAGAAGCTACCATCATGTACAAAGCTGCTGCAGGTGGCTGGGTGAGTTGCTCCCCTCTGTCTCCTCCACTTGCAATCTTCCCTGCCAGTTTCCCTGTTGATTTTCTTGGGGAAGCCAGCAGAAAAGATAGCAGATGGCATTCACATGATTGCAGGGTGCTTGGAAACTGGTTGTAAGTGCAAATAGGCTGCCAAGAGTCTGAAATGTCATGTGGGGGGGGGGTTAGGGCAACACTTTACAATGTTTGGAAGTGCTTTATGAACAATTGTGAAATGGTCAGTCGTAAGTTGAGAATTACCTGTATGAAATAAAATATCAGTCTTTACGCCTGTACTATCTGTGGACTGCTGAACTTTACCCAGTGCTAAATATTTTCAAATAATTACCATGTGTGTGTAGCATTTTGTGACTTATGTGGGCTTAAAAAAAGTAGTACAGTTTAGAAAACAAATTCAATTATTTTTTCAGACTTTTTTAGGTGTATTCTTTTAGATTTTCAAATTTTTGTTTACTTTTTGAAGAAAGCAAGGTCAAATTGTACCTGAGGCATGTGTTTCTACAAAGGAAGATCATACATATCCATCATTGAAGAAACTAGCTATTCCCTGATGACCCCAGTATGCCCATGATGTACATACATACTGACAGACAGACATACTCTACTTGGAAATACTGGAAAGAGAGTGACTTAATCTAATGTCCTTCAGACTTCCAACATTAAAAAAAGTCATTATGGCATTTTCATCTTGACTGTTGTCACACATAGATTACTGAAAATCTGATGTCATCTGATGTCTGTATTTACTATGTTCAAAAATAAAATCCAAATTATATTTCTTTAAGTCTGCAAAGAATGATAAGATAATAAAACTGTTCTGCCATTTATTAATCCAGTATTTCCATTTTAAAAGGGGGATCACAGAAAGATTTCACTTGGATGTTGTAATTTATTTGGAAAATATTATACTAGTAATCTGAAGAGTTTGCACTAATAGTACTTTTTTTCCCTTAGAAAGGATAATTGTTCAACACCTTTTCTGCTCAGAAGTAATACCTACAATATTTTTGTGTCCTACATAGGTTATATTACTGGGTTAAATTATGCTACTTGATTTGAACACGTTTACCTAGAATGTTTTAGATCTGGGCTGATTTTGGTATTCTTTGTTTGAAGCTGTAATTATAATTAAATAGCAAGGAGAAAATTTCCTGGTATTTTGAAAAGTTGAAAATGTGAATGTGTGTGCCAAATAACTAGTATAAACTTAACCCTATTATATATTAGTTTTTAGTAACTGACTTTAAAAAGTTATTCAATTTTTTCAGATATATTCTATTCATCTGCATGTATTGTTTGCTGTAATTAGACCTTCATTATATACTGTAACTTAGTCTACTCATGGTGCTACATGTTAAGAATTTTGGCTTTTATGATCACTTATAAAATCCATACTGCTAAAACTTAGTTCCTGAACAACTGTAAATTACTAATTTGAATTGTAACTTTTTAAGTAAGGTTAAATATTTTTTTAACAATGTATTTCCATGAGATTGAATAGTTTTCCAGTTTGTGCCTGGTAGAGTTATAACAAAAGTATCTGGTACCTATTTCCATGAACTAAGCTACATTTTAATATTCAGACTAGAATAAAAAATGAATTTCTCAAGATTTTGGGAACCTGAAAAATGGTTAGCATCACAAATGATCTTTGTTTTCATTTTTGAACTAGCATAATTACAATTTTAAGAGTATATTGTTGTATTCTTTAACACTTTTACTGGATTTTTATAACTGGGATACTCAAAGGGCTATTTTTTTTGTATAAGACAGTATTAAACTATAATTGATTTCCTGTACCTTAATTTTAGCCCAGATTATTAATAAACCCAATAAACTGTTACGTACAAATCTGCTGAAATGTGTGGTTATATTAAGTGATGAAGGTGGCATGGTGGCTAATTAAAAACAGTTTCTTGCAAAAAAATGTTGATGACAGAGCTTAAAATAATATGTTCCATTACACAAAAACATTTACATCAGCAGTTGTTTTGCTGAGGACATGTGTTACCAAAATGTTGATGTTTTGAAAATCTACTTAAAAAAAAAAACTACTCATAGAAGTTAGGCAAAATGCACATGATAACATTTGGTTCTATATGAACCTCGCTGTATCACAACTGTTATTATTCCATCTTTCTTTTCAGTGGTATCAGAATCTTGACATGGACTTCCACTATTGTCATTAATGATATTAAAGGCTAATACTTAGTTCAACAATACTTGGATATGTACATAATAAGAACAGTTTCCCAAGTATTAGATAAAGATAAAGTTTATCTGCCTAGTCATTTCAGATTCTTGGGGACAGTGCTCATCTTCATTTGTTAGCCAAAGGAACTAACTTGTCCAAAGACATTTCCATGTTCATGTGGCCAGCATGGTGATATGCTGAGGCACATGGAACGCTATGATCTTCCCACCAAAGTCGTACCTGTTTATCTATTTGCACTTATATGTTTTCGAACTGGTAGGTGGGCAGGAGCTGGGGCAAGTAACAGCTCATCTGATCACACAGCACTTGAGTTTTGAACCTGGACTGTCAGCTTTCTAGCTGACAAGCTGAGTGTCTTTAAATGCTAGCCACCGCACACACACACACACCCAAATATAGATAGCCCTATATTTATTAATAAAAGCACCAATTGTCTTAATGTCAAGTGCTACTTTTTCAGATAATTTCTGTCTATCCCTCTCTGAGATCTTAATTCTTTCCACCACCTTTTACATCAGTTTTGTACTTCTGTAAATGAAAACTGTTCACAGAAAAGTGAATCTGTGGCAGAATGCTAGGATGTGTTACCTCATCATGAGTAGAAGTGGAGCTGAACTAGTGATAGTAGGTACTAGATTAGAAACGGGGAGACTGTAAGTTCTAACTCTCCCTTTGTCATGAAAGCTAGCTCTGATTTTGGATCAGACATGTTAAACAACTTCCAAGGCTGGATATAAATGTAATGGATAGGTCAAGTGAAATGATTTTTTTACTTGCTATGAATCACAAAGGTGAGTTCTTGTATTACAGGTTCTGATACTGTATATTGCATCTATTCTAGCAGGTAGAAAAATGAGAGAAAATGTTTACTGTAGAGCAGGGGTGTCAAACTGCCGGCCCATGGGCCAATTGCATCATGCAGAGGCTGCGCCCATCCTAGCTCCAGCAATGCGAAAAAAGTTGAGATACGTCATGATACGTCACATGATGTGGCGAGTTTGACACCTGTGCTATAGAGTATAATTCACCTTTTAAAGAAGAAAAAAATAAAATTGCACAGCCAATACAGGTAATCCTTGACTTACAACAGTTCGTTTACTGACCATTCAAAGTTAACATCTCTGAAGAGACTTATGACCATTTTTCAAACAAGACTGTTGCAGCATCCCCATGGTCACATGATCAAAATTCAGATATTTTTCAGTTGACTTATAGTTATGACAGTTGCTGTGTCCTGGGGTCATGCGATCACCTTTTGTGACCTGACAAGCAAAGTCAATGGGTAAGCCAGAGTCACTTTACAACCATGTTACTAACTTATCAAATACAGTGATTCAAATACAGTGACAAGAAGAAAGGTCATAAAATGGAGCAAAACTCAACAGAGTTTTGGGCTTAATTGTGAGTCAAGGACTACTTGCAATTAAGCAATTCTGCTGCAGGATTTCAACAACACAATCTGGGGAAGTCTGGAAGCTGCCAAATAAGGGAGGGATACATATCCCTGTAATTAGTTATGGTATATTTTGGTCATGGTTAACTAAAGACATCGAGGCTTGTTTTATAAATAATGCTAAGTATTCAGATAAAAATGAATAGGTGCACCCATGAAATCATAGCTAAAATTAAATGACTTAATTTAGCACTATGTTTAAATTAATCATGGTCCTGAAATGGCTACTTATACTTTATTCTCTGCATCTAATAACATTTCAATCTTCTCATTCAATTGTGTATTTAACTTTGTATTCAGTATGCTGCATCATAAGAGAAAGAAAATGTAATAAATGAAAAGCCCACAATAGATGTTTGTGCTGAAAAAAGTATTAAACCATATATTGCATTGGAAACTGATTTGAACATGAGGTTGTATGCTTTTATTTCATTAACATCAATATAAAGTTACAATGGCACTGAAAAAGGTAACTTATGACCATTTTTCATATATACGACTCTTTGAGCATTTCCATCGTCATCTGATCACAATTCAGATGCTTGGCAATTGACTCATTTATGATGGTTGCAGTGTCCCGGGTCACTTTTGGTGACCTCCTGAGAAGCAAAGTCAATGGGTCAAAGCCAGATTCACTTAACATCTGTGTTTCTAACTTAACAAGTGGTCATAAGTCAAAGACTATCTGTACTGATAGCTTAAAAACGAGTAAGTACTATTTATACCATACTACACTATATTGTACATAATAAGTATTTTCAATTTTCCCTTAAGATAGTATTTTCAGTGGAAGTCCAGCTAGTTTTCTCTACTAATTGCTATTTTTAAAAAATTCTTTGCATTAATATCATTTCCTGATTTATTTACTTTTAATGCTTTTATGCTGCTTCAGACAATTTTAATCTAAATAGCAAAATGAGCATACTACAACAAAAACAATAAAATAACATCTAGATTCACTGCAAGTATAACTTCACTAATACTCTTTGGAATAGGATGTTTTCAGCTATTGTATGTATTTCCTAAAAGTTGAGTGAGAGTATCAATCTTCTAGCTAGGGGCAGGATGTTCCACAACAGGGAGCACTTACAAAAAAATGCTCACCTGTGAGTGCCTTCCCATTATACCTTGTAAGAGATATGCATTCAGCAAGCAAGCACAGTTATCCGTTCCTTTCCATATTGATGCAAAATAAAAAGTATTACAACCTTTATTTTTTGTTGTGTTTAGGGTGAAACTAGTTGCCCATTGTAAATTTATGACAAGATTATTTCCCTATTTCAGCAATTTTAATGTGTGTGGACTTCAACTCCAATCTTAAAGTTGCTGAGGTAAAGAAACATAGAACTAGATTATGTAAATATTTGACTGCTAGTTATAATCAAAAGGTTCTACTGGCAGAATGGAATATTCCTTATACTGTTTCTTGCATCCCAGTTTTTCTATAAGAATTTTGTGTACAGATCTGGGCCACAGCAATAGGGATTGAAGGGGAAAGTAAACAAAAAAGTCGAACATTGCATAAACAGAAATCCATTATATATCTATAGCATTAGATGCAACTAAGAGACAGGTGTGGAAGTCAAGTACTATTCCTCCTATAGGTATAAAGCTATCTTCAAGACTTTAGGCCAGTCATTCCTTCTCAGCCATAAGAAAAAGGTATTTGCAAAATTGCTTGCCAAGAAAAAACAATATAGACTGATGTATCTATGACACACATGTCAAACATGACACAACACAACATTTTAGGTGACCCACCAGTTATTTATATGACTCCAGGGACACTGCAACAGTTTAAGTTAGTAACTTACTTCATTGAGGGTTAAGCAGATCTATATGTATTGGTTTTAATTTGACCTGTCTTAACAGTTGGCTAATTAATAATCAAATATTCATTTGGCATTATGTAATTACTAAATTACTATTTTGCATGTGTCTAAGCCTGTTTTACTTGTATTTCATTTTTGTAATTATAGAATGTTTTTTGATAGAATACATAGCACCACACATGATTGAACTATATTTGTTAAAAAAATAAATGAATATATAAGAAATTGTTCTGTTTTGTTCAGTGGGGGGGAGGTATGACGTAGTAGAGACAAGTTAGACATTTTCCGAGTTTTTGACATGACATGTCCAAAAGGTTCACAGACTCATAAATGCAATCACCAAGAATCAAGTCTAGCTGGAAGAATCTTACCAGAACATTTACCCTGGCTGAATTCATACATCCAAGCTACTGTAAACTCTAGCCATTTTTAAAATAATTCACAATAAGTACAACGCTAAAGAAAAGGAAAATAAAATCACACGCAAACTGAGTCCTGGCATTCCCATTTGATTTGGCTTTGTTTTGTTTTGGTGTTGGGAGTATGTGACTGTTGAGCTAAACTTTTGCTTTGATACCAGATACATTTGGTACCTTAATAGCTTCCTGTTCATCTTTTACCATATCTCTTTAGATGCCTCAAATTTTTGAGGAAATCTGAATGAAATTGAGGCAGAGGGGAAATGCTATATTCTCATCACATGCTTCCAAGAACATCCATTTCTGCATTCATTAATCTGCAGTTAAACGAAGCATAGAGTAGGCCAGTGAGTATATCACACCATTTACAGCTCTGATTTGCATCTATTCTCTGCAAATGTGTGTTAGAGAGATTCAAAAATAATCATTCAAGCTTGCCACATAATGTTAACTTTAGTATTTAAAAAGATTATTATACTCTTTAAGTTTACAAAGTTACATTGGTTCATGTGGACAGGAGCCCAAGTGTAGTTTGCAAGCAGTGCAAATTAGGGGTTTTAATACTGTGGTGGGATAAGAGAGCCAAAAAAAGACTGTTTTTGGCAACCAAAAAGCCATTTTATTTTCAGACACAATAACAATCTAAACTCGGGATAACTTTTTTGCCCTGTAATGGAACCATGTCAAATGTGTTTACACAACAAATACAATAAACAAAAAATGGATCCTTTTGATTACATGATGTATGGTTTTATATAGGTAATGTTAACAATTTCTGCTTCTTCCATAAACCGCTTGTTTACCTATGCTGCTTGATCAGACTATTGGAAGAAATCCTAGGACAAAGAATCCAATTCCCTGTCCAGTATATAACTACAGAAATTAAAGTTGAATACTTAGTCTCTGAATACATCTATTAAAAGGGAGTCTATCATCTTCCTACATAATTGATTCCAGTAATCCTAACTCACATTTTATTTGCTGTACCATTATTTAAAAATTATTTTACAATGTTGTTAATTTAAACACAAATATTACTTTAATGTCTATTAATATGCACAAATCAGAAATGATTTTTTTCAGTCCAAAACAAATACATCATGCTCAGTGAGTTCTAAACTTTTTTAGATCTGTCACAATTCAGTAGAAATAAAATCCCAAATGTTTTTGTTGCCCTGAGCTAAAAGAACCTGAAGTGATTATGGAACAAATGGAGCAAAGCTGGTATTCTGCAATCTTTCCTTCAGAAACAAAGATGATGCCACTGATACTTCTTCTGAATGGCCTGTATATGTATTTCTCAACTGTCTCAGCAGCTCCAAACACAATATATCCCACTGGCTATATACCTGCTGATCTTAACATCTTTCCTACCTTCCCTCCTTTCTCTCAGTCACCATTACTGGTATCACATCCTACCAACCCAACTATCTTGATTTTCTCAACACCTTTCCCTTTCATTCCTCACCATCAGAATGTTTAAATAGACGGTTCACTGGTTTGCTATTACAGAACAATTATCGTAAGAAAGGACTCTTAACGATGACTGAATTGGAATATTTTTCTTGCTATTGCTTACTAAAATACTGCATATTAGATTACATTCATGTGCCAGTTACAGCTGCAATCAGTGAGATATACTGTTACGTCCTCAGATATAAACAATTGAACACTTAGGAATATTATAACAAAAGAATTCTTGAAGGAAGGAGAAGCATACGTATTATGGTCTATAAATTTCAAATATACTTTTAATCTGAAATAATGAACAAAAATATTCCCTTAGATGGAAGACAAAGCAGAATGGCTATTATTAGGCTGCATTTATATCGTAAATGTATTATTGTTCAGTTAGGTAGAAAATGTTAAGATACAAGTCTGATGGGGAAAACTTGGGAAAAACCTGAGAGTGGCAGAACAAGCTAGGTATTATCCAAAAGTGAGATTTCACTGGTAGAAAAACATTAACAGAAGTATAGTATTGTGTTATGAAGTAACCATCCTATTCTGGTTTTGTATTATATCATGTTTGGAGTATATGGAGGCTGGAAACTAAGCCTAATGAAAAAGGTTGAAACAGCTGTATATATTTGCCCAAGGAAGAAAAGGTGAAGGAAATAAATAGCAATCTTCAGTAACACCTGAAAGACTAATATGCAAAAGATTGAGCAGGTTTTTCTTGTGTTGCTTCATGTGGCAACATCAGCATCATTGAATAGAAATTGCAGGGAAGCAAATTTTGGGAAAACTTTAGGGGGGGGGAATTACTAATTCTCAAGACATTCAATAATGTAAGATACTGTTCAAAAGGATAGTTGTATCCTCTTTGATAGAAGTATTTAATCAAAGACTCCATTGCTATTTACCAGGAATATGTAGTAGCATCCTACATTGTAGATCTTGCACTGAGTGATCATAGATTTGGATTGCGTTAGAATGATTTGATTTCCAAAGTCCTTTCCAACTTGTGAGTTTCTCATTAATGTTTAACAAAATCTAATCTTTGCTGTACTAAGAAAGCTGCCAGCATAAGGGTGAATTGTCCTGACTTTCCTTGATGTTATTTTGGTGGTGTTCTATGGGTGCTGGGTGGTGTTCTATGGTACAGAAAAGAACAGGATAAACCTGTGTAAATCATACTCTAGGAAATGAGACAAAGCCACATCACAAGATTAAAGTGAAATTGGATGGCTATAGTGTTCCATGTTATAAATACTGAATGAAAATGTGTAATGCTTTAATTTTAGTGTCTTTGAAAACTTTATTTTTTGGAATAAAAGTTTTTTTCCCTAAAATTCCACCTAATTTTTTAAACAAGAGAATTACAATATTTTTTTCTTTAGTTGGAAGCGTGCCAAGTATATTTTGCCTCCTCCCTCCTTTATTCCCGTTTTGGCTCTTTAGGTTACAAACTTGGCATCAGTTGGGGTTCATTAGAAAAACAAAGGGTCAGAAAAATCAATGAAACCACAATGTAGAAGCAGTTTAAGAACTGCAAAAATACCTGCAGTCATATTGTGTTTGACTCTATTGCTTAAAGGGGAACTTGCAATATATTAAATATAGCTGACCTGTTTCCCATTCTTCATCGCATTTGGCCACCTAGCAACAGCTGTTATGAGCGCTAATTCAGCACAGCTGAAACTCTGAAAGGCAGAATTTCCTCATTTGTTTTAGTGACCCATGCTGAGCCCATCTCTGAGGTAAGTAGCTCTAACAAGTGCACTTTCCCATTGCATTAATTGGAACGAGTGGGGGATTTTGAAAAGGAGTAACGCAATGGTCCATTTTTATAAGTATGTTTTCCTTATTCTATTTCAATATAATAAAAGCAGTTGAAAATATCACACTTCACAGGATGTCATGTTTATTAATTTAAGGAAACCTATCTTCCACCTTCTGTTCACACATTCTTCATTAATAGCGATACATGCCTCGCCCAACCCTGCAAGGTCCTGAATGCCACTAGGGATAACGCCCTTAGTTTCTTGTCGCCACGCATTTTCTGAGCTGCTCCCATAATCAGACGAACACCCCCGCGTGCTACTCCAGGCAGACTCCGCCTTCCTCCGAGGTTGCTGACTGTGGGCTCTTGGAGCGGGGGGGGGGGAATTGAAGCCCCGCCCCCGGGAAGTCTGAGGTAGCCAATAAAAACAGGTATCAGGCAAAAGGGGAGGCAATGATGGCGCTGGCCTTCTGAAGCGGGGAAGGGGCGAAGCAGGGAAGGCGCGAGCAGGCGAAGGAGTGACTGAGTGGCAGCGGTGGCGGCCGTCGGGGTTCTTTTTGGCGGCGGTTTAAGGTGAGAACGCGCTCGAGAAAACGGCGGAATGAACAAAGTGATGAAGGAATGATGTCCATAACAGAGATCTGTGTTGAGTCTGCTGGGGGGGGCTCACTCTTTCAGAACCGTGTTGAAAGGGGGCCTGTAGACGAAGCCTCTTCGCTTTTCCCTATTGTCAACCCTGTGGGTTCCTAGGATTCGTGGCCCAAGGATTTATGATGAAGTGGGGGCGCGAGGTCGAACCTGGGATGGATTAGCAGTCTTTTCCTGGAAAATATAAAACCACGGCCGTTTCTTTGGCCCCTGCCACTCCCTTTGACGATACCCATACCAGAGATGGGTATCGAATGGGATTCTTGTGACTTCTAGCCTGGAACCAGAGAGTTGCCATAATCTGTACACCCCCTAAATCTTTGCAGCCGAGATTTGATGCTGTAATTGTGTTAAATCCTGGTGATTGCTCCCAAGTATGCCGCACAACTTGGAACTTTGTAGCGAGGTTTGTTTTAAAACTCTTTTTCATTAGGGTTAGGTTATCTTTATCCTGATTCCATGCTAGCTGCTGAAATCAGCTGTGTATTTAAATAATTTTGTAATAATACAATGATTATTCTTCAGAAATTGCGTTTTAAAAGCTGACTCATGTCACTGTCATTTTGATAGATTTAATACAAGTCAGTTTTTTCAAGACGTTAAACAGCCTACTTTATTTTGCTTTTCTTCTAAAAAGCTTGTGGAACTCTTGCCTGTAAGTTTAAATGTTGTAATGAGTACAAACCATTGTTCCTGAAAATTGCTGCATATAGATAGCTATCTTTTCTAGTTTGCTTTAGCTATTACAGGAAACTTGGTTATATTCTATTTATTGTGTTTGCACAAGGTTTGCATATGTGTTTCTTTATATACTGTAAGGGCCACACAACGATTTACAATGTTACTAACCTGTTTCTGGTCAGTTTGGGCACAGGTAAAGTTTGTACATAAACCTCATACTTTTCTTGCAAAACATTTGCACTGATTGAGGTATGCTGAAAATATTTTCCAAATGGTAGATTCCTTTTCTCTAGATTCATATTGTAGTGTTAAATAGTTAAACTGTTAAAGGGAAAAATGTAATACAGACTTCCCTTTGCAACTACTTTGTGATGCTTCCCTTTGCAACTACTTTGTAGCTATTTTAACAAGTTGAAGATGGGCATTACATTGGTACTCTGAAGCCACCTTTTTAGAATTAAAACTGGAACATTACACAACCCTAAAACTTACATGAGCAATACAATTTTGTTTCCAATTCTGGTTAATGTATGTCACATGACCAAGCTTGACTGGTGGTTCAGTTGAGATAAGACACAAAGATAGTTACGATATCAGACAATATCAAGAAATAATTGAATGCTATTACAGCTATCACTTTTTCGTGAAGTAGATTTACAAATTATGGATACTCCAGTACAGGTAGTCCTTGCTTACAACAGTTCATTTAGTGGCCATTCAAAGTTACAATGGCAATGAAAAAAGAGACACATGACTATTTTCATAGTTACGACCTTTGCAACATCCTCATGGTCACGTGAACAAAATTCAGATGCTTGGCAACTGGTTCATACTTATGACCGTTGCTGTGTCCCAAGGTCACATGATCTCTTTTTATGACCTTCGTACAAAGTTGATGGAGAAGCCAGATTCACTTAACAACTAGTTACTAATTTATCAACTGCAGTGATTCACTTAACAACTGTAACAAGAAAGATCATAAAATGGGGCAAAATTCAATGTCTCGACAACGGAAATTTTGGGCTCCATTGAGGACTACCTGTAATGTATTCACCTTTGTTCAGGTAAGATTGCCATTCCCAGAATGTTGCCTTCATTTCCCCAGAATACACATATTGTATCAGCTCCTTAATGAGCCTTATGTTATTTGTCATAAAATATTGTATTTATTTTGGGATCCAGTCAAAAGTACTAACCTTGACCTTTTTAATTTCATCATGGACTAGTTTCCTTCTGACTAAATGGAATAAATGCCTACTTTTATATATTCCTCATCCTATACATTGAGACCAGCAGAGGCAGTGCTCTTGGAAATACCCAGTGCATATTTCTTGCAGGGTACAGTGATGTTTTAATAGTGGTGCATAGCTATGGAACTCTAGATAAGAATTAACTCTACAAGTTAAATAAAAACCCTTTCATCTGAAAGTATTTTTAAGTTTGGCAAGCTGCAGCCTTTTATCTATTATTCATTACTGGTTTTAGTTGTGTATTGTATTTAGCATTTTAATTGCATACTGCTCAGAAACTTACTGAGTGAAACCTATATAAATACAATTCAATTAGACCCCTTAATTTCTTACATAAATGTGTTTTATTGTTCTGGCATCTATAATCTTATTTTTCTTGCAAGGCTAGTAGTGCAGTAGAAGTTGCATGTAATTGTTATGAGTTCATCTTTTAAACTATTGCATTTAGAATGTTTTGTAGTACTGGTGGCCAATAAAAGTGATAGGAAGTGTCTTCATTTCAGTTAGCTTCCTAAACTACCATTTAAATTAAAAATCAAACTACCATTTAAAATTAAACTCGATATCAGGTAGTGGATTTATTTATCTCCGTATAAATATTATGAATAAGATTTTTAAGCAATTGTCAAAAACAATTTTGATGAATTGAACCTAGTTACCACACATATAACAATCTCTTCCAACTGTAAGAGTATTGACAACAAAAGGCAGATGAAAGAAGAGACTAGACCAGGGGTAGGCAACCTGGGCTCTTTTATGACTCGTGGACTTCAACTCCCAGAATTCCTGAGCCAGCATAAAAGAGCCAAGGTTGCCTACCCCTGAACTAGACAGTCACTTGTCTGAAATGGTATAACTCAGGGGCAGGCAACCCAAAACACTCAAAGAGCCACTTGGACCTGTTTTCCACCAAAAACAAAACACCGGGAGCCGCAAAACCTTTTTGATATCTAAAATGAAGATAACACTGCATATATCCTTTTTTACTTTTATTATAGGTGTGTGTGTGTGTGTGTGTGTGTGTTTGTGTGTGTGTGTGTGTGTGTGTGTGCATGTATACACACACACACACACACACACATTAAAAATAAAAGTAAAAATATGACTCTTGGGAATATCCATACTATTAAAATAATGATCACCAAGAGAATGCTTTAAGAGAATAAAATTACATATGCACAAAGGTAAAAAAAGGATATATGCAGTGTTATCTTCATTTTAGATGTCAAAAGGGTCTCTCTCTCTCTGTCTCTCTCCCTCCCTCCCTCTCTATCTGCCTTGGTCTGCCACTCCTCTTTCCCCACTCTCTTTCTTTCTCTCTCTCTCTCCCTCCCTCTCTCTCTTTCTCTCTCTCTCTTTCTCCCTCCCTATCTGCTGCTCACCTAGCAAGCTTCAAGCTGTTGTCCAACAAGATCAGGGGTAGGCAACCTCGTCTCTTTTATGACTCATGGACTTCAACTCCCAGAATTCCTGAGTCAGCCTAGCTGGGCTAGCTAGCTCTCTCCTGCCCTTCCTGCTTCCTGCAGAGACGCAGCAAAGGGAGGAGTTCCGCCCAGTTCCTCGGAGAACACTGTGAGTGCACTCTTTTACACACACACACACACACACACACACACACACACACACACAGAGAGAGAGAGAGAGAGAGAGAGAGTGCACTCTTTTACACACACACACAGAGAGAGAGAGAGAGAGAGAGAGAGAGCACTCTTTTACACACACACACACACACACACACAGAGAGAGAGAGAGAGAGAGAGAGAGAGAGAGTGAGAGAGAGTGTGTGACAGAGAGAAAAGCAGGGAAGCGCAATTGCCTCTCTCTGTCTCTGTCTCTCTCTCTGCAAAGGCAGAGGAGGCTGGGAGCCACAGGGGAAGGCTCAAAGAGCCGCATGCGACTCCGGAGCCGCAGGTTGCCGACCTGTGGTATAACTTCTGCTCATGCAGGGGCTGGACTAGAAAACCTCCAAGGTCCCTTCCACTCTTTTCTATTCTAAAGTATTGCAATAATAACACAAATAAAATAAATTCTAAATAAAACCTCCAAATAACTCTTAGCTGTACTGAATGATATTTCAATTTTTAGTCTGCATAAAACCATCAAGAAGAGCAGAGTTTGCTGGAGAAGATTAGCTCAAGACAGAATTGAAAGTGAAACAAAATCAAAGAATGGAAATTGAAAAGATATATTCCTGTTGAAAGTTTTTCTCTGCTATTAAAGGTGGGGGGTGTTTGCAGAAAAAGGCAAGATTATGTTCCCTTTATTTGAGAGAGGGGAAAGGCTCCATTTTGGAGATGGAAATCTTACCTGGAGATAGAAGGGAAGATTCAAATGGAAGATTGCCTTTCCCAAGAGTCTCACTGGACTTGCCTAAAAAATAGCTGGGCAGCAGAAGTAGCCTGGATTTAGGCCAAAAATAATAAAAAGTTCTCAAAATAGAACAACTCCATCATTGCAGAGCCTCTTCCTTATCCTTCTTTGAGAGGGATTTTGCTGCTGTAACATATCTTTGCATTGTAGTCCTTGAAAAACTTTTAATTGTATCCTAGCAGTGTTTCTTAGTACTCCCGGGAAGAGGCACAAAGACTTGGTCTTTTGAAGTAGAATATAGCTGTAATTTTATCTAGGAAAAACAGAAATGTATCTCTTGCCTTTTTAGGAGTCTTCCACTGATGAGGTGGCTTTGTTTTATAATCAACTTTTTCTCTGGAAAAGTTGGGCTAGTAGTAGACAGAGATTTGAGGTTCTCATTTCTGTTTATCTGTGCAGATTCTTAGTCATCCAGGTCATGGTTGTCTCAAAGGTGCTTTTTCAAAAGGCAATTGGACTGTTTTTGCTAGGAAAAACAAAGTCAAGTTGCCTTTTGAAAAAGCACCTTTGAGTCCCTTCTGTTTGGTTATCCCAATAGATCAGGGGTGTAAAACTGTCAGCCCACGGGCTGGTTGCATAATACAGAGGCCATGCCCACCCCAGCACTGGCAATGCGAAAAAAGTTGCAACACGTGACACAGCGAGTTTGACACCTATGCAATAGATGATATTGTCCAAGCAGAATACTTGGGTAAATGTCAAGTTGGTGGGGTTGGGAGGCTGCAGTTATTGAATAATTAGGCAGAAGAAACAAAAGCATATCTTGGTGTTAACCCATTGAAACAAAAAGTCATAGTGGAAGGTTGATGCTATAGTGGGTCAAGCTTTACAAGACAAATGATAAATCCTGACTCTTCAAACATTGAGAAAGTTATTTGTGGTAGAAATTTCAAAATCTCAACATGGCCGGATAGGCTGGTTTACTGCAGCAAGACATACCACTTATATAGATCTATTGCAGAAAATAGAAATTCAGCCCAATTTGTTTAAATCTTTAGCCTTTTCCTCCTGCCTTTGTAAATCAATGGACTTTACCCTGTTTTTCCTCAAGTTGAGAATCAGAAACATTTGCTGTTTATATAATGATTCTGTTTAGCTTGGGCATTGCTGGATTGCAGTTAGTTTAAGCCTTTACCCAGTGGAATGGAGGGTGTGTGTATTATCATTCAACATTTCTTGACCTTGATTGATCCCTTAGCTGGGAAACTAATCTTGTTGGTATTGGCCCGTTGGTAGGATTTTATGTATATAATAGAACACATAGATTGAAGACCCAAGTTCCTTTTTTATTTTCCAAACATATTAATATTATTTTTTAGAAATAACCAGAATTGGATTGTTCCACAAAGCACATCTCTTGACTACTAGGATTCAGTCAGAGCAAATTTCTTAGTTTTTATTGCCTTTTTACAAAATCATGATAGGAGAAATTTCTTTCAAAATGTAATTCATATATTAATATTTACTGTCAATAAACAATCAGTATCATTCAGAAGTATGGATGAACAATTAGTAGCTGTTTGCTGTTCTTTAAAAAGGATAACCTCAGACTTTCATTTAGCAAATTCATTTATTCATTTATTTATCTGTCAAATGTATATGTCTGCCCATCTCTCACAAAGTGATTTTGGGCAGTGTATAATAACATCTATTTAAAAAAAATATTATAAAACCAATTAAAATAATTAAAACAATAATCATGGATAAAACAAGACCATGATAAAGAAAATATTGTGGTACATATAATACAGCCAGCATGTGGGATCCCTAATACCAGAGGATTCCCAGACTTGCTGAAAAAAACATGTTTGGATTTTTTTCCAGAAGGCCATGAGGATTGGGCCTAACTTTATTTCAGAGGAGATTATGTTCTAAGAGCAGGTGTCATATGGCAGGAAAGACTCCCTTCCTAAGTCCTGTCAGATGAAATTATTTTGCAGACAAAACTTACAGTACACTTCTGTTGAACCTGATTGTATGGGTAGATGTAATCTTGAAGAGACAGTCTCTCGGATAATCTGGCTCCATGCCATGTAAAGCTTTAAAGGTCAAAACTGGTACCTTGCATTGACTGCTAAATGTGTTCAAGTAGCTTTGCTTCAGTAGTGCATTACAATCTATTCTATATCTTTCTTGAAAATGAATGTAGATTTCAAGCCTGAAATACAAATGGTAACTTCAGACATCATGTCCCTAACATAAAAATTAAGACATTAGTAATTAAAATAATAGCCTTTTTAAAAGAGATTTTAAATTAATGATTGACATTCATTGTATGTTCTGTGGACAGAGTGGACTCTGCAAACTCATGGAGCCATTTGGCTAAGGATTATGAGAATTGCCTATACTTCTGAAGGATGTATTGCCCAGACTGGGGAAAGTTCCACAATGACTTATTTTATCCAGTGAGGCTGCCAAGATTCCTTTCCCTTTTTTTAATGCCACAGACAACTATGGGCAAAGGTTCAGACATTCAGTAGGCTATAAATGGAAGAGTTATGAGATTATTGTCTAAATGGAAGAGTTATGAGATTATTGTACTATTTTCATTGAACTGAATTAATTGAACTAAAACATTAGTGGTGATTTTGATTTTTAAAAAACATTTCCTCTATATAATGACTATTACTAAAGACATGAATATAAATTTACATACTGTATTAGTTTTTATTTTAAGAATTGTAAAAATGTTTTAGGAGCAGTTATTTTGCAGTAATAACAGTTTTATGCAATCGGATATTAAGGCATTATTTGTAAAGCATGTAAATATGCATATAATTGCAATATTAAAAAGTATATAAAAGCAGGAAACTGTATGTGTGTGAAAGTGTAAAACTTTACTGGTATGAACTACATATCCTGTGAAACAAAATACACCTCAATTTACCTTTCTTTGAAATTGAAATAATGCTTCTTGGTTAGTTGTCATATTTTGCTCTGAATACATCTTCTTGCCACAATGCATAGAAGACTCCAATTGTCTATTTATTTGTATTTAACAATATTTATTGGCCATCCAATCCATGTTTGAAAATATGTTCCATCTATATTTAGAAATGAAATTAAGCCTCCAATCTTTGATTCAGTATTATGAAGTCAAGTCATTCTATTGCTCTCTGGTCTCTTATGAATATGCCTGGGGATTGAGCTGATGTTGAAACTTGAAATGAGCACGCTGTATCCTGAATGTGAATGGCATTTCATTTTAATATCTCAAATGTAGTTACAGTACATTGTTACAAACTTTCATCTAGATGAATGATGCACAGGTGGGATTAAAAAACATTCATTGGTTTGGCTACTGAATGTACAAGATAAATTACAGAACTGGTAGTTTGTGAATCTCATTTTTTTTACTCATTTATTTCTTCCAGAAAGCTGTCCTTCTTACTACAAAGCTAAAATTTAGCTTCCTATCTTTTTGAGATAGTAATGTATACAACTGTATTATAAAGCAAATGTTGCTTTTAAAGCTTTAAAATAATATAACAATAGAAGCTTAAAAGTAGCCTTAAAAGCCTTGCAAATAGCCTTTAAAGCAGTACAAAAGTAGTTTTAAAAGCCCAGAAAAAAATCCACACCTTGAAAGTTTAGAAGAAAAACCAGAAAATCCTGGCCAAGCTCATGTATATAACATAGCCCTACCCATCTTGTTTCATTGTTTTGCACACTAGCAATCCATCCTCCCCCCCTCCCCCATATGACAGCTAGCCCCAAAAGATTGGTTATTCTTACCATAAGATCACTTAATTATTTTATTATTGTACAAACTTTTTCAAGCCTGGAAAAAGCAGTATTTTGCTTTGTTCATTTTTAAGTATTCATATTAAAATCTAATCCCTGTGTTTCACTTTAGGTTATTTGGAGTGTTGCCTGATGTGAAAAATGGGAGAAATAGAAGGCACTTACAGAGTATTGCAAACTCCAGGATCTCGTTTGGGAATGCAGAAAAATTCTGGAGTGAGTACTCTGGAACCAGGACAGAATATTTCTTCTGCCATGGTCTCAACATCTCCTAGAACATATGAAAGATCTATACAAATCAAAGTCAAGCTTTTGGATAACACTCAGGAAGTACTTGATATTGAGGTAAGATTTCAGCAAGCTGTCATGTCCAAATGTTTAAACTTGCTTTTTGGAAAATGGATTCATTTGAGTGAGAATATATTGTTTGAATCTAGACTCATGGCTTACTTATTTAACATTGGAATTAAATGGTAATGAATGTTTTGTTTAAAAGGTGTATATGTATGTATACATATCTTGGGGAGAATTCTTTAAATTGTACAAGGCAAAGTATCCTATGTAATTTTGTAGAACTTGGAATTAAAAAAAAAGATGGGAGTTGTATTTAATTATTAAAAAGGAGATGACATGCCCCACTTGCAGTGAAATATTATATAAAATAATATTATATTCCTTAAGTACAACCAGGCAAGAAGCTGCTTAGCTGAACTAGTTAATTTTCTCCTTGCTCCTCTGTTCTGAGTTGCTTTGGATATACTGATATTGATAAATTACTAGATACTTTGTGGGCAATTTTCTGATTTTTGGATAATATGTTTTACAAAAATCTAAACAAATATCCCTTATAAATAGTGATATAATTAGTTCCTTTATCATAAAAAATACTATACTACTAATATGAAGTTCTTAAAATATAACAAAGTCTAATGAAGGTTTCAACCACAGAAGCACTGATTTTATCTTTAGTGTATGACTAAATGGAAGCTTCCCAAATGTATTTCAATAATTGTAAAAAGTGTCATGTTGTTTAGGCCAGGGGTAGGCAACCTTGCTGACTCAGGAATTCTGGGAGTTAAAGTCCACAAGTCATAAAAGAGCCAAGGTTGCCTACCCCTGGTTTAGGCTGTTGTATTGGCTGTAATGCTAAAGAACATTACCAGTAGTCAGTACAGATCAGTTTGCTACATTTTTAGCATTGTCAGAGAAAGCATTGCTCACTTGTCTCCAGAGTGGCAATTTCATAGAATCATAGGGGTAGAAGAACTTGAAGGTCATCCGGTCCAACCCCATATAATTTGTCTGAAGTATACTATTCTTCCTAAATCAGTAAGATATGTATCACCATTTTTTTGATTATCATCAAAACAAATGGTATTCCTAAAACTAATGTTTTATGCACAAACATTATGCATCAGTTGAGCACATTTTCAAGTAATACAAAGGGCATGGAAAATTCTATGTTTTCTTAAGTTTTGGGACAGTATTGCTGTTTTTCTTGGCTATCATTTTCTCTCATAATTGCCAGAATATTTTGAAATACTTACTGTTTGTAGAGAAAAGTACAGGTACTCCTTGACTTACAACAGTTCATTTAGTGACATATTTATGACGGTCGTAGTGTTCTGGGGCCATGCGGATCACCTGTTGCAACCTCCTAACAAGCAAAAACAGAGAAGACAGATTCACTTAACAACTAACTTAAGAACTGCAGTGATTCTGCACAATTAACAATTGTGGCAAGAAAGTTTATAAAATGTCTTAATGTCTCACTTAGCAACAGAAATTTGGGGCTCAATTGTGGTCATACATTGAGTTTCTGTATAAGTAAAGAAGAGTGAGATCGGCATTAACTTATAATTTCTTGTTACTTTAAAAACTGTAGCACAAATTCTCACATTATTCCATAGAGGCTTTCAATTCTACAAAATATTGTGTTACCTTGTACTATGTGAAAGAAAAATTGTTGCTGTCCCACCTGTTTGATCAATAGCTGTAGAACTTTACTGGATTCAGGTCATTTTTAATGGAGTTTAATAATCACTAAATATTTGTCTAGTTTTCCTGATATGTCATGAGAAATTCTGTGAATCCCAAAAGACAATTAGTTTGCTATTCAAAACAATTCGTTATTACTATCCAACTTTATTCATTTAGCATAGAATATCTATGTGAATTTTGTGCAGTTTTAATAGACAGAGTGTAAAAAATATTTCATCAATCAGTATTTATTTATTTGAAGTCTACATATGGTCCAATTTGCCACATTTTGAGAATGAAAGTCAAGAACTGCTCTTGGCTATTAGAACATCTTTTTACTGAACTATACTGAATAATCTGAATGTTTTTGCACTAGTTGTGATTTTCTGTGAATTTTAAACTTAATTATACAGGAAGATATAAATGATATAAAATTTATACACAGTTGAAACAGAATGTCTAAACAGAGATTAGTTTTGCCATTGAAAAACTGTGGGGACAAAAACTGGAATTTCTTGTGAGAGTCGGTTATAGTGGCAAGTTACAGAATAACAATCTCTTCATATTACTTGTAGCAGTTTTGGGACACCATTTGGCAAACACTCTGTTTTTAATTCTAGAAAGAAAGAAAATAAAGATGAAAATTATTTTTTTCTTTTTTCTAACAGCAAAGGGCTCATTTATATTTTGATTCTTTTTTTTAGACATTTCTTCATAAAACAATTTATTTCTTGAAATTTCTTCTATACAGTGGGAAAATGTGATCAGCTTTAGAAATGCGGGATTAATGCTTTCAAATCCTATTAGACATTGTTCTTCAATAGATTAAATACTGTTTAGCATAGTCTCCATCTTGTTGCCAGTCAGAAAAAAGACTAAATTCCAGAAAGAATTATTGCCAGATGTTTGTCATGACTCTGAATATTCTAAATTTGGCAAATAAACTGCCTGAAGCTTATTTTTATCTGCCCTCAAAAGAGAGTTAGTAATTCATGGCCGAGGATATTACAGGCTGTTTCTGCAAAAGCAATTTAGGTTTTGTGTTGCCCCTGTTATTTGATCTGAAATATGGTAAAACCTGTTATTTTGTTAATGGCCTGACTTTCCTTTGAAGAGTTTTTGAGAACAACAGTTTTACCTCTCATTTAGTATTAGTGAAATAAAACAAGAATGAATGCATCATCCAAGAAGTAAGATGCTTGTTCTTGATAAAGTAACACATTTTTAGTGATACTGATTTTCTAGTTCTGTTGAAAATTGAAGAATTGAAGACCATATAACTTGAAAGTCATATATTGGCCATTCTCGCTATAAAGTTTGGAGAGAGTGACAATATTTTATTTTTGAATTCGTTGATGGCATTTTGCCTGTAAGTACAGTTCAGTTGTTGCTGTTTTATACTTGTCCTAATCGTCAGTCTGGGTTTTCTGGAAATGGAAAATAGAAGATCTTAGTACAGTATTGAAGAACTCCACCAGGAAATGTTTTTTTAAACATTTTTTATTTTTATTTGCCTTCCTAAAGTACTAATTGAATTAGTTCTCCATATTGCTTTTTCCTCTAGTAAGAAAATGATTTTGTGCCTTCAAATCAGTCTTGACTCCCAGTAATATATGAACAAGCCCTTGCAGTTTATCCTGACACCATAAATACAATTTTCATTCATCTCCAGGTAGCCCTTTATCATGACCTGTCCCTCTTTCAATGACCTATAACAGGGGTAGGCAACCTTGGCTCCTTTATGACTCATGGACTTCAACTCCCAGAATTCCTGAGTCAGCATAGCTGACTCAGGAATTCTAGGTGTTGAAGTCCATGAGTCATAAAAGAGCCGAGGTTACCTACCCCTGACCTATAACAATGAATTTGCCGTATGTCATGAAGGATCTTACAATAACTCTTTTTCTTACAGAACTCATGGGAATTCAATGATTCAACTTAAATAGAGATTCTATTAGACATGTTATATAGGGGATCCTCATTCAGCAACTGTAATTGGGACAGCAAATTGGTCATTAAACAAAATGGTTGCTAGTGAAAATCACACAGCCACGACTGTGCTTATTATTTTATTTCAGCTTTCCTTTGCTTTAGGAAGGATACAACTCCAGACAGCCAGGTGAATTCAAATGGCAAGGAAATGTGTCTCACAAGGAAGCTAGGTTAAAAAAAAAAAAGCTCTAATTTCCATCACTCCAGTGCTGGGACAATTAGGGAGAAGAGAATTAATTTTTGTATTTAAATTCATTGAAGAGGAAGGGATTACAAGAGAGTAAGCAGGCATACAATGAGGAATACAGATAGAAATGTGCTAGCACTTGCTGTTTTCCTACCATGATTTTGGCAGTATAAGGCAGGCTGGAGGGGTCTAATTAACTAATTAAGGTCACAGAACTGAGCTTGTTAACTCCCAGTTAACACTTTTTATGGATGCCTTGTACTGCAGAGAAAAGCAGCTCAGGAAGAATAGCTTGTTTAGGCACTCTATAAAGGGGGGGGGGGTATCAGGAAAAAAATATCAGGTGCAGAATGATACATACTAGTTGACAGGTGAACGTGTAAAGGTTGTAAATGCTGGTATTGTTCTCTATGAGAGTGTGTTAGACTGGGATCTAAAATGGTACCATATTTACTCAAGAATGTGTAGTTATCATTCAGTTTCTGTTTATTTTTGCATTACATAGCTGAACCCCATACTATATCATTCCATGTAACAATGGATTCTTAAATTCCTATATACTGGTAATATTTGATCTATGACCGTAACTGAGGTTATAAATCAAGGACTACCAATATAATACTTAATTCAAATACAGGGATTCATGGAGCAACAGGAGAATGGTGTTTGAGAAGAAAATTCTCCTTGTGTTTTTGCTTGGTTAATGAAACATGTTGCTTACTTATTTTTGTCTGATTTGATTAAACATTGTAATTGCCCAAAACTAAAAGCACGAATGTTAGCTCCCATAACTTCAGAATTGAATTACATTGTGCAACACATTCAGATGGATTTCTTATTTGTGAACATTAGAGTATATACCTCCTGTATTAAAGAAATAAGAACTAACAGCTATAGAGATATTTGGATTATATTTCAGAACACAAAATGTGCTTAGAATGCATAAAACTTTACAAGTTAAAAAAGAGAAATGTTAAGTTAAAAGTTGATTACTGTAAATCACTATCACATTATTTTTTCAAATGTTCTTCTGTTAATTCTTTCAAAGTCTTCTCATTATAGATGGATCTGTCATATAGAAGAGATTGCCATTTGCCTATCTAAGAATAGGTCTCTAAGGGAAAAAAGTTACTGGAGAATTATACTGCTTGAAATAAAAAGGATACTAAAACAAATCATACAGAGGGATAAAGTAGAAATAAGCTATTGAGAGAGATTTGGTAGATTTTAGTAGGAACAACTGTATAGTTGACACAAAGTAATTGAGTGATAGACAGCTTTAATTTGATAAATCAGAGCAACATTACACAGCCAGGCAGACAGTGGCTTAAGTCAAATTTTAAGGCAAGCAGATAAAATATGATCCACCCTAGAAAATGAGAATTTCCAGTTTTTCTGGGCAATGTGAAGTTCAAAGTAGATCTAGTTCTTCTAGTTATTATTTTCTTTGTTAAAATTAAGATTGAAGGATCCAGCACTGTAATAATGTTGTAAGTCTAAGCTCTCAGCAATAAAAGATTGAAAAATAATTCAAAATAGGAAATTTGGGGTCTTTGGTGCAGTCTGACTTTGGTTGTTTTCTTGCAGACATTTCAATACCAGACTAGGTGACATCATCGAATGGACTAAGACTAGCACTGATGATGTTACCTAGTTTGGTAATGAAACGTCTGCAAGAAAACAACGAAGCTCATAGAGCATCAAGTTCAACCCCAAGGTACAAATCTCATCAAATGGGATAGAAAATTCTATTGCAACTTTATAAACTTTAAAGACTCTTATGGACTTTTAGCATTGTCATCAAGATTGCAACTATGTGAGACTAATGTATGAAACTTTCAGTTTACAGTATGTATCTTGAAAACTCATAAAATTTTAAGCTGAGAGTATAAAATACATTCCTGTTTTCTAAACAGGTATAAATTCTTTGCTTGAATTAATTGTATCTTGACAGATAAAATGAAAAATAATTAAAAATATAGTAAATAGTTTAAAGGCCTACTTGAAATTGCTAGAAGAAAATGTTATCATTTTTTGAGAATGTTAAAACATCATGGAGAGCCAGTTTGGTGCTGTGGTTAAAGACACTGGGCCAGAAATTGCGAGACTGTAAGTACTAGTCCTGCCTTAGGCATGAAGTCAGCTGGGTCAGCTAGTCATATTTCTCAACCCTAGGAAGAAGACACTGACAAGTTATTTCTGAAAATGTTGCCAAGAAAACTGCGTGGATATGTCCATGTCATTCCCAGGAGTCAATACTGTCTCAAAAGCACAACATGCAACAACAACAAAAAAACCTCAAGCAGAAAATATGACTAATTTGGATAAATATAAGAGTTTTGAGGATCCATTTTATTTAAGAAACTGGAGCTATTCTTGAAAGATTGAAAACCTAAATAATTGCAGCAGTGGCCATCCAGTTGAGTATGGGAAAGCCATGATCCCTAATAGCTATAGTTTGATGGTTAATCTCTAATTGATAGTCTGGTTTTACACGCAAACACACACACACAAACACACACGGTGGCTTCTTGCTTGCTTACTTTTTTGCTTTCTTCTACTTTTAATGTTCTAAAGCACTTGGAGTCTTTGTGAAGTTGCGTCTCCTTCTAAGTTGCATAAATAAATGTAGGAAGCTCTTTAAAACTTTAGTTCCCTGCATAAATCTTGAATGTTACAGTAGTAGTATCTTTGTGTTTTATAATAGTAGGGAGTTCTGTAAAATTACTAAACTGGAGCAAATAGAAATCAGTTTTTTTACTTATTGGGAAAGCATGTAAATATATAACTTATACATGTTATACATAAAATGCTGAATCACCTTATCTTGGAAGTGATTGATTTGAACAATCTATTTCATTTGTAATTCAAGGATGAGGGACCTGATTGATGGATAGCTCATTGATTCTTCTAAGGTACCTGTTTGAATTGAATTGAAGGTTTTACAGTTCCTTCCAGAAAATAGAACCCTATAATTTTGACTGCATACTTACTATTTAGATTCCCATGGATTTTCATTTTTTTTTCCATGCTTTTTAATATCTATGCTTAACTGCTAAAAGTGGCCACTTGCAAGTTTGGATTCTAATATTAATTTGTAGATGGTATATAATTCCCTTTTTCTTTCTAGATTTCTAATTCAAATGATATTGGGATGAAGTTTGCTTGAGTGCCTGAATGCACTAATAAATTCCATATATTTAGAAGATGAGGAAGACCTCACTACAGGATGTTTCCAAATAAATAATATATAAATACTATAAATATTATAATATAGGGATACTTATTGGTAACATAGATAATTTACTTAAGGCCATTCATTTAGTGACTGTTTGAAGTTACAACAGCACTGAAAAAAGTGACTTATTGTTTTTCACACTGATGACCAGTGTAACATCGCGCCATAGACACATGACAGTTGCAGTGTCCCAGGGTCATGTCACCTTTTGCAACCTTCTGACAAGCAAAGTTGTCACTTAACAACACTATTACTAACTTAACAGCTGTAGTGATTAACTTAACTGTGGCAAGAAAGTTCATAAAATGGGGCAAAACTCACTCAACTCCATGCTTAGCAAAGGAAATTTTAGCCTCAATTGTGGTCGTAAGTTGAGGACTACCTGTACAACTATAATTTAGTGTAGATGTGGTACCCTGGTACCCTGGATAAAGTGATTAATGATCAGAGAATTTCTTTGCAAAACTCTTAAGACTAGTTCAAAAGCTTCAGCTGATAACAATGTATGGTACTAGTAAGACTTTTCCTGGTTCCAGGAGCTGTGAATATATGCCAGAACTTTTTTGGCTTCATATTATTTGTTATTTATTTGTTAAATTTATTTGCTGTCCATCTTCACTATTTTTCTCTTTGGTTGATAGTAGTATATGATGCAGTGTGTGCTGCAGCAGTGTTTTGGGATGGCTTGTAAGAGGGTCCATTTCTGTTCTCTCATATCATGTTAAGAATGCTTGGAGTTGCGAACATTACCTCCTATTTATCACATAGTATATTGGTATAGCTCTCTGACACCAGGGTAGCATCCTTAACTTTGCAATTTTTATTTGGTAATATGATGGCTTCACTGTAATATTTTTGGAAGCTGGGCCAAATGCAATTGTGAAGACTGTGTCAGACAAATGTGACAATCCTGGGGGATAACTTCTCATTGGGGCATTTTTTTTGCTAATAATAATTGAGTTGATAAATTTTGCTTTATGTTCACCTATAAGTTTAATAACTGCTCAGAGTCAGTTGTTTTTTAATTGTTAATTTCCTGTCTTGAGTGCTATTAGAAAATTCCAAGATCCAGTTCACCATTAATATAAGTCCCTCCACCTTTATGAACTGTGGCAAATAAGGGATACTAAGAGTTATAACTCATTTTCCAGCTGCTGTCAAATTATAAGAAAGATCATGCTTCTGTGTATTATTGTTATATAATTTTTAATTTCCTTCCAGTCTAACATAAAACCTAAAGTTTAATTTAAAGTAATTTTGATTATGTAAATTTGACGGTTCCCTAAAACCAGATGATCTGTTGAAATATATGTATCTATTAAAGTACATTGTGAAATGGGAGGACTAAAGTACTCTAGAATTTTGTTGGAATTTATGCCACATGAAAATGATAATAGTATAACAAAAACTTACACTGTATTGCTGCATATACATATAGCAATATTTTTAATAGAACGGTTTAAACAATTTTTTAATGCAAACCTTTGAAATTAGCATTACAGTATTTCTAACATTTAATACACCTTGATTATCATAAAAATTAAGTTTAAATTTTTATTTTTTCAGTCAAAATGTTATGGCCAGAAACTACTGACAGAGATATTTAATCGTCTGAATTTGATTGAATCTGACTATTTTGGAATTGAGTTCCAAAACATGCAATCATATTGGGTATGTAGCGTGTTTTTATATTGTTTTCATTCTTTGATTTTGCTTGTTTGCTTAAAAAAGTCGGTAGTGAAAATTAAGTAAAACTTTTTTATTAATGTGATTATGAATTGCCTTCTTGCATGGCAGAAATGTTGTGCAGTGACCAAAAGTCCACATAAAGAAACATATATTCCGCAAATCCTCAACAGGCATATAAACTCACCAAGAAGTCCATGAGTACATATCCACAAAAAATATAGCCACCATGTTGTTTTGTATTTCATTTATTTCTTCAACATGTTTTGAAAGAATCAAGATCTTGGTTCACATAACACAGTAGGCAAACATGTAAAACAACTTGAAGTTTTGCTTCATGGAATGACCTAATACAGTGATGGCGAACCTTTTAGAGACCGAGTGCCCAAACTGCAACCCAAAACCCACTTATGTATTATCAGGTGCCGGGTGGGCATGGCCCATTGGTTGGGCATGGGCCATTAGGTGGGTGTGACTCATTGGATTGGCTTGACCCATTGGGTGGGCGTGGCTTCAGTGATAACGGCAGACTGGGTGGGACTAAAAATTTCAATCAATCAATTCCAACTTTGCGAGATCTTTTTTTTCCCTGTGAGAAGTTGAAATTAATTGATTCATTGAACCTTTTTTTTTTTTTGCACATGGCGACGGAGGCCTAAAGCGAAAAGGTTTTATAAAACCCAGCTGAAGGCCTAGGACTGGGGCGATGGTGTGCGTGTCCACAGAGAAGGCTCTGCGTGCCATCTGTGACATGCATGCCATAGATTTGCCACCAGGGACCTAATAGATTCAATTTTGCAACTAACCTATATTACATTCAGTATGCTATTGCTAATTGGATCAAACTCTAAAGTATTCATATGGACAGATTTTTCCTGAGATTAATTCCAAGAGTGTTCTCCTTTAATTAGAATATATTGCAATTCTTTATCCCATCTTTTTCACTATATTTCTGAAAAGTATGTTAACAGATGTTTTTATTTACTGGATATAGTTTAGCTAAATTAGTTTTTAAGTGAGAGATGCAAGCAGATAAATATTAGAATTGATTTAATTGTATGATGATATTTGCCCATTTATTTGTCTATGTTTTTCATTCAGATTTGGTTGGAGCCAATGAAACCTATTGTGAAACAAATAAGAAGTAAGTGTATACATTTATAAATCAATGTTTCTTTCAAGAATTTAAGTGAAACAACACTTTTTAAAAAACTGATGCTTCTCACATTCTGAAGTATTTATTTTAGAAACATGTTGGCACCCCCATTCCCAAAGGCTGAAGTTATTTTAAAACAATGATTAGCATTAACTCAGTTAATTATACTATTCTTTAAATTGCTTTGTATAACAAAAATAACAATTTAACAAATACAATAATACAAATGCTGATTATTTTGTTTTCATTCTTCTTTATAGACCATCTGTTTTTTTCAGATGGCAGAAGGCAGAACTTGTCCTTTTAACAAGCCTCAAAATCCTCTTTGTTTGTTTGTTTATTTATTCTAATAATGAAATGTCTACAAGAAAACAACTAAGTTCACTGAACATCAAGAACCTAACAATTCAACCCTGAGCTCTAATATTGGATTTATCTGGAGATATTCTAACACAAACCTGCTTAATGTACAGTAGTGATTAAGACACTAGGCTAGAAACTAGGAGACTATAAGTTCTAGGTCCTGACTTAGGCATGAAGTTATCTGGAGGACCATCAGGGTCAGAGGGAGGCTCTGATGAATTACAAGACTCACGGTCTGATGAAGAGCCTCGCCCCTCCAGTCGTGTTACAGATGAAGCTCAGCTATGTGGGGAGAATGAGTCAGACTTGGAGGATTCACACCTGATGGACATGATTGATGCTCGTAGACGCAGGCAATTAGCGAGAGTAGATCAGCAGCAGTCAATACGAGAACTCCAAGGGAGGAGGAGAAGGCACTGAGAGGCAATGCCTTGGGACTGCTTTATAAAAAGGGAAGGTGTGGGCGGTGCTGGTTGCTGAAGGCAACCATTGCAAAGTACTTCATGGGATCATGTTCTGTTAGTATTGCCGGTGACTACTTTTCTGTTTTGCATTGTGTTTCATGTGGACAATTTCCTCCATTTGGATTGTGTTTTGCTGCTTTTGTTTCTGGACTATTTGGCAGGTTTGTTACCCATATTAAAAGGGGTTTGTTTTCTTTTGAGTCTCCAGCCTATTTTCTCAACAGGGGTTTTGTCCTTGTGCATTTAACAAGGACGGCCATAGGCTGGGATAGAACAGAACCTTTTAGAGACTGAGTGCCCAAAAACCCCACCCCTGCTCCCCGCCCAGCCCGCTCACAGGGCCACCCACTGCCTCCATGGCCTGCCGTAGCAGATCACCTAGGCCTCCCACAGTGCCATCGTGGCTACACTCTCCACCCATGCCCCGCAGCATCATCTGCACGCGACAGGGCACAAAGGCAGAGTCTTGTCCCCACTGCCCGGCTGCCATGTCCTTGGCTGCACTGCTCCACACAGGCCACGCCAGGGGGCGACTCTCCGGGGGCGCTTCTGGTGAGGGGGCCACCAGGGAAGGCAGGGCTGGGTTGATGGTGCGCATGCCCACAGAGAGGGCTCTGAGTGTTGCCTCTGGCATGTGTGCCATAGGTTCACCACCACTGTTATAGGCTATGATGAAATAACAATGAATAATTGATTTATGAATGTTTTATTATGCTTTTTTGTCATTTGTAGGGAAATTATTTTGTTTTCATGTAAGTTATAATCAATAAGAAAATATTTATGAAATTCCACATACTGTCAAATGTGAGGGTTGAAATAGGACACAAGATTTTCCGTAGCAATAGCAATTATATAAATGTGCAACAATTATTTGGCTACAAGACTATCAGGCATTGTAAAAAGAGTCAATTATTTTGTGGACAGAGCAAGAAAACAGCAAATTTAAATACTTATAGATATAAGAGCAATGTGCACTAATGATATATAGCTGATTAGATCTGAAGTGAAAAGGAGGGTTCAGAAGAATTGTGGGTAGGTTTCTGGAATATTTTTTTTTTTAAAGAAAGCCATGCCTTAGTGTGGGCTTGCATATCAGTTGTACAGTTCCAAGAAAGCTTGACCTAAGAAGAGAACATCAATAAGTAAAGGAATCTGCACTTTGTACATCTTTTGGCTCATAAATCCTGTTGGCTTCCCACATAAACTTATGTTGTTGTCACTATAAGTTAGGTATTCACTGCTTATTTGAGAGTCTAGAGTTCAGTGGACAATCTTCCTGTTAATAAATTAGATCTTTGCAGTGGTTGCTGCTCTGTCATTGAATTATATATGGTTTATAGAAAATAAATTTGCTTTTAAGGGTAATCTCTGCTTCTAGAAGGAATTATAGATGCTTCCATCTGTTGATTTAAAGACAATTTCAAATAGATTTTAGCAAAGGGTAGGGCCTGATTGTCTCTCAATTGATAGCTTACATTATTTGTTCTTGTGTTCAAAATTCTGACTTTATCAAATATTAAATTAATGAAATTGTTTTAATTTTTAAAGGTACTTTTGGAAGATTACAGTGGTAAACATGTCTAAGAAATTTATTAAATATTGAATTAAAATAAACTATTTGATCCTGCCTTCTTCCCCCCAATAAATTTAATTTGATATTTTGTGTGTAATACCTCATATATTTTTATAAAGTGTTATGTACTAATGAATGTACTTTTATTCATTTGGGAACCCTCCCAAACTTTGAAAAATAGAATCAGGACAGTGGTCTGTAGGGCAGTGGCAATCTATTGCTAAAGTCATAATCCCATGATTAGTTTTAAAATTTATAACAATTAAAAGCATCAAACATGCAATTATAATAAAATAATAACATTTGTGAGCTGTTATGTTTTAATGATCTGTTGGCTTTCTATAGGACCAAAGAACACAGTGCTTCGTCTAGCTGTAAAGTTCTTTCCTCCAGATCCTGGCCAATTGCAAGAGGAATACACCAGGTAAAGACTTTCTATATTCCATAAAAAAATTAAGACAGAAACATTAGCTTTTATTAGTTGCAGGCACTATTCCAAAGGTTGGGGGAGTGGGGGAAAAGGAAAGCTGAAATAAAATTGTAAGCAAAGTAGTGTCATATGAATTTTACTGGGCAGTGAGTTAGTTGCCTGTCCCAATTGTCGCTAAACAATGATTATCAATATACAAAAATGAGAAAGCTCATTGTGGATGAATGAAACATTAAACTTTGGGCACATGAAATAGTATTGATCAGGTTTTTTATACTACTTTTACAACTGTCTTTCCCTTGTATAATTTTTTGCTATAGCCCAAGCTTGGTAAATTGACATATCTTTGCATGGTGATAAATTGTTGGTGTATAATTCACAATTAGATTCACGCCCTTAATCAGTGAAGATTGGAGATATAGTTTAACAGTATCTGTAGGTTAACCATAGAATTATGGATTTGGAAGTGACCATCTAGTCATCTAGTCTAATCTTCTGTAGTATGCAGTCTTGTGTCCATAGATTTGAACAGCAGCCCATCAGTTTTATTATTAAATCCTTGATGCATATCATTACTCGAATATGTTGCTTATATTAAAATATATTCATGCCAGATTTTGCACTCTTTTTAAAATTGATGTTAAAGTTTTCCAAATCTGCCTATTAGGATGGTAAGTAATAGTCACTAAGATGATGTAGCAATAAGCAAGTAGAACTCTGTAATTCTTATATGTTAGTTAGAGACATAGAGTAAAAGTAAGCAGCTGGTAATGGGCCTGTTTCAATCTTCATACTATAATTTATCTTTTGCTTTTTCTATGGCTTTTGCCAGATTGCATCCTTCTTTCCAGAATGTGTAATATTCTGTGGTTCAAATGACCAAATATGTTACTAATTCTTTCCTTTTAGATATCTGTTTGCACTGCAAATGAAGAGAGATCTGGCAGAGGAACACCTTACCTGCAATGACAATACAGCAGCACTCCTCATATCTCATCTTCTACAATGTTAGTATGTAATGTTCTTTTATAGATAAGAATGCATCAGCTTCATACTTGAGAAATACTGACATATGAAGTATTTGGCACTTTGTTTCTTTTGTTAAATGACATATATGAAGAAATGTTTTTACTTGTAATATAGCTTTGTCCAGTCATTTTTTTGTAAAAAAAAAAAAAAAGTGCCAAAAGTCACGCACAGCTCTTGTGGACTGGCAGAAGCCTCTAGCACTGGTTCCAGTCGAAAGCCCTTTACGGAGCTGGAGGGGGGGGAAACCACTTTAGGGAACTTCCAAGGCGCAGATCACATGAGCAGCGTGAGCTGGACGCCATTGCCACGGCTTTTGAGAGGGTGCTTGTTCGGAGCCGGGATGTCTTCTGTCACCTCATCCTCCTCCGCCTCTGATGACAGAGCCAGAGCAACCAAGGCGGCAGTTTTGGGAGCGCCCCTGGTCCCTTGAAGAGATTCACTCTAGGAGCAAGTCCTGGTCCCTGGTGGCCAACGCAAGGGTGAGGACAGACAGCGGTGGGGGAGCCCCGTGAACCAAGGCGGAGAAGAGGGTCTGACTTCAGGGTCGTGGAAGTGTTTCCGGGTCAAGCTTTGATGCCCCCGATTTCCCCGGGCAGCTTCCTTTCACCGAGCCAGAGCTTTACTCGCGCAGGCGGCTTAGAAGGAGCTGGTTCTTCCCTTCAAAAAAAGGTGCCGGAACGTCATTCCAGTGCGTTCTATGACAAAAAAGCACTGGCTTTGTCATTTGATTATATAGTCTTGACTCAATGCACTATTTTTGGACAAAAGATATAAATTTTACTGTGGTATTAGTTGTGTCTGTATCAGCCGTAAACAATGAGGCATCCATTCCCTTTCCATAAGCTTTAGTGATATTTATTTTTATACAGTTATGTCTGAGCCCTTTTGACAATGTAACGATTCACTTTAAATTCAGCAATCCTGTAGTTATTGTTCCAGCATAGCAGCATTTATGATATATACTAGATACTGAATGTCACTCAAGATTAAGTCAAGGGCTGTTTCTTTTCTAGTTTCTTCCATGATAAATGAGTGTATCTAGAAAATTCAGCTGAATTTGCATATTTCTATGTACCTCACAATTTAAATAGCAGTTGAAGTGAAACTGTTGGAAAAACTGAAAGCCTATTTGAACCCTTGAACTTATCAGAATCACATCTTTATCATTAGCCTATAAAAATCCTGTCAGAAAGCAAATAATAAATTTTTAGGATGAAATTTGTAAAATTAACAATTCTTATTTTTATGTATTATTTTAGTACATAAAGAGCTAATCTAATAAATTAATAGTTTTTATAAAATACTATAAAAGAATAATTTGCTAAGAGTTTCAAATAACTGTAATCTGAAATATTTAAGTATTTTGTTTTAAATATATTTTCTATTACGTCACAGCGGAAATTGGAGATTTTGATGAATCAGGAGATCACGAGCATCTTAAAAACAACCAATACTTTCCCAACCAAGAAAGACTTCAAGAAAAAATACTTGCATTTCACAGGAAGCATGTGTAAGTAAAATTATTTTATGATTTTTGTACTCAGTGCAACACTATACTGTATTGAAATTAACTTTGCAATAATGCTTGAAAGGTGGTTTGTTGCATGGCTCAGTTAGGGGTGTTTTTGTGCTTTAAGGCAATTTTTTTGCAATGTAATATTTGATATGTACAGTCTTAATATATTTATTGAGTGGCCAAATTTTAGGCAAGATTTTTAACAAACAGCTTTTGCTAGTTTGAGCAATATATTACAAAAGTCAGTATGAAGAGAACAGCTTTTGTCTGTGAGATGTGACGTTTTTACTTCAGCTAAATCAGCATAGATACCCTACATTGTCTGCTATGCAGATACAGAGGGGAAGCATGTGGTTGCATTTACTAACATTATAATCTGTCCATTGACATGATTTGCTGCTGTAATGATTTGGTGCTCTAATTGAGTGGGTACAGTTAATAGCCCCATTATATATCATGTTTGGAGTAGACTTCTTTCTGTAGGTGTATCTCCACATTTATCATGAAGTTCATGTATTATTTATTTAAATTTATATGCTGCCTAACTCAGGACTATAAACATTGAAAACAATAGAAGAGCAAAAAAGATCAAAATTAAAAAAGGAAACAAAAAGACCAAAACACCTCCTTGCCAGAAATCAATACCCAGATAAGCAGAGATAAATACTAAAATTAATAGGAAACCAACAATCAAGCAGTAAATAATACCCCAGTCAAGGAACTACCAACTCAGACAATCAAATAGTAAACAATAGGCTAATCAAAGTATTACCAAGAGCACCTCTATTCAACACTCACAGGGTAAGCAACTTATATATAAACAGAGAACAACCACCCTCCCTTTTAGCACTGATGATGTTATCTAGCTGGGTAATGAAATATCTGCAAGAAACAACCAAGCTCACAGTACCAAGGACCCAGTTTTAAAAACAAAAAAAAAGTGCAAATTCCTCATTCTCGCGCAGACTAGAACCCTGCAGTTGGATAACATTTAGATGCTTTCTATTTATGATTACTTTTTTAGGATATCAACTATCTTTTCCACTGAGTGCAAAGTTTGATTTAATGGCCTCTTTCAATTCTGATTGCAAAGTTTTTATTCTGAATAGATCTGGGCCATCCAATTAACTTCTTTTTAAGAGACAGTTGAGTTGTTCTCAGAGGATTCCAATTACCTTGATTGTTTTTAATTAGAGTTCAGACCTAGTTTTGAGGTAGAATCCATTTTGATTACTGTAATAGATGATGTTTTATAAGAGAATATAGAGGACTAGATGTTTCTCTGCTTACTCTTTCAGCATGTTTTAATATCATTGACTACAATACTGAACTGAAAATAAAAAAAAATCTTCCATCCATGTATAGTATAAATTATTCAGTTATGTATTATGCATTAGCCTCAGTCAAGTTTTTTATCAGATAATTGTATGTTGATTGAAATCCAGATACTAAATAAAATTAGTTAATAAAGAGCATCATTTTCAAGTCATTTTATACGCTGTTGTTAGATTAGTTCCCCCGTTTGACTTGATAAAGTAAGCCCATGCAGGAAAGGAGTATTTCTGTATGGTTCCCTTAAATCATCCCATTTTAAGACATTTTCAGAATTGTCATAAATTCATCATTAACTTCTGTATTTTGATTTTATTTTTACTACTAAAGGGGTGAAACTCCTGCCGAATCAGACTTCCAGGTGCTTGAAATAGCTCGGAAACTGGAGATGTACGGCATGAGATTTCACTTGGCATCTGATCGTGAAGGGACAAAAATTAATCTGGCTGTTTCAAACATGGGTGTATTGGTTTTCCAGGTAAGAAAGTAATTTTAAATATATCTTTTAAAATGTTCTAAGTTTAATCTTAAGAGCTTTCTGAATGAGAAATCAGAGTTCACTTTTACAAGTCTTGCTAACATACTGAGTCAGATTAAACTTTACGGCTAAATAAATATAAATGATTAATCCTACTATTTGCAAAGAACTGTTCATTTGGAGTCCATGTAGTTCATTTACCCATCAGTTTGCCAATGCTGGTGGTTTCAAGTGAAGTAGCACTATGACCTGGGCTAGTAATTTTGACATGTTTAAAAAAGGAAACATATTCTTTAAAAACTTGATTATGGCAGCATGACATGCTGACTAGCATAATTAAAATGGTCTGATTCAAGAGGGTTCATATATAACCTATAGCATCTCATCTCTTATCTCTGCTTAAGTCTTTTTACCAAAGTCCTGTAGAATCTTGTTCTTGGTATCCAGGAGAGAATAGTAAATACTTTATTTATTTAGACAGTTGTAGCTAAAAAAATAATCTGATAGTATATCATTATACATATTGTTTAAATCTTGTATTATCTAAAGTTTGTTTTATTTATACATTTACTTTTCACATTTCTGAATCACCCATCTCCCTCAAAGAGGGACTCTGGGAAGGGTGTTTAAATCCTCTATTATGTATATTTCTTCACTTGTTACATATTGCATTTAACGCAGGGCAATATAAAAATCAATACTTTCAACTGGTCCAAAATCCGAAAAATAAGCTTCAAGAGAAAACGATTTCTTATCAAGCTTCATCCAGAAGTTCACGTAAGTACTGTCATAATATATTTTCTATACTTTTATGTTGAGTTTAAGTACGAGTTGATATGCATACAGACTTCTGCAAATGAACCTGTTATTTTTGTGACATTATGTTCAGGAATATTATTTAATTAGACAAAGATGGGTTCCACTTATAATTTGAGAACACAACCTTTCTTTTGTATATGTTGATATTCTAAAACCAGTCATGTCTTGTATACACATGACAATGCACTCCTACGAGAGCCAATACACTGGTTGCCTTTTTCTGTAGTTGTCTCCCTAATATGAGCCATGCTTCTTCCTGAAGGCTCAAGCAACCCAGCATTCACTTCGTGCAAGGATATTATCTGTTTATAGTTGTACCTAATCTGATATCAAAATTTCTTGTAGTTTTCTTCGCAAGGTATTTTTTACTTCATGTGGCAATTATTCATGTACATTGAAAAATGTTGCTCAGCATAGAGTAGTGTGATTTAAGTAGTGAACATTTGACCTATAGTTGTATTATTGGTACTTGGAAGAACATTACAGTATTTCAGATATTGTCCTTTCTATTGATGCTAAATAGCCATTAGCTGAAGCACACATAAACTTTTTCCCCAAAGATGGTATTGTGCCACAAATGCCTAACACATGTCTACAGAAGTTTTGGGGCAAAGTTTGGGGACACTATACGTATGCTTTATTAGCAATAGGAGACACTAGTTTCATCCTTGTTGGAAGTTCTCAGGCTTAGAGATCTTCATACTAAATTGCTATGTTTAACCATTTCACAGACCTATTTTGTTAACATAGTATCCTAAAAATGCTGTGACCAGTAACTTCTTAACATTTATTTTTAAGACTAAGAAATTACTTTTATTTTACTCCTGCTGGTATTTATTCATATTGATGAATGATTGTCTCCAGATGAATTTTGTCTTCATTTTTTTTTGTTCGAACACTTAGTGCAATTCAAATAGTTTCTATTTCCCATCCAAATCATTATAGTATAAAATTAGAGAAAGGGCTATGCATTAGCTTATTTCTAGCAAGAACTGTTTAAATTACTCTCTCTCTTACCTTCCCACAATGATAAATTAATGGCTACTCTATGTAGTTTAGATCTGCATTATAATATCTGTCTGACTGGATGAGAATTGAAATAGTGTGCTTGAGCCTTGTTTGTTTTGTGATACTAGGGTCCATATCAGGATACTTTGGAATTTCTTTTGGGAGGTAGAGATGAGTGCAAGAACCTCTGGAAGATATGTGTTGAATATCATACATTCTTTAGGTTATCTGATCAACCAAAAGCAAAACCAAAACCAGTCTTCTTCAGCAGAGGATCATCTTTCAGATACAGGTATAATAATAACTCATTTTCTTTTGTTCCAAAAAATTTCTTTTTCTCTCTTTTTTAACCTAAAAATTTAGGATCTTATTACTACAAAAATTAAAAGCACAGATTTAAATATGTTCTCATGAGGTTTTTAAAATATTTATACTTATTGTTTTACAGTGGGCGAACACAAAAACAATTGGTGGATTATGTTAGAGAGAGTGGGTTGAAGAAAATTCCTTATGAAAGGTAATAAGCAGCAAACTGTTACTATTTTGGAATTTGTCTTATATGTTCCTTAGTCTTCTAAAATAATAGTGTTCTACTATTTATATTTAGAATAAATTTATAGCTGTACAATTAATTTGACTTTGGTTTTCATGTTTTTAGCAACAATTTGATCTTTTTGAATTCAAAATTCATTAAATTTAGTGAAGTTATTTTGATAATTGAATGTTGATTGATTTAAACACTTTCACTTCAGATAATGTCAATTGGAGGAATATCTTACAATTATGCTTTATATATATTTGTTCATTATTACAATAATCACAGCAAATGGTTATCTCTTATGTGGAGTAATATTTGTAATGCTTTGAATGTCTTAATCGCTTAATCCCTTGTTTGTTGCTGCAAAAATAAGTTTGGACACTATCTCATCTCCAATAGAAAAAAGAGTTGTATTGGGTATTAGTAAACATATGAAATTGTAATATGCAAGGGCAGGTTACTAGTCTTTTAAGTTCATTGTTATTTTACCTGATAAAAATTGTTCCAAAATTCCCACTTTGTACTCTGCAATGTTTAGCTGGAAATGTGGGTAATTTAATCCCAGACTTACTACATGAAAAATATTTATTTTAATGTTAAAATATTAAGTTAGACGTTCTTAAAATGCCTAATACTTTTGAAGTTGTATGAATACTATGTTTGGTATATCTGAAGTGAAGAAACAAACTTCATAATCTATACTTAGCTTCTTAAAATATACATTAGAATATGGGCTGTTTAGAATGTGACTGAATCTTTTCAGAATGTGCAACTAGAAGGAATGATTTTAATTGCTGGACAGGTAGGTTGGAGGTCAGAGCCATTATTTTCCTCCATCTGGACATTTGGTAGTTTAAACTTCAGAGATCCTATTGCGTGTTCAACCATCAACAGAGTTAGGATGATGGGAAAAGGAGATAAAATGAGATGGAAGGAACTCTCTAAGCAAGTCAGATTGCCCCCATTTTTGCTTAATTATATTTAGGGTTTAGTTGGCTTTTACATTTTTTTCTTAAGCAATGTTATTTTAGATATTTTAATGCTGGGTTTACTTTATATAAAAACTAGTAACTTTTATATTTGTATATTTTATATTCTTAATATTGCAGTTCTGATTTGTAAACAATTTTTTAGGAAGTTAAATTATGAATGTAGAAAGAGAAAGTTCTGAGTTTCATATTTTTACACATTAAGTAAGCTTGAAAGAATCTCTTTTGTAAAATCTTTTTAACTTGTATACAGCAGAAAGGGAGCTTGGATTATTTCTCAGTTGCATGTATCAACTTCTTTATTTACAGGAGGCATAGCAAAACTAGAATGTCTGCTCACACCTCGAGTCCTGATGCACCCAAACAGGTTAGTCTTGAAATTAACCTGTTTTAAATAAAGTATCATGATTAAAAAGATTATGAAAATCACTTGATGCTTCTTAAATTTAAAATACGTATTTTCTTTTTTATTTCTGGTAATGGTAGATAATTATGCATTATGTATCTTATAGATTATATAGCACTATGTGCTACATTAACCAAAATGTAGTTTGTAAAAGCCTACAAAATAGGATTGTCTTGACAGCATGAAGATTCAAGTTTTTTCTCTTTCTTAATTTCCCTCATGTTAAATTCCATATGCTCCTGCCATAACCAGCTCTTAGTTTTAGGTTTGCTATGGAGGTTGAGAAAAGTGTGTACTGTTTAAATCTATCAGCAAAATATAAGTGGATGGAACTGTGCTGTTTGTCCAAGTTCTTTTGCTAAATATTGGATATTACCTCTTTTCAATAAGAAATTTAATTAATGAGGGGGCAGGTATTACCAGTATACTTACTTTTCAGTAAGTGTAATTTCTGATAGGAATGTGGATTTGTGTGATTGCTGGAATATAGTTAGCATAGTCGCATAGTCATATAATTACTGATCTTAGTCATCTATCAAGTTCAGAATTTGGAGCCAGCATAGTTTTCCAGTTAGGCCTTGAATGGAAGTATATTTGTTAAATTTGAACAGCTGCTGATTTTCAGCGGAGAACCTCTCATAGTTATAGGCTACTCTGACTACCATCATTCCTTTAAAGCTGTATCATTAAAATTAGATAAATTCATTTAATTGTATGAGAATAACTTTCACCTCCCAGTCATAAAATAAACATAATCTGTGTTTTGCTCCTTAATAGGATCCAAATAAGGTGATGTCTATACAAAGGAATCATTTAATGAACACATGCCAGACACTTAAAATATCTAAGATCCATTTAAAATAGCTGGGATATAATTTATCAAATTAACACAAAAAAAATTGTATGCAAGATCCTACTTTCAAGAAACTAGATAGTAATGAAAAAGAAAAGTCAGACAAAAAATTAGGCTAGATGTTTAAAATCACGAGGTTTGCAATTTCAACTTTATCTTAAGATGGACTGAAAAAATACAGTTTAGATCTTATAGGTATCATGTTATAATATAGTTGTGAGAGAAAAAGGAAGTAGCACCTGTAACCCACTCAAAATATATATCACCTCTCAATGGTGACACACAGAAGTGCCCTGGCTTGGCATACCAAAAGGACTGAGTAATCTATACAATCTTCTTATTTGTCTCTACTCTTAACTTCGACTGCATGCTTTAAGTAAGAATTTCTGGCTATTTCTCAATAAAATCACTATCCCTGCTTGGTGTGAAAATGGCATCATTTGTGCACATCCATACACACACGTGTATTTACATTGGACAAACACAACAACTTCAAAGATGCAGATTGTGTATGAATATTTGCAAATCAGCTGTTACTATTATAATAGTAATTTACTATTACTTGATTTGCAAACTGTTTGACTTTAATCTCTCATATTTGCCAATATACAGATATTTATCAGAAAATTGATAGAGCAGAATAATGTGGATTCAAAGAAACATTTTTTTCTACATTGTTCTGTAGATCAGATTTCCTCACGAACCTCAGTTTTAAACCTATAATTTTTTTCTGCCTCCACCAACCATCTCTCTTTGCTCCATGTACTTCCCTAAGTATTGCCACCAATATAGTCTTACAATGAAAATTCAGGAGTTACCTGTGGCTTTATATGGTATGAAAAGCCAGTAGAACTAAAGTTACAAAAACAACATTGTACAGGTAGTCCTCGACTTACAACAGTTCATATAGTGACTGTTCAAAGTTACAATTGCAGTGAAATAAGTGACTTACAACTGTTTTTCACTCTTACGACCATTGCAGTATCTCCCCAGTCATGTGATCAAAATTCAGACACTTAGTTGTGGTACCTGGATCATGTGATCACCTTTTGCAACCACCTGACAAGCAAAGTCAATGGGGAAGCCAAATTCACTTAACAATCCATGTTACTAACTTAAAACTGCAGTGATTCACTTAACAAGTAGGGCAAAAAAAGTCACAAAATGGGGCAAAACTCATTTAACAAATGTCTCGCTTAGCAACATAAATTTTGGGCTCAGTTATGGTCATAAGTCAAGGACTATCTGCATGTCATAAAATGTATGCATATACTCATACACATTTAAGGTGAAATGCATTTAGTTTTCAAATATTTATACCGATTTGTATAGCCTTCTTTTTAATTGATGTAATTCTGGGTGGCTGACAAAAGTTTAAAAATATAATACAAATACTGTATAAAATATATTTCACAATGAACTAAAATATAAAGCCACTGTCACAATATGCCAGTAGTATAGACTCACATACTCTTTTAACCCCCATTCCCATGAAAATAGCCACGTCTTTCAAGACTTTCTGAAATAATATAGCATCTTTATGTGTGGCTTGTTTTGATAGTTACGTCAACAAGCTGTCAGATAAGCAACCAACAATTGTCACTCTGCCATGTGTTGATAATGTTACTAAGAACCCAATATTTGATTATATTGACATTTGGATAGTAATGTAATGTAATGTAAAAGTCACATATCTTTCCTAGTTACAGAAGACATGCAGCTTTTATATTTCTATGCAATATAACAAAAATAAAATGGGCTGCTAAAGCCTGTAAATGCAGCAAAGTTAAAAATTATTTCTTTGCTATTGAGTTATATATGTTATTCTAGTTTCATGATTTTAGAGAATAAGTTCCTCAACTAATTTATATATTTTATGTCTGACCTTCTTAGATTCATGGTGAAATAATTGATCTAATAATAAATTTTCTTTTTTCTCCAGAGTGTCTCATTTACAGAAGGGTTAAGAATCCCAGCATCTAGTGCATGCACATATGCCTCCTTCCATATGGATAATTTATTGTCTTCAAACATTGCCAGCTTGTCTTCCTTGACAGAAAGCAATTCTTTCTTTTTGGAACCCAGAATGTCACATGGAGGGAGCTTGTCAGCAGAAGGAAATAGTGTAATATCAGAAGAAACTGGGAACAAAGTGGTACAACAGCCTGGATCACCAAACCTCCAGTCATTCCAAGGTGTTGGGATTTGTAATGTTGAAGAAAACTGCAGCCCCATTTGTTCTGATGTTGAGAATCATTGCGCTTTAGAAATAGCAGTAGACAAGTATAGCAAACAAGGCAGGATAACTTACAACAATGACAATGATGAGGATGATGATTTTACCACAAGCATGATCATTGCTGGTAAACAACATCGGCTTCAAGGTAGGGATGCCCCTCTTGTAAAGCTAGTTAGTTCTCAGCTTCATGTTTCAGAGGAGTTCATTGATGATGATCCAGCTGAAATCTCCTTTTTTGCTGGAGGCTCTGAAGCTTTTTCTTATTTGTATGATGGCCTAGATTTAAAGGATTCAAATCTTTCTAAGTATCTCTCAGAGTCACCTACTTTAACTAAAGAAATTTTGCAACAGAATATAGTATCCTCTCATTCAAGTCCTGATAGATATTCAATTGAAGCAGTAGATATGAATGTGGATGATGAATTTGAAGGAGATAGTGATTTCAATGGAAATCAGCAGCCATCAGATACATCAGAATTATTTGAAGTTAAAGCACAGGCAAGCAGAATGCAAAGTCTCCTGAGTCCTTCTGAAACTAGTTCACTGATTAATAACCAATCTGAAAGTAGCTCTCTCAACAATTTAACATTAAATGGCACACCATTTATGCATACTTACAGCTCTGCTAATCAGTCTGAAGCTAGTTCTATGGTGAATTTTCCAGCATATTCAGTTCGTTCTGAATCAAGCACAGCTCTTCAGTTCACTGACATTATTGACCAGTTAGAACAACTGAGTTACCCACCTACCACTACAGAAGACTCTAGTAGTTCTGATGATTCATGGGATTCAGAATCTGCACCTCCATTAGATATAAACCTTTTTTTTAGTAATCCTTTTGCTCAGGCTACAGTTGAAAATTTCTCTCTTGACTTTCAGAATAATCTCAAAAATCTCACTAAGGAAGATAAATCAGAAAATACGTGCACAAACCATTAATATTTGGGATGATACAGCACATTAATTTATGCTGATTAGAATCAGATTTTAAAAAAGAATCTGAGCATTTTTCCTGATTATTTTCAGTCATTGGAATATAAATTTGTAGACTAGATCACTTTTGTTGATTTTCATCATTCCAATTTTTTTAAGGCATCAAGAACAAGTTACATTGCAGTGAAGGCATCAATAGTAAATACAAGGCACTGTAATATATATTCATTTATTAAATATTTTTAAACTTTTTGTTATAAAAATAATAATGTAGGTAGGGGTGTGTGAGAGACAGACAGACAAAAGTCCTGAGTTATATTTTCCAGAAATCCTTAAAACATTATACTTAGCCTATTTTTTCAGTAACTTGTTACTGAGGCTAATTCTATTATCTTACAAAAAGAAGCATGATTTTCGGGACTGGAATGAAAACTGAGGTCCATCTGCAGTTTTGAAGTAAGCTAGCCATAGGAAGATGTATAATACTTACATTCTTGTCCTTTGTATTTCTAGAATTTACAAATTACATGTTTTTTTAAAAAAATAAGTGCAATTATTAGTATATCACATTGTTTGCATTTTCAGTATGTAACAGAAACTATTTTTAAATTCTCAGGTATTAGAAATATGTGAATTTATTGGTACGTTTTATAGTAACAGTTATAAATACTTTACAGTATAAACTTTATAAACAGCTATAATCACTATAAATTCCAGGGAATGAATGAATGAATGAATGAATGAATATAATATATCACAGCATTCTTGATAAAAGCAAATTGAACATGTTGGATAAACTACTTTCTTCACTAGCCTTTAGAAAAAATCAGGATGTGGGCAGCATAGTATGCAATGAAATGCTGATTTGGGTATTGAAACTAGAGATTCATGGTATTCAATAGAACTTTGCATGGAAAAGTGTAAATGTGTATGAATAAATGTCCAATTCATTCTGTTGTTTAAAAAAGGAAGTTTTCCCTGTTTTCATGATTCTTATTCTGTTTCTTTTAACAAAGTTATAGTTCAAGAGCTGTTTGTTCATTCTTAAACAGTCTATGCTGTAGAAGTCATTTTTTTCATCTTACAATAGTCTGAATTCCTCAAAGCTCTTATGTTTTAAAATTCCTCAAACCTCTTATGTTTTATAGAAAAAAAACTCGATGTTACATTGGTCCTCTAAAGGTCAACAATCAAGCAGGAAAACATAGTGGGTTTTTTTTTCCAGATAGGAATATTAAAGATCCTGTACAAAATAAGTATGTTTTCAGATAGTTGCAGCAGCCAAATCAGTCCATAAAATTCCATTATATACTGATAGGGTATTTGATTGCAATAGATGAGATGTGATCTGATTAGGTATATATCAGATACATTCATTTTGTATAGTATATTATTATAGATCTGTATTCATTCTGTATTAAATAGTTATTTTGATCAATTTAAAAATAGTAAGAAGATTGGTGGTGTTGTGTAACTAAAGAGCCACACATAGTCGAGCTTTGGAGGAACACTATTTGTGTTACTACGTGGGTGTCATAGCAAGTGGCGTAGCTGATGGATTGGCTGATTTTGCATGTATTAAATAGGGTCAGAGTTGGTTACTGCTTGAACAGGAGATTACAGAACTAGATCAAGAAGTCTTTTAAAAAATCTGAAAGGCAGTGGCAAATCTTTTTACAAAAACCCAACATGGACATATCTCTATTCACCAGTCAAGTTTAACCAAAAATGTATTTTACTGTTGTTTTTGTAGAATCAAATATTTCAGCTCTAATCTCAGTTTTAATCATTATTGTTATCTCTTAATTAGGTAGAATTACACTTATTTAACAGTCTTGTTCACCTGAGATAAATACTAATCATTATTAGATAATACTATAAGATAATAATACATATCTTAAAATATTTATTTAGGGCATTACTTAAAATATGTTCATATTCTCACTTTTTCATTTTGTAAATTTTTAAATATTATATGGAATGATTAGACTTTTATAACAAAATTCTTAATATTGACTGTTGGTTACTTACCCTTTAATGTTAAACTTCCTCCCAAGAAATGTTGCATATTAGAGGGCGCAAGGTGACTAAATAAATACTGTGGACTTTTTTTTACAAGTCTTTATGCTAACCTTAAGGAATAAATTATATTGGTAAAATTTACTTGTAGCATATTAGGAGACTCAACCACTAAATAATGAAAAAACATTCCTAGGTACAGTTCTTTGAGAAGCTGTCATAAAAAGAATGAGGGTGTTCCTTCAGTAGGTGGAATATATTAAAAATACATTATAATTCCATTAGTGACAAAGTATAACAGGTTGCCTTCACAATATACTGTAATTACTTTTATTACATGTTTTATAATGCAAATTATTTGTGCCTTGGTATAAGCAATTTCATGTTATTGGTGCTTACTTATTAGGAAAAATATTCTTAGACTGGAAATTCTTAATTATTTATCATGATCATCTACATAATATGAATGCTTTATACATCATTGTTTCTGTTGAAATTGATTTTATATCTACAGATTTGTATTGATAATTTTGAAATTACATATCCAATAAAATTAGAAGGTATTCAATATAAATAAGAACACATGTTTTAACTTTTTTTCCTTGCTCTTTCTCAAAAGAGAATCATTATTAATTTTCTCAGGCTTTCCTCATTTGCTGTCCGATATTTACAGTAGGAGTAAATTTTTAAGCAAATATGAAATACAACAAATGTTTTTTCTAAAACATTTTGTTTTTTTATATTTAGTATTAGTTACGACTTTGGTGTGATATATTCTTGCTCACAGTTAAAATTTACTTTACTCATGCAATTAGATCATTGTTAGGTACAAAAAAGAAAACAGGCCTAAACAAGTGATGCCAGTTCTATACCAGTAAGATAATCTGCATATCCATATTGCTTGAATTTAAAGTTATTATAATTGATTTATATTTTTATTTATTTGATTTACATGGTCACCAGCTAATATTTAGGTCTCCTTCCTTATCAACAAATCTCTGGAATCAAATGTCCTTAAAATTTCCCATGGTAAACATGTAGAGCTTTTAAACTTTAAGCACACTTAACATTTTTCGTTCTTACTCTTGAATGTCATCATATTTTGTGTCCCAATTCAGGTTATAATTGTAGGAAAAGATGCAGCAGGGAAGTACTTATAATATATGTTCAAACTCTTTAAGTATCCTGTGCCCATCCACCCACATTTTCCAGTCAAGCAGAAGATTACTATAAGCATCTAAATATCTTCATTGATTACCTTTAGGTGACATGTTTCAGTGATTAAATCAGACTTCTTTCCAATATTCCTAGGTTTTCGGAGCCATTCGGATTCAGCCATATGATCTTAACTGAGAGCAAAAGTTAATGAGAAACCTGAATCTTCAGTCTAAATTAGCTTTGTTCCTTTCAATAATGGCATTACAAATTTAAATGTAGATACTGTTTTTTCTAGCTTAAGAGTATAATCATGTAATAGTTAAAACTTAATGTTAAAATGTGGTAGTACTTCTGTTATTTCAGGAACACTTTGCAATGCTGCTCACAAGTTATTTTTAGAATAACACCAATACCACAGTAGCATAGTCACTTACAAAAATGTTTACATTTTTAGAGAACTTCATATAATATCCACCTTCCCATATAACTGAACATTTATCATTGATTGGGAAATTACTTATTTTCAGTATTTCTTAATATATTAAATTCCCCTTAAAGATGTTATTTTAATCAGGACATGTTTTTAATATCATTGGCATTGTTGATCAATGTTAGAGAATTATACTTTGCGAATATGAAGTTTCAGAAACAGATCTTGAGGAATTACTATTTCAAGTAAGTAAAATATTTTCCTTGGGATATTTATCTATCCCTTTTAATCTCCATGTACTACTATACGAATATATGCCACATCCTGGGAAGAAAGTTTTTGGATTTTTATAGTGAGCAGGTTGCGAATTCCCTAGTTCCCTTGAATTGCACTCAGCTTTATTCTGATAATTGGTGTTACACCATTATGACTAATATTTATAGTTATTTGTAGAAGGCAAAAAGATAAATGGCAATTACAATTTTCCAACCTTCAGTATAATTTAATAACTGAACTGACTGGTTTTTAAGCAACTTTGCAAATGTAATGTTACATTAATAGTTTTGGTTAAAAGATTTCACTAGACAATAAAGCACCTGCACAAGATACATGCTTCAGTCTGCTTTTGATGCTTTTATTAAAAGTAAAGATATATTTCAGAATTTGTAGTTTTCATTGAGAAATCATTTACATTCCTTTTCTTAGTAGCTTGTTATTGCTTAATATTTATACAACTTCCTGATCTCAGAGCATTTTCTATACTCGTTTGATATCTTCTAATAGATCCTATATGTTTGTCAGCACTTATTTGATAAATGGGGGCTTAGGTTGATACAAAGTATGATTCAATAAAGCTCAAAACTGAGTTCAACTTTTAAGGTGAAACTTCAAGGATATGTTATTAACCAAATACTGCATCAGAATTTTATTTGGTTCTGCACTTAAACTTTGGACAAAACATTGGAATTCACTAAAGTATCCAAAAAAATGACCCACAAGGCTAATATTCACATTCATCCTTCTTAGAACTCCTTTGTGTAATAAACTTTTTACACAGAATAATTAATGATTGTTCCCATACTAGGAATCCCAACATTAAAAAAAATATTCTTGCTGAAGAATAAGAACTATTTTCAATAATTCATATCAAAATATAGGAAGTAGAAAGGATGAATAGATTTTAGAAAATGCATTTCTGTTCAAAGTATATAGAAAAAGGATCTTGCACATAGGACGATTCAGCTTTTTTAGAAAAAATTCATTTCTATAACTTTTAGTTCCTGGTATTAAGCCATATGTGGGCCTGGAATGTGACCTTTGTGTATGTGTGTGGTATGTCTTTTTTCTTAGAAAGATGAAATATATAATAAAGAGTTGCCAAGTCCTCTGTTTTGCAGCAACAAACAGTGATTGTGATATATAATTTGTGAAGCAGTGGAGAAACATTAGGGGATCAATTCAATATTATAAAGTAATTGATCTTTGTTTAGAGACCTTGGTTTTTAATGTTCTCATATGATGAGGCAGTATTTTAATAAATGTACTGCTTTTGCTCACTTCTAAGTAGATTAAATTAAGGAAGAATGGGGAACAGAGACTATTGGAAATCTGAATGGACATTAATAATGGAATAGCTTCCTTTTTCCCTGAATGTTTCCAAGTGGGCAAACATTGAACAAATGTATAAAACAAAGCAAATTTGGAGTTGAAGAGGAAGGACAGCCTTCAGTCTAAAAAAATAGCCATTTTTGGAACTGATGTAGCTATAATATACATGTTAAGTTTCCAGAATATTAACCTATTCATATTTTAACAAAAAGAGTGTATTGTGATACACCTAACAGATATTCTATATGCATGCTGACTCCCAATTTTTTTAAAGATTTAAATAATAGTTCAAACTAGACTTTGCTATGTGTTTGTACTGTACTTTGGCATTAATTTGCCTTTTCCAAGTATTTTATTGGTGAAATGCTTATTGAGCTATAGATGATTAAAGGACAGCTAAAATTACTGGATCTTTTCTTTTAACTAACAGATGTGTGTGAAATTAAAGATATAATCCTGTATCATTTTGGTATACCTGTGTTCCCACTTCTTTGGCAAATAATTTCTATTTGTATTTTAAACAATCTTCTGCTGCTAAAAACCTTCACATAACTTCACTGTCGTGATGCAGGCAAAACAAGAGGATACAGTGGCAATGGAAGACACATCTCTTACATGCTCAGAATATTTCATCCACAGATACAAGGCCTTAGGTAATTGGGAGACAGGGTATCGAAACTTCAGGACGCTAGATTGTAATACTCCTCCTAGGCCTACACTTAAACTAGTGGTTTTGCTCAGGTTTTGAGTCTTTTTACAAAGGAACCTGTATACATTAATTTTATTAGATTTTTTTAAATCCCACTTTTATAAATGACTCAAGGTGGCGAACATACATAATACCTCTTCTTCCTCCTATTTTGCCCACAACAACAACGATGTGAAATGGGTTGCACTGAGAGAGAGTGATTGTCCCAAAGGCACCAGACTGAGTTTTCATGCTTAAGACAGGCCTAGAATTATGAGTCTTTTATATTTTAGGCCAGCGCCTTAACCACTACCATGCTCTCATACATATTTCAATTAGACACTAACACCTTCCTCAATTTTGTATCAAAATACTTCTATCAATTGAGTTCTTATAGTAAAAACATTTTGCAGAGAGTAACATTCTGAGATTATATATTTTAACTTAGATAAATATTCATGGCATTTTGTGCTCTTTGAAATAGCTTAAAACAAATAGCAAAGAAAAATATTTTCTCCTGAAAAAGAACAATAAACTGGACTGGTTGCAAACTGCATAACAGACAATTCATTTCCTTCTTTAAATTTAATTTCTTGAACTAAAACAGTTTTCCAGTAAATGGTTTTTCCTCCAAATAACAAATGTCAGTAATTTTCATTCTTGCGGATCTTACAGATGCTGGCACAAGTGGAAAATATTATATGAGCTAATGTATAGTGCAGATATGCAGTGGTTTGGCATAGAAAGTTAATAGTTAACTTCTTCCCTGAATCTCTTCCAGGTGACTAAGTGTAACATTATTTAGCTTCCTCAGACTGTGCAAATACTTGTACTGAAACGTCCTTTCCTTCTCGTGCTACCTCCCCCTTACTTCATTCATGACTTTTTAAACAGCTTTACTTCCTGAGTCAAAAGACCAGCAGCCAATATTGTAGCAGAAAGCTTGCAGTTGGCTCTTTCCCAGCTTTGTAATCTACTTTGAAAGTAAGTCTTGGAAAAACTCTGCACGTCTGCTTATTTGTATCATTACTGTACAGTGATGTTTTTGGACAGTTTGACATAACTTAAAAAAAAATCATACAATTAAGAATAAATGTCTCCCAGAGCACAAAGATACATGTTGTTTTTCTAAGAATACACAGGATGGAATTTGGAGTGGGAGTGGCAAACTATTTGAAAGCATTTTTTCGTATCAGCATCAGCGTAGGAGACTTCTCTGGTAAGGCCCTCTGCAAAACAGTTCTGTCATGGGAAACCAAGCAAGATAGTTATTAGTTACAACATCAAAAATGTCAGCCAAATTGAAGGTTTAAATAACGATAACAATTTGTTTTCTGAATAATAAATAGCAATTTATTGTAAAATCTGCGACTCTTGAAACTGAGTAATATAATTGCTTGCAAAAGGAAAACTTTGGGCGTCAGCTACCGACTTTCTGTGCATAGCACTTGATATGTTCCAAGTTTTAGAGGGAAAGCTAGAAAAATTGGACTAGATATTTTAGCTTGGAATCTATAATTAGTAATCCCTTTGACAAATTTGTTGCTTCTCCGGTTGTCTCTTTCTATTTCCTTGGTCTCTTTTCTTGGCAATTATCTTCTTGTGGATGACTCTTCTTCAAATGCTGATTGATAACTGAAAATTATCACTATATAATTAATGATGCCAAGGTTGTGCTAATAGTTAGCTTAAAGTTTTTCCAGAGAGTTTGAAGGGATTTCAGTCCTTGGTCTCTTTTTCCTAAAACCACATTTCCTGTCTCTGCAAAAAGTTTCTCAGATTAGTTGTACTGTATTCTGAAATCTATTTATGTTTTTTTTTTTTTTGCTTTTCATTTCCACTTTTCCAGAGGCATTATGATTAGCATGTTATAGAAGTGATTCATCAAAGGAGCATGTTAATTCAGTTCTGCACAACTTCGATTATTTAAACATAAGAATTGCAGGTGGTGGTGGGGATTGACTTCATTTTTTTTATCTAGAATTCAAATTTTAGCTAATACTGGTTTGAACTTGAGCAAATCATAACATTTTCATGGACTACTTAAAATATATGAGGGCTTGTTAATTTACTTTAAAGTTAAAGGAGACAAGAATTGCTTTTAATTAGATTTATACCTGCTTTGGTATTTTATAAAAGGAGATATTGTTTCACTATTTTCTTTTCCCTTCCTTTCTTATGTGATGCTTAGGTCCTCAACTATCTTCTTTTAAAGTGAAGAGTCCCGTGTCCATGAGTCCCCCATTACAGGAAACTGTGAGCCAGGGCTCATCTCCTGTGCTGAGTCCTGTCCTGAGTGATGTTAGTGAAGCCAGGTTTGAAGAGGATGAAATGAGACATAAAGTAAGTGGGTAAAAAGCAGTTGACAATTTCCATTCCTCCTTATTGCATTATTCCCAGCTTGTCATTTTCTTTGTTACATGTTAATATTATTTCTGCAAGTTTGCCAATGCCTGTGATAGTAGTCTTACTGCAAAGGATGCAGTATATTGGGGCCACTTCGCATATGATATCTTTGTTGTGTGGCTTCCCATCCAAAAGAGTTCAGGACAAATAAGTACACTACAGTTACCAAAAATAACAAATGCTGTATTATCTTTTCATAGCCAGGAATCAATAAAAGTCTGTTCTTATCTTATGAGCTCATGATATTTTTACATTGAAGTTAATAATGTATAAATTAAATTCAATTTAAAAGGTAAATACATTCAACAGTTATTCATTTTTAAAACCAGACTATTAGAATAAAGCTCATAGTTACAGCAAAGTAAGGGCTTACACAAGATTTTAATGCTCATTTTGCAAATTTAACAAATCTCTTAGGTAATTTACCTTTATTAACATTACTGATTATATAACTATCATGTAAATGTTCTAAAAGTTTTCAAGAACAAAAGACAAAGTCCTAAGACACAAATGGAAAACTTCATATCTTGAATTGAAAGAATATGGTCAATTTAGGCCTATACTTTTTCCTTTTGCTCAAAATCATGTAATAAGATGTGCAAGATGGGGATCTACTACCTAAATGGATAATTTATTATATATTGAAAAATTTCCGGTATTTATATTATGGTTCACTGTGACTAGAAAATTATTCACTGCATGATTTTGTACAGTACTGGTGTCACGAACACACTCCCAATATTAAGATGACCATTTGTTGAAGACATGTCCCCATAACACAGTGGTTCTCAACCTTTTTAATGCCGTGACCCCCCAACCGGTCGTAAGTCGAGGACTACTCAACCGGTCGTAAGTCGAGGACTATTCAACTGGTGCAGCACCGTTTTCAGAATGGGACTTTTGGCGGGCTCAGCAGGGCAGAGACAGCCTGGACAATTCCTATTGGCTTTTGAAAGCCAATAGAATTAGACTCTATTCAAGAGAGTCTATTCTATTGGCTTTCAAAAGCCAATAGAATAAAAGGGAGTAGCACAGCTAAGGAAAAGGGGAAAAAAATGGCGGACTGTGTTGTTTGGCGACCCCTGTGAAATGGTCGTTCGACCCCAAATGGGGTCCCAATCCACAGGTTGAGAACCACTGCCATAACAAAACCTTTATGCTAACCTGCTAAAATAGATTGAAGCTAAATCAAAATCATCCATCAGGAAAATTGTGTTTTCACAACTTTCTGGAAAATGTAATATTAACTTCTAAGTGAACATTCTGATTCACTTGGAGAAAACTCTTGAAGGAGGTTATTAACTGCCAGGCTCACTTTGGCCTGTTGCAGGACCATTTCCTTCACTCTAGCCCTGGTGTCTTTATGGCTGCCAAAGAGAACAGAAACTGCCAGAAAATCAAATTTTGTTTTTTTCCGATTCATTTTTTTAAAGCTCAGATAGAAATGGTGATCTTGAGGAAGATTGCCATTCCTATTGAACACCTCTATCTTCAGGTGTTTGGTTTTTTTCTAGGTAAGGCTCAGCATTTTCTAGGCGAACAGCTAAGGAAGACAGATCCTTCACTCTCCCTGCTTCTTTCTTTTCTATACCTGCCCTTCTCTCCACACTTTCCTTACAATCGCTTCTAAGACTGCCCCTGTATGACAGCAGCAATTTTTGGGCCTTGTTTTGGAAGTGAAGCAAAAAAAACATTATGAGCAATATTTTTTAAACTGGTATAATTTATTCCTATCTTGGAGTGAGGAGGAAGGCACAATGTGAGGTGTGGGGAGAAGCCCACTGACTAGCATTGTTTCCACTGCTGCTTGAGGCTAAAAGGAAGTAGTATTCTGTCATGTTATCCCATACATTTGGTTCAGAAAATAAAGGAACTAGAGAAATTATACTGGCTAGTTTGCCTAACTGGATAAGGATTCCTGTATGTAAACACCAAATGGATGAAGTCTGAATACAGTGTAATTCTCTTGGACATTCAGTCTGCATTAGAGTGCACATTTTTATCAGCCTTAACTCCCATTGGTAGTGCATTCATGAATTAGGCAAAATCATTTGTATTTCTTGGTTGCAGGTAAAATGTATTGAAAGCAGTCAGTTTGGACGTGGGATATATATGTATTTGTTCAGGTCTGAGAACTAATTGCCCAAACAATACTTATGGGCTTATTTATCTCAATATATATTTTAAATGTTAAAGCAATTTGAATATAGTAATACCACATGTTTCATGTAGCATTTCTACTTTATTTACTGGGAATTTGTTTATTTCTTTCAGAAATGCCCTACAGACAAAGCATATTTCATTGCAAAGGAAATCCTTGCTACTGAACGAACATACCTAAAAGACCTGGAAGTTCTAACTCTAGTAATTCATTTAAACCTACATTTATTAACTATTTCCTCTTTCCTGAAGAATTATTCAAACAATTATACTATATGGAAGAATATCTTTGAATCAGTTCTGTTTTTTTAATCTGCCTCTGTTACTCATTCAAAGGAGATGCTCAAAATTCTATGGCCAATGTTTGTGCCTTTCCATCTTCCATCTGTTCTGATATAGTTTTGTATTTTAGGAATTGTAGGATTGTTGCAGCAGGTCAGATGTGAAGGCAAAAGATGTTTCCAAGTGAATGGGGCACTTATCTAGTCTGTATTTTTTTTCTTCACAATAGGGAATTGATTTATAGAGTTTCATTTTAAAGATATTTTATAAATGTCCCTACATGCTTTTCTAGATTCTTTCATATTAATTGATCACATAGTTAGTTGTAAAATAAATATTTGATCATGCTTCCAGTGGGAGTGGTTTTGGTATAGAAATAAGGTAAATGAATAAATAGCTAAAACCAAGCACTACAATTCATTTTTTTCTTATGCAGTGGTTCCGCAGTGCAATTGTCAAGGAGAATGCAATGCCTGAAGGTCTCATGACCTTATTCTTCTCCAATATAGATCCTATCTATGAGTTTCACAGAGGCTTTTTGAAAGAGCTTGAGCAAAGACTAGCACTCTGGTAAGCATTATTAATCATATTACTATGAAAATTGGATTTCTAGAATTCTGTGATATCTGACAAAACTCCTTTCCTGTGAAGCTGCATGAATACATATTTGAATACTGTTTGCTATCAATCTGTTCCATGAAATCAGTTTTCTGAATGGCACTGATTCGTATACCAATTGTATAATATAAAGTCTCTGTTTGGCGATTGCAGTTATTCTAGTGAGCAAATCATTGTTGTATTTATGAGATAAATGTTTATTTGGATGTATTTAAAAATACACTACATATACTTTCTTCCTTATATTTTAATTGGTCAAAAACGGTCTCCAGAGAAAATCTAATATTTTTCATAACCTTATAAAACATACTGTTGAAGGAAGAATACAATAAGCTCAAACATTCCCCCTCTTGCTTCAAATTAAATGTTTATTTTTATGAAGAGGAGGAGAAAATTTGTTCAGTGGCAAAAAATAATGATTTGTTTAGATAGCAAGATCTGATAGTTAATAAGTCGAGGATGAAATTGTTTGATCCTCTTAATTCACAATGGATTAATTCACGAGAGGGGTTTCAGAAAATCAGAAGGAATATGGTACATAACTGGTTGCAGTATTTTCAAATGACTAACATAGCATTGAAAGAATTGCAGAAAGAAGGGTGAATACTTAGAAACCTGAGTGAAGTTGAAACGTCTGTTGGGCCTTATTTATAAACTGCTGGTGAAATGATTCAGAAACTGAACAAGTCAAAGACTTGTTTTGGTAAGGCCACACTTGGAATACTGCATCCAGTTTTGGTCACCACGATGTAAAAAAGAAGTTGAGACTCTAGAAAGAATACAGAGAAGAGCAACAAAGATGATTAGGGGACTGGAGGCTAAAACATATCATGAACAGTTGCTGGAATTGGTATGTCTAGTTTAACTAAGAGAAGGACGAGGGGGGACATGATAGCAGTGTTCCAATATCTCAGGGGCTGCCATAAAGAAGAGGGAGTCAAGCTATTCTCCAAAGCACCTGAAGGCAGGACAAGAAGCAACGGGTGGAAACTAGCCAAAGAGAGAAGCAACCTAGAACTAAGGAGAAACTTCCTGACAGAACAATTAACCAGAGGAACAACCTGCTTCCAGAAGCGGTGAATGCTCCAACACTGGAAGTTTTTAAGAAGAAACTGGACAGCCATTTGTCCGAAATGGTATAGGGTTTCCTGCCTGAGCAGGGGATGGGACTAGATGACCTCCAAGGTCCCTTCCAACTTTATCATTATCATTATTACTGCATGCTCATATAGATGCAGCATTTGTATGTAGTATAAATATGCAATAATGAATTTTGCTGAAAGAACATTGTCAGATTCACCCCAAATGTTATACTTTACCCATTTACTCATTTGTATTTTATTCTTTTTTCCATTTTCCTGTTTTTTTCTTGTTTGCTTATATATCTTATTCAAAATGTTGAATTTAGTGGATAAAATTATGTTAACAATTTGCCCAGTTTCCTTTTTTATATTTTTTTATTACATCTTAACATTCCATTATGAGGTATAAAATAGAAGATGACACATTAAATATGAAAAGAGATACATAAGGACTTAGAAAAAATATTTCTTTTCGAGTTTCGATAATTCAAGATGTCTAATATATTTCAGAGAGAACCTCTTTGCTCAGGGATGATTTTTGGTGAGTTCAGAGACAGATTTCAAATTCTGAATAGAAAAGGAGAAAGAAACAGTGTTTCTTTCAAAGTTACTGTGGGTATCTTATTAGTTTTGGAAGAAGAGCTGTTATATCTATTGGCTGGCTCTGAAAAATAATTTTAGACTCAGTTTTCCCTAGAGCTCACTTTTTTACCCTCTCAATTGCAGGGAAGGACGATCAAGTTCAGATAAAGGAGATTGTCAGCGGATTGGTGATGTCATGTTGAGAAATGTGCAAATATTGAAGGTATTGAATATAACTCAGAGGAATCTTGTGTTCCTTTCCCCCCCCCACTCATTCTCATTAATATGGTGCTTATGTGTTTTAATGATAAAAAGGGCAAATTTTATGTAGGAAATTTAGATACTGCAGGATCCAATCTAGGCCGGTCACTGGGATCAGAGGTTTAGTCTTCTGAGCTTTCAGACTCATGTTGGAAATTATCCACAGGGAACTTCTCTCTCACCAGAATGTGTGCTTTGGGCTATACCAGACATGTCAAACACAAGGCCAGGGGCCACATGCAGCCCGCAAAGTGGTTTCATGTGACCCGTGAAGCCATCCTGGAAACAGTGAGGGGACGGCCCCCGCTGCCTTAGCCCTGGCCCAGGCCAGCCGGGAGCCAATGTACAATTTTGTGTTGGCCATCTATGCTGAAACGCATTTAGTCTTAGCTCCACAAGGCCATTTGGAAACAGCGAGGAACCAGCCCCTGCTGCATCGGCCCCACCCCTTGGGTGCATGCTGGGGAGGTGTCACCCTTTGTGAGGAATGAAGAAATGCACCATCGCCTGGAAGTGGCCAGCAAATGGCCCTATCCGGCTTGATGGGCTCTGGGGGAGGGGTTTCGGCAGGCAGTGGGGCGCTCTCCTCACAGTACCAAGAAGCTGAGCTGGGCGGCGCAAATCCCAAAAGAAATGCAAGGCCTCCCAGTTCCCAGCCTGCCTGGTTTCAGCAGGCGGCAAGGCGCTCTCCTCACAGCGCCAAGAGCTGAGCCGGGTGGTGCGAATCTGATGAGAAGTGCAATGCTGCCTAGCCCCCAGCCTGCCCAGTTTCAACAGGCAGCAAGGTGCAAAGCTGGTGAGCTTCGCATTGCCCGGCTCAACCTCTCGGTGCTGTGAGGAGAGCACCCCGCTGCCTGCCGAAACCGTGCAGGCTGGGGGCTGGGCGGCATTGCGCAGGTAACATTGACTCTCACGCTGCTCATGGCATCCCCTCCCCCAGAGCCCACCAAGCCGGATATGTGAAGTAGGTGAGGGCCATGTGCTGGCCACTTCCAAGTGATGGTGCGTTTCTTCATTCCTCATGGTGACACCTCCCCAGCTGCGTTTCTTGCCTGTTTTTCTCCCTCCCTCATCTCAAATATTTTCTTACCACTCTGTACTTAGGAAGGAAGGAAAGAAGGAAAGGAGAGGGAGAGTCTGAGGGGAGTCCTGCCTTAGTCCTGCCCTGCTGCCCTTTCACCATCCCCTTGCCCCCTTCTCCTGGCCTATCCTGGGGTCTCCCATCCTATTGCTAAGGAAGCTTTGGATACAAAGCTGGGTCTCCTCCCATGGAGAGGGAATGGGCCTCCCTCTGACTTTGCCCTCGTACCCATCATGAGCAACCTGGGTAAGGAGAGCAAGCACAGCAGCAGCAGCCTTGAGGAGGAGGTAAGTGCAGCTGGGTGCCCCCTTGGGGAAGTGGGGCTGGGCTTGGTGCTGCGGGTGCTTGAGGGCCAGACTGGGCATTTGACCTCTGCTGTCCAGGGCTCCCGGCAGCCCGCACCACCATCCAGCCTCCCCCATCAAGGCTCCTCCAGTGGACCATGCCTTGGCACTTTCCCTGATCCCATTCCCTTCTGCCAGAGACCCTCAGATCTGTCCCACTCCTGCCCAGGCCCCCACAGGCATCCTTGACACAAATGATGTAGAGCTGGCCACGCCCACCCAGTAGGCCACACTCACTCCATCCACACCCACCCAGGCCAGACACCCCCACCCTCCAGGGGGCAATCGCAGTGCTGATGCGGCCCTCAATGAAATTGATTTTGACACCCCTGCGCTATACTATGTGTAGTAGTATTTATGTGGTACCTGGTTGTGCATGGCATTGTAAAGATCGCTTGGAGTGGAAGATACTTCTGATGTAATCTACCAGATCCCTTGCATGGATTGCATCTGTGATTATGTAGGACAGACGGGAAGGAAGCTAGCCAACAGGTTGCAAGAAGACAAGTGAGTGGTCAGACAAGGAGATCCAAACTGATTGGTAGTCTCACATTGCAATAAATAAGGACAGACATTTAATTTCACAGCAGCTAAGATCGTTGGCCATGCAGCTACACAGATAGCCAGGGAAATGATTGAAGCCTGGAAAATGGGCCTCTTGTCAGGAGTGCTGATTTGCCACCAACTTATCAGGAATTTATGAGCCGAAGACTTGGCAGCACAAGAAACAACAGCCAATGACTCAATAGCTGGCCAACAACACCTTGATCAACAGCTAAAAAGCCACACATATCCAGGCATCACATAAATATTACGCATAGTATAGCCCAAAACACACATTTCTGTGAGAGAGAAGATCCTTGAGGATGCACTTCAGAATGAGTCCAAAAGCTCAGAAGACTAAATCTCTTGTCCTGGTGACCACCCCAGATTGGATCCTGCAACATTATCCTGGAGCGCGTATATTTGTCTTCATTTGTGAGGAAAAATTGCAATTTAAATATCAATAGACTGTCTAAAAAATTAACCTGCATGCTACCACATATATAGATAAAATTATAACTATATATGATTATATAAAATTATATATTACCACTTTGAAAATTAAATATGTCATATGTTATAGTGACTCTAAAGTGCAGCAAATTCTAGTATTCTCCAATGAATTGTAGGCTATAAAATTTCCATTGTTCATTCATATATTTATTGAGATTCTGAAACTCACAAAATTTGTCTAATATTTTGTCTTGAATAAAGATAGAATTCACATTTCTAAAGATTTATTGTAAATAAATAATTGTTGCAGACTGATTGATTGAAATTCTTTTTTAAAGAAGTATTGTTTTTTCAATAATTGAATATTTCAGATAAAGAGATTGCATGATTTTATAATCTTTATAACTGTGTCTTCTGTAATCCCACAGGAATTTATCAACTATCTGCAAAAACATGATGAAGTCTTGATGGAGCTTGAGAAAGCAACCAAACGTATTAAGAAACTGGAAATAGTTTATAAGGAATTTGAACTCCAAAGAGTTTGCTATTTACCCCTTAACACTTTCTTGCTTAAGCCTATCCACCGGATAATGTACTACAAGCTGATCTTGGGAAGACTTTGTAAACACTATCCAGCAGATCATCGAGACTACACTGACTGCAAGAGTAAGTAATAGATTAAGCAAATGCTTATAAAGCATTTAGCTGACATTTTTGTTTTCTTATTTTATGTTGCTAACTGAAATTGAGTTGGTGAAATTATATGGCTACGGAATTAGTTGATTCAATTTTGTCACCTGAGTCTTTGAGTAAAAAATAATAAAATACAATTTAACACCTTCCTCACAGTCACCCATTTTTAGTTGCCTATTTGGATCACTGCAATGCGCTCTACATGGGGAAGCCACAATTGGTCCAGAATGCAGCAGCACACATAGAATGCAGCAGCACACACAGTCCCAAAGGTGCTTTTTCAAGAGGCAACTGGACTTTCTTATTATTCTTTGAAGACATTTTGCTTCTTATTCAAGAAGTTTTTTCAGCTCTGACTGGATGGTGGGGAATGGAAGGATTTATATTCCTTATATATCGTATCATATCATATCATATATCACATCATATCATATATCATTATTATATTCCTGGTCATTTGCATTCTTTTAGAAAATTATTGAGGTCACTTGGAGGTTTGTCTGTGTCCTCAGGGTCACCTGAGTAGTGCAAATGGGTGTGGAGCCTTCTTGGAACTGCTGAAAGGACTGTGTTGTGGAGCTGTACTTTCTGCAGGATGTTTTCTGCCCTGTGTCCCTTCACTGTTGAACACAGGCACAGGCTGTTGGGGATAAGTCTGTGTTGTCTGCATCTCAAACTGAAGCGTAAATGGTTCCTGTAGAGTGCAATTTTTATGGAAATCCATTCATACTGCTGTAGCATTCAAGGGTATTCATCCCAAAGTGCATAGTAAATGTTTATGGAGATTCTCAGTCATCCAGATCATGGTTGTCCCAAAGGTGCTTTTTGAACAGGCAACTGGACTTTCTTGTTTTTCTTTGAAGACGTTTCTATTCTCATTCAAAAAACTTCTTCAGCTTTGAAAAAACAATTTTGGGACAACCATGACCTAGATGGCTGAGAATCTCCGTAAGCTTTCACACACAATTTTGGTGCCCAACAGTTCACCCAGTAATATCACTGCTACATGAACTACATTGGTTTCCAGTTGCTTTTGGGGTACAATTCAAAGTACTGATTATCACTATTAATGTCCTACATGGCACAGAGCCAGCTTACTTCTGGAACTGCCTCTCTGAGGGTATCTGCCCATCCTACTAGGTTAGATATGATGTATGTGCTCTAGGTTCTCTCCCTTGAATTTTGCATTTTGATGGGACGTTGAAAGCATGGCTTCCCAGTGGCTAACCCAGCCCTTTGGAACAGCCTCCCTTCCAATATCAGGGGAATCCTTACTGTTTTAATCTTCCGAAGGACTGTGAAGACCTGTCTCCATGCGTGTCCTCCCCCCCCCCCTCCTGGCCACAGCATTGGGCTAGAATGAGAGGTTGAGCTGTGAGGATATTTGGTCTGGCATTTGGAGATGATTGTTTTTAATTATGATTTATGGATTGTTGTGAGCCACTGAGAGTCATTATATGAGATAGAGGGCCATGTAATTGCTGTAAACATTTTGGGTATGCAGGTAAAAATAAGTAGTTAAATTATATAATATCTTAGAATTATGTTTCTCAATAATCCTCACGTTTAATAGCTTTGTATGTGTTTAATTCAGAGAAAATTTGAATTTTTTAAAATAAATGTACTAATGATATCTTAAAGTATGCTGAAACTTCATCCTTGATGTTCTGATTGTTTACCCTTGCGTGGGCATTTTGGGGGTAATTCTGTAGATGCACTGAAGGAAATCGCAGAAATGACATCACAACTTCAAAGCAGTTTGATCCGGTTGGAGAATTTTCAGAAGCTAATAGAGCTGCAGCATGATCTTCTTGGCACTGATAATCTCATAGCACCTGGAAGGGTAATCAGTTCTCTTCTGTGTTGCTGTCTTCTTTGTTTTTACACAGTATATTGAACTGTTGCTGCTTACTTATATCCTATATCCTTACTGTAAGCATTTGTTGTGTTACTTTAGAGTTAACTTAGGCTAAAGTTTTGCTGCTTATCATGCTTATACTTGCATGTACCTCTAAAATATGTTTCTAATATATTTTAACCTTATCCTGAGAAAGGCTCATTGAAAGGCTCATGTTGAAGATATCAAGAATATTATTTTAATGTTTTGTTCCATGTTAGTCTGCAGAGGCAATGAGGACCAGCGTGGAACTACCTTCATGCTTCTTTTTTGCTTTTTGGGGGGACATTTTCAGCACTCCTATGTTTATGTTGAGCCAGTTTGATTAAGGCACCAGACTAGAAAGAGACTGTGAGTTGTAATCCTGCCTTAGACGCAAAGCCAACTGGGTGACCTTGAGCCAGTTACTGTGTCTCAGCCCTAGCAAGGGGCAGTGGCAAACCACTTCTGAACAACCTTGCCAAAAAAACTGCAGGGACTTGCCAGATAGTCTCAAAGAATTGGATATGATTGAACAGAAAAAATATGTTGTCACAATAAAAAAATTCAAATGCTTGGTCATAATACAACTACATGTAGCTATTCTTAGTGATACCAGAATGTTCAGAAGCTAGTTTGCCAAAGCTAAATAATTTTAAACAGCTCTGCTCTTCTGGTATAAATTTATGTAAAATTGGCAATTATACTATAAGATAACATTAATACATTATTGAGTTGTAAATGTAAATTGATAACAACTGCTATGTTCCATAGAAAATGAACACAGAGAGCTGATCAACTTTAAGAAACATAAATTCTTCACTTTGATTTCTGTAGTTCACACATATTGGTATGTGTAGAATCCCATTAGGTGTAGGATGGTCGCGTACCACCTGCCAAGTGCCAGTGTACCACAGGTGGTACCCGTACCACTGGTTGAAAAGCCATGGTCCAGTGGTCTGATACATAAATAAATGAGGAAATACAACATCCACCCCCCATTTTGTATTTTAGATCATGGGTCTCCAAACCCCAGTTGCTCCATTTGTGCACACGGTGGGTGCACATGTGAAACCATTCCCTCCTCCCTGCTGCCACTGCCACAGCTACCAGTCCACAGAGCCGGAAAAGTTGGGACGCTGTTTTAATAACAAATTTGGCACTGGTGTGTCCATCATTCCATCTTCATCCTTGCATTCCATATAATGAGCCATTGTAGTGTAGTGGGAAGATCCAGATTCTCATCTTCAGTCATAGAAACTTACTGGGTGATTCTGGACCAACCCTTCTCTCTTGACTGTACCTTCTTCACAAGGTTGTTGCTATAGGAGAAACAGGAAGCAGCAGTGCTGTGTATGAATGAAAGAAGGCATATAAACCTACATAAATAGATCTTGCCTGGCAAGCAACCATACCAGAATGGCCACCTGCAAAAGGAAACTGTTTCTATCAGAGGTGCCCTCAACAAAATCCATATCAGTTTATTTACCTCACAGGAAACTAAGCATTCCCCAACATTTTGCAGAAATGGTAGAAAAGATCTCTCTGTGATTTGAATAGCAATTGAGGCTGGAATTTCCATTGTTAAGCAATGCAGTTATAAAGCACAATGTCGTGTGACTGCATCACTTAGCGACAGCAATTCTTGCAATCCCCTGTTGTCATTGTTAAGCAAGGATTGTGAGTCATCTCCTTGCAACTTCCTGCCAGCTTCCAACAAAAATTTCAGTGGGGAAGCTGGCAGGAAGTTGGAAATCCTAGGTGGTTCACAAGCAGGCTGTCATGGTCAGCTCAGACTTGGAAAATGGAGTGATAATCATCAGTCTGAAGGGATTCAGTTGGAAGAGTTACACACAGGGAAAATAACATTGCCTATCAACCATGAGAAGCAGCTGTCATTGGCCTCAGAAGATGAAGAGGCAAAACTAATACCTCCCCCTAGTGCAAGGGCCTGCAATTAGGAGAAGAGGCTGAACAAAAGCAAGAGCATTAGTCAGAAAGAACCTTGTCCTATCAAAGAATTAGGGTCATGCCGCCCCTTTATAAATGGACCCATGTGCCTCACAGATCCGTTGGTGACAATTGTCTGTTTGCCTCACCACCATACTCAGCCTACTTTCTCATCCTGGACCCTCATAATGTTGGTTTGACCCTCTATACCTTGTCCATAATTTAAACTCTATTTTCCTTCTAATTTAAGCTGGTTGAGTTTTTGTAGGTGGGTATTTTGGGCATAAGGGATTATGATTGCTTGTTCAAATCTTTTTTGCTGTTAGAATTCTGTTTGGAAACCTTTTTAGTAAAGATATGAGTTACCTGTGTGTCTGTGGTGGACCAGAACAGGATAGGTGCTGCTAGGTAGGAGAAGAAGCATGGAAGTGCACCAGTGGTGGGGAGCTGTGGTGCAAGTACAGCAAGACTTAGGATGGTTGATGCTGGGGGAAAGGGAAGTGCATAACGGTGCATGAATGGCTGATGTCATCCTCCCAAGTAGACCAGACAGGAAACACAAGAAAAAGAACTATATTACGTTATGTTATGTTACATGATGTTATGTTATGTTATGTTATGTTATATTTATTCTATTCTATTCTATTCTATTATTATACTATACTATATATTATATTATATTTATTATATTATTATTATATTATATTATTATATTATATTATATTATATTATATTATATTTAATTGCTACATTAACAGAATCCCGCAAGTAAAGAAGTACAAATCTCCCACTATGTCTTTTTACCACCTGATTAGTTAGGGCAGATTCTTTCTAAGTTTCTTTTTCCAGCCATTGCTCGGTTGTGGGCTCCTCCCCTTTTATCTGATCATTCTCTAGACAGCATCTCTTCTCTTGGCCATTCTCATATTCCACCTGAGTGCAGCTGGACTTAGAGTGACAGTTGCTGGGAGGGAGAGAGTACACAAGGGCATGCTGGTGGCCAATGAGCAGAATGCAAGCACAGTGTGGGTGGGGAAGAGCTGCCCAAGTAGCTTATAAACTTCCCTGCTAGCTTCCCCATTGACTTCTTTTGTGGAAGGTCAGCAAAGAAGGTCGCAAATTGCAATCCCGTGACCATGGGATGCTACAATTGTCATAAGTACAAGCTGGTTGCCAAGCATCCAGATAGTGATCATATGACTGTGGAATATTAAGGTCACTGGAATTTCAAGAATCAATTGTAAACCCTCACTAGAGTTCAGCACTGTTGTAATTTTGAACTGTTATGGAATCAATAGTTGTTATGCGAGGACCGTTGGAGCCAATTTTTCTTGTTTAATTGTTCCACAGGAATTTATTCGAGAGGGTTGTTTGTACAAACTTACCAAAAAGGGCTTACAGCAAAGGATGTTCTTTCTGGTGAGTTGATATCTTTGCTCAAGGCTGTCACAAAATACAACTTTATTCAGAGGTTGTTTTTAAAAGACAAAAATGTTTGACAAACAAAAATGCCTGCCTCAGTTTTCAGATACATTGCTGTATACAAGTAAAGGCGTAACAGGGACCAATCAGTTCAAAATACGAGGACATCTTCCTCTGCATGGGATGCTGGTGAGTAGCTCTTCATACAGCTGCCAAACATTACGATAGTATGATCTCTCTCCTCTTAATTTATACTTTTTCATTATAGTTAACTGTTAAACTATTATGTTTAACTATTAAGTTATTTGTAAAAATAACAAAGGTGGGATAGAAACAAATGAGATAAATAAATAAATAATCATTGCCAATTGGATATTCCTGGTGGCTCTGGAATTTTTTTTAAATGTTCTTATAATTTTTGTATGAAATAGAAGAGCAAACTTTGTCAGTTTTCTGGTGTCAGAACAATTAAGAAACTAAGGATGAACTTATCATTATGCTGTTCTTTGTACACCTACGTGGATGTTGCAATTTCTGTTACTCCCACACCTGGACATTGCATGCTCTTTTACTTTCCAATGAAACTTTTTTTCTGTGTTTATGTTTAATTTCCAGCTGATAGTTCTGGATCCTCCGGTAAGTAATAAGCAAGACAAATAGGACTGCTATGTTTAGATCTATTAAAGTGGCAATGTAATTGTAGCTACTAGTTTTACCCTCTAGAACAGAGGTCTCAAACTTTGGGCAACAGGCCAAGTATGTCATTCAGTTCAGTCATTCATGAACTCATACAACAGGGGAGACAGAAGTAGGGCAACAGCTTATAAATCTTCCCTTAGGTTAACGAAGGAGCATACTGTACATGAGACTCATATTCACAGCTCTGGGGAGGCCAGGCAAAGGAATGACAGCCTGGGACTGGCTGTAGTAGGAGCAAGAAGGGAAGGCGCTTTTGCTGCTCCTCAATTCAAAAGCCAGATGTCTCTTATCCAGAATGAATGTCAACCACCTGTCATGATTGCTCTTGTGTACCTTTAAATCTCCTACTCTTCCTGGATAACCCTAACCTCAGTTGCTTAGGAATGTGTAGTTTTGTAATTCTCTGCAGCTGTGTTTTTGATGCTGCTTAGAGGCTTTTGTATTAATGTAGGAAAATGTTTCCTTATTGTGGATGTCAGGCTAATGAAGTATGTCAGTCGTCATGAAGCCCCATGATGATAAAAGTTTGTGTCAGCCTTACTAGATAGACCAGACAGGAAACAAAACCAGATGAGCTAATTCTACTTTATTATAAAGAGACATTAACAGAAACTTGCAGGTCTGAAAGTGCTTCTCTTCCCCATTCACTTTTCAGCCCAAAAAACTAGGGAAGGTCTCTTCTAAGCCTCTTGCCCCACTCACACTCCTTCTGTGAGCTAAGCTGCCCTTTACCTGACCGGTCCTTTGTATCTTGTTACCCTGTCTCCCAAGATCATTCCCTCCTAAAGTTACAGTTTGAGACCCTCAGTTAGAAGGTAAATAGCCATTAAATTAACAGCGCTTTTAAAAAATAGCTGATGAATAGATTGTCACAATTTTCATGCCATTTCTTTTAATTCAGAACACATGGCATTGTACATTGAGTGACCAGGCATGTTTCTGTTGTTACAGGTGGAAGAGAGTGAAAATGAATGGTCTGTCCCTCATTGCTTCACAATCTATTCAGCTCAAAAAACTGTAGTAGTGGCAGCAAGGTAAGAAGCTGCTCAGTAGATCGTTGGTGCCAAGGAAGTGATATGTATGTTAATAGTTCCAAATGAATATGGATGCATGCACAGAGAATACAGGCATACCATCCCAACTCTGTTCCAGATTATGTAAAGAAGACTCAGATTTCATGCTTCTCCAAGTTATGGCAGAGTGGATGCATTGAGACAAAGTTTCTACCTGGAGGAACATCCAGAGAAATAAATTGCATCCCGCACCCTAAATTTTGATATTTGCTAATATGATTGTTGTTCCTTCTCTTCCTTTTGTTACCTCAGATTTCAGAAGAATTGGAAAAAATATTGAGATGTGTGGTTGTGTTTCAAAGTAAAATTTTTAATAATTATATTTGAATGTAAAATGTTTATGGCAAGATTCTGGAGTAGTCAGGATTTTAGTATTGATTCCAGACCTTTCTATTACAGTATTCTTTCCTTTCTATGAAAAGGGCGGAAAGTATATTTATATATTGGATAAGCAGTGTTTCTTTTAAATGCAAAATACATTACAATTTATCTATCAACACATGATGCTTAATGTTTTATCTGTGCTGCTCAGCACTCATCTGGAAATGGGAAAATGGTTGGAGGACTTGAATATGGCAATTGAAATGGCCAAGAAAACTGTTGAGAAATCGGGCATGTTCCTTGAAAATTCTCTATCCAACCGTTCTAACAGTAAGTACCATGTTTGTGATTTATGATAGTACACTGTGCCTGCTTTCTTAGGACAGCAATAATATGACTACAGTAATAACAACTAAAAGGTTTTTGGCTAAATAAACTATACCCTCTCAGATGCTCCTAATAATGTTAGTCTTGGCAAATAAGAACTTCCAATTGTTAAATATTAGTAATGAATTTTGTGGTACGTGATCTTTTTTCTCCATTATTTATATTAAAGGTAGCTCTGAACCCAGTTTTACAGTAGCTACAAAACAGATTTTTGAGAGTTGTATACTCCTGACTGACTTATTTTATTGTTATGAGATCCCATATGATATCTCAAGAACTATAGCATTGTTATGCGATTTTTTTGTATACTTTCCTCACTGAAAATCTGATCCAGCCAGGTTGGTTACAAATTTGTGACTTCCTCTATAATAATGGTAAATTATTATCAGTTCCAAAACATTCTGGATTGCACAGGTCATGGATGCTAGAAACAGTTAACTGATGGATGACATCTTTGAGAGACCTTCTTAAGAGATTCTCATCACTATCATTATCCATGTACCACAGTCTCTTAAATGTTTGCTCCCTTCTCCTTCAGGATCCTCAGATGAGGTTTCTCTAGAGCAGGAGTCCGAAGAGGACATTCATTCTTCTCGTAGCTCCCTGGACAGGCAGAGCCACCACCGTGCCAACACTACCATACATGTTTGCTGGTACCGCAATACCAGTGTCTCCATGACTGATCACAGTGTGGCTGTCGAGGTACCCAGCAGCAGTTCATGCATCACTTTCACTTACCATTCTTTTTGGTTGCTGGTTTTTCTAACTCTATACATGCATTTGCTTCTAACCTTTCATCCTCTTCATTGCCTTCAGTAATTTCAGTAGCCATATGAAAAAAAATTAAATTGCAATAAGATTTTTGTGGTGTGTATACCTCTGCATGTTCCATTACAAAGTAGAGCTTTGAGGGCAGATTTTAAAACGAAAACAAAATGAGGAAAGCAGGTAAAGTCTGGCCTCTGGAATTTTTTCCAACTCTTTAATAGTGACTTTATTCTGAGTCATTTCTCCAAGACGAAGGAGCCTTATATTGGAACAATCAATAACATTGAGGTTGCTGCTCAACTGTCTCTCCTATGAGAGGAATTTGGGGAGATTTTCTTTGTACGCTCCAGCCTGATCTTCCCCATTTTTAATTATGTCCTTTCTTAGAGTGTGATTTCTCCCCCTAGATTAAATTTCTTCTCATTGTGTTCAGCTTCCAGGGAGTTATGGAACTGGCAGGCAGACATACTCCTGAGCTCTCTCACATAAATGTCCCTCTACCATTACATTTAATTGAAAAGAATTAAAAAAAGCATTTCCACTATTTATAATCTCTTGATCTATGGACAAATCTAGATTTGCAGAATGTCCTATTCTCATAAAATGTCCCCCAGCAAATGTTATTGGAAAGGAGTGATCTGTGCTTCAAGATATCATATATGCACAGCATTTTAAGAGTTATAAAACTATAATCTGTCATTACTTCTTTTTAAGACATAACAAACATATTCAACTCTTCTGACAGAGCCCCTGCTGTCTCTCTTTATAGTTCCTTCTTTTTGGTACATCCTTTTTCATAGAATGTCTAAGGGAAATAGTACAATCTGGAGGAGTTTCCTGCTGGAGAAAGGAAGCTCTTTCATGGAACAAACTCAGAATGGAAAACAAAACAGTCTTCTACAGCCCTTCCTCTCAGATACTGATGAAAGGGAAAGGAATATCTATATATACCTTAGTTTTCAATAAAAGATATGTGAATGCAGTAGTATACACAAAAGTAGATTCTGGGATAGGATGTCCAGACTTAGGTTGTTTGTATACAACTTTGTGTTGGCTTTGTAATTTTAGTTACAAAGATTTACAACTACAATGGATTTGATAATTGATTGACAACATTCACTCAAGAAATATAGGAATATAAATAGCAATGAATGTAGATCAGTGTTTTCAACCATGGAAACTTTAAAGTCTGTGGACTTCAATTCCCAGAATTCCTCAGCCAGCATGAACAAATAATCATTTAGCCTTCCCTGCCCACTGTGAAAGAAATCAGCTTTCTGACTGTGGAACCATAAATGTACTGTCATGTTCACTCACTAATTCTAACTAACATTTTGCTTTGGTAAATGCATTAATCTTCTTTTCTCATTAAAGCCTTATGACCTCTTTGCACCGCTGATTTTAAGACTCATCATTCATGAGCCTCACACATCTTCAAATCATTTATTTTTACTTTTTATCTTTCATGCTATTTTAATGATTTTTCAGATACCACCCTTATTCTAATTTTTTTCTTCCCTTTTCTGCCTTGCACCTCCTTCCTCTGCTCAGTTTGCTGCTCTGTTGCTGTTTCTCCAGAGCTTCCTCCTCGCTATTTACTGGGCCAGACTCATCGGCCTAACACAATCACCCATGTTTGCTGGTATCGGAACCAGAGCCTATCCCTGTCTGATTATCTATGCATGATTCAGGTAAACTGCTTTTTTCGGTCTTAACAGGCAGGTATATTTTTACACCACCACTATTCACTCACTCTCTGAAATACTCTTCTAGTATGCATCAATAAAAGATCTAGCATATTGAGCCAATGGTAAGAAATCATTTGTTTTGTGAAAACCAGAACAATCTGTTTTGTTGATTATATGCACATTTACACACTTGCTCAGATGCCAGGCCATTTTTTTATTCTTTTCCTGCAGCCCTCCAGATGTTAAATTACATCTGCCACCAGTAGAGTACATTAGGTGCTGGCAGCTCTATTTCACCAATGCCAGATTCTAGAAAACTGCTTTATACTGTAATTTTGTTCCTAACAAACTAGTCTTCTTTTCCAATAGTGCTTTGGGGAGTGGTGCAAATTACTCTGCATAGCTTTGTCTTCTACTTCTTTTACTCTGTGTTTTCCCCCCAATCTATTTACCATATTGTCTCCTTACCCAGATTCTGTTTAATTCTTTGCATGATGTGAGAACTAAGCGACTGAGGGAGAAAGATTTAACTGGAGAAACTAGGGTTGGAGATGGTTTGAATAAATTCAGTGGTGATTACTTTATTGGGATTGTCATTGGTTATTATTCTATCCTGGCTAAGGAGGAAGTTCAGAATAGATCTATGTATTGGGGAGGTATTCATATATACACTTTTTAATATGAATATTAAAAAATTATAGTAATATACCTTAGAGCAATCTTTCCCAACTTGATTCCCCCCAGTTATGCTTGAGGGATTCTGAGAGTTCTGAGAATTCTGAGAGTTCTAGTTCAGTACATCCATAAGAATGAAGTTGGGAAAGGCAGACTTAGTCTTTTTTGTCATTCTTCAAAATTAGACTTAAGTCTGAGCAGTGTGGTGGCCTTGTGGTGAAGACACTCTCCGCCCACTCAGAAGATTGAGAGTTCAATACTAGATAGTGGAAAATGTTTCTCGCTCAGGACTCAAAAAAAAAAAAAAAGTATCTGCTGGAAACTCCACATAGGTGTCAAGAAGGGCATCTGGTCAGTAAATACTCAGCTCCATTCAGTCACCCTGACAGTATCCTAAATTAAGAGATTATAGGGTCGTAAAAAGACAAAAAACTTAGAATCAATCAACTTTGTACCTTTTATGCATTTCTCCCTTCAAATATCTCACTTTCAGCATTAGAAGCTAATAGATGTAAGCAGGAAAGAAGCAGCCTTGTGAATGAAGAAACTGGTGATACAAAAATCAGCTGTTCACAATGAATGTTATGTAACATTTCTCAGCCTAAGAGAATCAGGTCTCAAGAATAGCAATTTGTTTTTAAACTACTATAAGCAACAGCAACAGACTTTTGCTGTGGTATCTCATAATATTATTTCTCCTCCTTTATAGAACCAGCTATCAGGGTATCTGCTGAGGAAGTTCAAAAATAGTAATGGTTGGCAGAAGCTATGGGTTGTTTTTACAAATTTCTGTCTGTTCTTTTACAAAACACACCAGGTAAGATAAAAGTTGCATATTTTCAAGATGAAAATATACTGGAATACTAGAGAGAGGACTTGGTTACCCATATAGCATAATGATCACCCGTGAATGCACATAGTTCTGTGCCTTTATGGGTAATCATTATAGATCTGTAAACAATTTTGCATGCCTGCAGTTTTTGATAAGCAATTGTGATCTATATGCCATTTAAGAGTACTCATTCAATCACTAACTCAATTTCCTAGCCATCTGAAGTGTTTTTATGATCAACCACTTTCTTTACTTCCTCCAGAGTAAATTTTATTTATTTAATTGTGGCTCTGGGCAGTGCACAAAGGATTAAAACCAGCAGCCAAACATAATGTGTCAAAAGGAAAATACTAATGTTATGCTGCATTGCATTATTACAAGAATTAGGTTCTTGGGTAGGGGATCTTCATGTGTATGAATGCCAACACCAGCTAAAGAACTGGCAGTTATGATTGAACATGTTTGTATTTATAATAATAATAAGCACTGCCACTTAACTCCCTAAACTTAACAATTGTTGTTAAGAAAGTTGAAAAAATCTGAATGATGGAAACAGCTGAATACAAGAGAAACATTGATAACCACACCAAAAATATTGGACATTGACAAAATTTCCATCTGTCTACTACAGAAGACAAATACTGTTTGGATCTGTGCATATACTACAGCTATCTGTTAAAACATCCTAGGTTCTTGGGAAGAACACGATGTGTCTGAAGGCCAATAGCAGCTAAAAATTGGAAGTGTGACTTCACATTGTCATGAACAGAGAATAATAATGCCAAACAACCTGTGCCTATCCTGGGTCCTCAGGGTGGACTTCATAGGGAGATAAAAATATGAAATCCTGTCTAAACATCTGGATGATTATGCGACCAACCATAATAGTTGCCGGTATCTAAAAAGATTCCAAGAGCAGAGCAACCAGTTGATTTTATTTCATTCAGTTCAATTTCTATGCTGCCCATAATGATTCTGCAGGGAATGGCAAATATTTGCACAAAAGGTTGCCTTTGTAATTTAGTCCTTTTTTGGAGTTGTGAAAGTTGTGTAGTTTTACCATGTGAAATATCCAACCACAAACATTGGTGTAAAAGTTTCAGTCTCCATGGCTATTTCTTAGACTATAACCCCATGAATAATGAAGTATTCTTATATATGGATATGTTTTTTAATATAACTAGTGATTGTTAATTTTTATTGCCTCAGAGTTTAATATATACATGTTAGACCTATTCAAAGAACTGGAATTTCCAACTTAATTAGACTGGTCTTTCCAGATATGGTACAAAACTCATGATCACAATAGTTTGCTCAGTTTTTGTATGGCTGTGTTTTTCTCCCACCTGCCTTTCCAGTAATATAGCCCAGATAAGCCATGTGGCCTTCCAAATATTGCTCACATCTGATTAGAATCAGCTTCTAGCAGCTTGGCCAATGGTGAGGTATGGCAATTATCACTGTGGAATCACACATTATCTCATGATTTAGAATGATGGCAATCTGCTGGCTAATTTTATATTTTGTGGATTTTTTTCCCATGGACTAACTTGGTCTGTAGTTAGAGATTGAGATACACCTTTCATATGCATTCTTTAAATGATGTGGTATTATTTTATTTATAACTTTATAAATAATTGTGTTTGTAAAGAATAGCATAGAATTGCCTAAACAAACAAATAAATAAATAAATAATTTCCAGGATGATTATCCACTGGCAAGTTTACCACTTATTGGTTACACAATCAACATGCCCACAGAGGCAGATGGCATTCAGAAAGATTATGTCTTCAAACTGCAGTTTAAATCTCATGTCTACTTCTTCAGGGCAGAGAGCAAGTATACCTTTGAAAGGTAAGTATGTACCTTAATCAAAATCTATTCGAGGAACTGATTATCCCAAGTTGTTACTTTAGGGGTACTTGTATATTGGCCTGGTAATCCAATAAGAAATACACTTGTCTTTAAGAAATGGAGTCCTGCTTTATGCACCCATTTTGATAATCGCTGAAAAGAAATATATAATAGATGCTAGATTCTGCTGGGGCAAAATTGGCCTGAATCCATAGAAGAACTTTTCTACGGAGAGGTAGAAAGTGAACAAATGCATATTGTCAAAACACATAGGAGCAGCTATTTAATGCCCGATCAGCCTATAATAGGCTGGTCTCATTCATCCATGGACTGGCTGGATACTCGGCTGACCTTTATGTATCACTGACATATGGTAGGGTATTTGGGCGGTATTCCTTTCAGGTCAGTAAATGAATGAAAGAAAATGAAAACAATTTTTGCTATGTTTAGAATAGAGGCAGATAAATGTATAACCCCATGATTCTTATTCATTATTAAAAAAATACTTTCCTCAGTTGATCTAAGTAGTTAAGCTGTATAAACATCCAGATTCAAAGGGCAAAATGTATTACAGAGCTCTTACGGATATGCATGTAGACCTGCTAGGAACATATTAAGCTATGCATGACTTTCCCCAAAAATACATATCAATTCTAGAGAATAGCTGTGAAAGCCCAATAAAAAAACAGTCATTTTACAGTGTTCCCCACAGGCTCTACCTGCACATCCATAAGTGCTCAAGTCTTTCTTTTCTTTTAAAATTTGGATCTCTGTAAAAAGATCTCTGTTAGATATGTCATCTAATCTCTGTTAAAAAAAAATTCCCCTCATCAAATTTGATGGATCATTTGATATAAACAGACAATGGTGTAGTTTCATTAATGAGTAATATATTTATTCAGTGCTATCTTTACTTTCTGGTAATATGTAATATTTATTATAATTTATTACAATCTATGACAGTGGTTCTCAACCTGTGGGTCGGGACCCCATTTGGGGTCGAACGACCATTTCACGGGGGTCGCCAAACAACGCAGTCCACCATTTTTTCCCCCTTTTCCTTAGCTGTGCTACTCTGTTTTATTCTATTGGCTTTTGAAAGCCAATAGAATAGACTCTCTTGAATAGAGTCTAATTCTATTGGCTTTCAAAAGCAATAGGAATTGTCCAGGCTGTCTCTGCCCTGCTGAGCCTGCCAAAAGTCCCATTCTGCAAACGGTGCTGCACCAGTTGAGTAGTCCTCGACTTACAACCGGTTGAGTAGTCCTCGACTTACGACCGGTTGGGGGTCGCAGCATTAAAAAGGTTGAGAACCACTGGTCTATGACCAACATACTGTATATACATAAATGCATATATATTTATGTATTGTATATGTACATAAAATTCTACATTATTGATAACAATTAAAATAGTAAAAAAGAAAAAGGTGGGGGAGGGTAAAATATTGAAAATATCAAATAAGTGCAATTTTCTTGAACAATATGTGCTGGGTGATATGAAATCATAACAGCACGGAGAGCCAGTACAAAAATTAGATTAGTTTTAAAAAATATTCTCTATGTAGTATTCTCCAAATATTCTCCATTGTGGAACTTCTTTTTAATATGATGTAATATGCATTTTACAATGAGGTAAGTAGCTATTGTTAATCTCTTGTTCATAAAGAATATCGCCATTAATATTCATCCTAGTATTCTCTATTATGCTCTGCCCCTAGAAGTGAGCAGCTGTAATACTACAGTTGCTGTTCTTTTCAGTAAGGCAGTAAAAAGGGAAACTAAGATGATACGAAACCAACTATGAAAAGCTACTACATAGATCAAGAGTCAAAACCTCATGATCTTCAAATGCTAGTTAAACCGTTGGATGTTGCTTTTCTCTTCAGGTGGGTGGAAGTAATAAAGAGAGCCACAGGTTCTCCTGGAAGATCCAGCCTTCTGACCACAAAGGATGAAAAGGAAAGTAACACAAACTGAAAAAAGGTAGAGCTGGCTCTCTGTTGTAAATTATATGCAACAATCTGGTGGAAGACAGGAGTCTGACTTTGGCAACAATCAAAGGAGAAGACTTCTGTTATTTACTGTAGACCGTGATCAATTTTACTGTAGTATGAAACATGGACTAAACTCCCACTGGACTCAAATCCAAAGAGAAAACATGGGTGCTGGATTTATATATGGCTCAATGTTATTGTTTCTATTTATAAGAACAGAATAATTGGAAGTGTTTGGTTGGTTGGAAATCTTGTGATTTTAAATTGATTTCCTAAAACTCTTGAATAGTTTGTATTTAGTAATAATCTTTGTGCAACATGCACACCAGATAGGCACCCCCATCTTGCAAGCCATCGTTACATTGTTTATATGGTATTTCAACTTGCAGTAAAATGGAGAGTTCTGAAAATTGCCAGCAACATAAATTTTCATTTTGCAAAACTGATATGATGCTTTTCTTTTTGTAGAGGAAGTAAGCGAATTGACTGGAAATTTTGCTCAGAGCGTGCAGTTAATTCTGATACAAAGGAAATCATGTCTGTAGCACTGCAGTTAATATTTTGAGTTCCCTATGTCTGGATATTGTTCTCACTGGTTTCCTATACCTTTGTGTTTCTCATGCCTTTTGAATAATATTGCTCTATTTTCTTTCTCTCCGAGTTATAAATATGGACACAACCTGGTGGAATAGAAAAGTCAGTTTAAAAAAACAGCCTGTTCCCTTTGCAGCAGAAATAAATATCTGCCAGTTCATGTCTGAACAAAATCAATCAATTTAAAAAAATAAATTTGAAGCTGGGTGTTTGACCATTAATTATGGAAAAATAATAAGGTACTAATGAATTTGTATTCAAAGGAATACATAAATGCCAAGGATTTACAATGTAAAACTGGAACAGGCATAACTTCAAATGTACGGTATATATTCTGTTATTATGATGGTTCATCTAATTTAGATACACAGGTACAAGTCAGAAATAACAGATATCCCATTCACAGTTGTCTCCTGTAACTTAGTGAAGTTCTCCTATGCCATGAAGTCAAAGTTGATGTGTCTGTCTATACGGTATATTTCAAGGAAGATGAAAAAACTACCCTGGCAAGAAGGCTCCATGCCATGGTAGCGCAGTGGTTAGAGTGCAGTACTGCAGGCTAACTCGCTGCTCACTCCAGTTCGATTCTGAATGGCTCAAGGTTGACTCAGCCTTCCATCTTTCCAAGGTCGGTAAAATGAGGACCCAGGTTGTTGGGGAAAATATGATGACTCTGTAAACTGCTTAGAAAGGTCTGTAAATCACAATGAAGCAGTATATAAGTCTAAGTGTTATTGCTATTGCTATTCTTACATGGCACAGAGCCTCATATTGTCTTTGGGTAGCAGTGGAAAGTAGCTGTAGAGGGCTGGTGTTAATACACCTCTATTTCTGTTAGATTGAGCAACAGTGTGGTGATGGGTGATGTACTGTAGGGGAAACAGTGTGGGGTGAAATGTTATCTTAAATTTTGTATTTTGGTATGTGAGAGGCTGAAAATAAGACGACAAAAATTCTGATTCAGTTCATTACTCATGGAATTGATTCAAAAACTATATAAAATTAGGGTTTCTTTCCTACGAAGGGCAAAGGGAAAATTCTGAAATCTTTCTTGATGAAGAGCAAATTCCTAAAGATGGCTATTCATTGTATCTTCTGTCTTTATTTATTAGTCTGTTCTGGGAAATAAACTATTATAGATCTCTTAAATGTGTTTCACTTGTAATCAATCATGCATAAACTGGGCTTTTTAATGGTTGATAGGATTTCATGAATAACACGTGGCAACAGCAACTCCTTTGGGGGGGCAGAGGTTGTTGGATTTTTATTTATTAAGAAAACTCATCAAAGTATATTAGCTCTTTCAAATTCACCATATACCCTAGTAAGTTTTAACAAGGATTTACTGCTAGACAAGATCAGGTCTTCTTCTCTCCCTGCTCTTTATCCTAACCATTCAATAGATTCAGATTAAAAAGACATAACTTTTTTTCCTGTGTTTGTGAATATCTGATCCTAAGGTTTTTCTAACTGCATATATGCTTGCAAGCTATGAAACTGCTTTAACATGCATGTGCACCTTGGTGTTTAAAATTATGCTACTTTCTGTACGTCCCTTTAAAGATAAGGGTAAAAATGCATTGTTTTCCCTCTGCCCTCATTGACACCTGAGCTATTATCTGCAATGAATAGAAAAATGTCTATGGCACAGCCTCTTCTTGACTCTGGCAGAATTTTGCAGATTTTCCATGTCGGATGCTCCCTCCCCCCAAGAAAAAAATAAAACCAGTCATGTAATAATATCCAATCCTTTTTGAGTCTCTTTAAATATCATTTGCTTTATGTTGCTAATAGGGTTACAACATATAGTTGTCTATAAAATCAGATGACTAATTCTTCTCACTTACCTAAGATCAAGCTTTACCTCAGACTAAAAAAAAAATAACCTAAGGAAAGTGTACATTAATTAGCATCAACTTGAAACCCTGCATTCATTCCATCAAACAATACCAGTTATCTTTGACTGGGGAGACCTAGATTCAAGTCTACCCCATGGCATGGAAGTTCAGTGGGTGACAGATCACTAACATTCAGCCCAAACTACCATATTGGATTGTTTGTGGAAAAATTAGATGAGCAGGTACTTATCTTGAGCTTCTGGAAGAAAAGCAAAACGTAAATCTAATGAATAAAGAAGCAAAGTCAAAACTTGTTTTACAAGTTAATTTTATTGGAAGTGGCAGATCCCTTTTGCTGCTTATTTGAATAGCAATAATTATTACTTTGAGTATTGGAGTCAATTTGGGAAGATTTTGGCAATACCGTGTGGATTAGCATAAAGTACCTTTTATGAACAGCACAAAGTAGCAGCTTCTGTTCTCCATTAGTATACTTTTATATGTTGTGTAAATAATTCGGAGAAATAATGGTAAAGAAATTGGATTCATATTCTGAATCCCAGATATTTCTTAAGAGCATTATGTTCCAGCATAATCTGCATATTACCAACCAACCATTTTTCAGGGAGAATAAACAGAACTGGAAGATCTACCTCCACCCACAACTGTAATTATTAGGCAGTAACGTCTTTCTCAAGTCATCCAGGGCACTATCAGATGTTACAGAATTAGAAAATGATACTTGAAGACCTCCCACTTCCATTTTTAATACTGCTATAGATCTGCTAACTTCCTACTTAAGAGTTTCAAATTGCTTAGAAAACGATAGGATACCTCCTAAAACTATTCAGGTCCAACACAGAGTAAACAGTTAAAGAGACAGAACAAAGAACACATTTCAGGAACATCACCTAGAATATTCTTCACTGGTTGGCACCACACTTTATTTCAGTTTAACAGAAAATTTTAGCCACATTTCACAAACAAAGCTCTAAATGTGTAGAAACTTTGGAAGGACTCTGTTTCTCTAACTTGTGGGAGTAGTTGATGTCTCTCCTCTTTAGTAAGTCCATAATACTTTGCTTGTCAAAATTACTGAATCAGATATGAATTGACAGTAACGAATACTGTATAGCAGCAAAAGGCCTTGCCACACTAGAAGCATTTCTGCTTTGAGCTATTGTCACTGAAACGTGGCCAAGGGCAGATTACAGCAGCAGACAAGCCTGCCTCACAAAAGGGGCAAGCAGACTGAGGAGGAAAATATAACCTGTATAATTAAATTGAGAAAGTCTAAAGAAGATTCTCTTGAGCAGTGTTTCCCAAACTTGACAATTTTAAGGCATGTGGACTTCAACTCCCAGAATTCCACAGCTTCTGGGAGTTGAAGTCCACATGCCTTAAAATTGTCAAGTTTGGGAAACACTGCTCTTGAGTAACAGCCTTCTATTGCTATCTAGCTGATTGGCAAGAGATCATCTATGTGCTTAAGTAAACTTTGCCTCTGGCCAGAGGAGAAACCCACCAGCATCTCCTTCCTTCTTGGAATGTGTTTGTCTTAACAGTTTTGATTTTCCAGCAATCAGGATTTTGCTTTGAAACAAGGTCTGACCTGAGCAAAATTGATTATTGTTTAAAAACCTTCATGAAATGCATTGTAGAAATTACCCTCCCAGTACTGCAAAGTAGTCCATGACCATTTGCTTTACAAATCCCATCATGGGTGCATGACACATACAGACATAAAGGCTCTGAAATGACTGGGAATTCATAGCACAATGTTAACATCCAATAGCAGATAACAATTCAAGATGTAGTTCTGGTGGAGCTGGTGGGGCTGGGGGGGGGAGGTTCACCCTTTTCATAAGCAAAAAAGAGCAGACTCATCAGCGTGCTGAAGACAGATGGTTCCTACTGTGTGAGAACCTGAGGATGAACAAGAGAAATCTGTCAGGCTTTTCCACCGTAAGTTATTAAGCCCAAAATAGATAGCATCACAGGCACGTATGCTGCACGTGGGGGATTTCCTTAGTTAGGTGAGTACAGTCTTTGTATGTCTCTATGTTGCACTTTTTCATATGTTCTGTGCCTCACAATAGTGGCAAGCTGAAATTCAACAGCCAAGATGGGAGAGCTTTGCATGTCACCTGTGGCCCTGAAGTCTCAGATGGCTCACCTTCACTTTATAGATATATATACAGGTGTGTTATGTACACCAGCAATCCCCAACCTTTCTGGCTACACAGACTGGTGGTGGGCATGGGGGAGGGGATGGTTTCGCATGTGTAACCTAATACTGCCCATGCACAAATGAAGCTTCATGCACTTGCCCATTTGCATGGCTTGGTTCCCAACAGGCTGAGGACTGGGGGCTGGGGACCCCTAATGTATACCATAATCTTTCTTTAGATTCAAAAACAGGCAGAACATTGCTTTGGGCTAAATATTCAGTCATGTGTAGCCAAAATTGGTGTGGATTAATACCAGAAGGGATTTTTAGTATCCTGTCCAGAGACCATTCAAAGGACTAAGTTATAGAAACTGACTTGTACAGGAAGGAATCCACAATCTATAGCACTTACTTAAATATTGTGGGCACAAACAAAAAGCAGCATATATTAGAAATAGGTAGTTGCTCTTTTGACGCTATTAAGTTTGATCAGGCTAACAGCTCTTGCTGATTTTACCTTTGCACTCGTTCCACCATATATGCAATTAGTTTATCTGAGATTCCAGGGCAAGACTCTTCAGCTAAGCTAAAAGCATTTTCAAGTTCTTCCATGGCGCCTACGTTTCCTCCAGTCTGCTTGTGCTTATCTTTCAGCTGCCAAAAAAATAAAATTAACATTTTGTTTGGAACAGTCAAAATATTTATTTTAAATTTTCATTTTATGTCAGAGATGATAGTATATACTGCATAATAACAGTCTCAATTTTAATATGTAAGTTTATTGCTTTCCACCCATATGAAAAAGGGTGTCATAGACAGATAATCCTCAATTCACAACCATTTGTTTAGTGACTGTTCATTCATTTAGTATTTAGTGATGGGCACTGAAAAAAGTGTATTATAACAATTTTTCATACTTAGGACCATTGCAGCATCTCCATGGTCAAATGATCCAAATTCAGATTCTTGGCAACTGGCATGTATTTATGCAGTGTCCCAGGGTCATGTGATCACCTTTTGAGACCTTCTGACAAGTAAAGTCAATGGGGAAGCCTTTCATTTAACAACTATGTTACTAACTTAACTGCAGTGATTCACCTAAAACTGTGGCAAGAAATGTCATAAAATGGGGCAAAACTCACTTAACAACTATCTTCCATTAAAAATAGCCTGCACATCTACCACCCAGTAAAAACATTTTTAGCGTGGCTTTTCATTTCTCCAAACAGCACAATCTCTGGAATCTCCTATTTAAGTTTCAGCATACTTGGCATTTACATTTCAGAAAAGTGTTTGCTTTGGATAGACTCTGGCAGCATAAGATTTTTTTCTTTAAGAAATTTCTCCAAAAGAAATTGAATAGCTAACTGAAAAGCAAAACCAAAAGCAAAAAATATCAGTAGAAGAGCAATCAGTCTATAACCAAAAGGTTGTCTGGCTGAGTATCTTTCCCCTTCAGTATCAGTATGGCCTATATACCCGTAATGCAGGGGTTCTCAACCTTGGCAACTTTAAGACTTGTGGACTTCAACTCCCAGAATTCCTCAGCCAGCTTTGCTGAGGAATTCTGGGAGTTGAAGTCCACAAGTCTTAAAGTTGCCAAGGTTGAGAACCCCTGCTGTAATGTGTCCTGAAGAGATCCTTAGCTAGTCCAGTTACCCTTTGCTCTATGCCTCTCACATAATCAGGGTGCAAAACAAGGCAAAGCTGAGCACTGATTGTGGGAGAAGAACAGCAATGTGTATTACTCCCTCTGGAAGAAAAATCTTTTTACTAGACAGAACACACTGAAAAGATGCCAGACTGGCACCAAAGAAGCAGTGAACTGATTTTAAACAGATACTGTGATGCTAGTTTGTTACCACTTCTTTTGGTTTTGAGTATTTTTTGGCTTGCAAGAGGTATTCTGTACTGAATTGGATGTGTCATAACCAGAAGGACCCTGCAATTCATCTGCATGCTCTACCTGACATCTAACTTTTTTTTTGGCATTGTGAACCACCATAAATACTTGCTATTTAAATATAAAAATAAGCCCCTATGCATGAGCCAACAGTACTGGTAAAAACTATTTAGAAGCCTTAGTGAGTATTGGATTTAGATACCTGTATAGAACTTGTATCTCATTCCTCCTTTCAAAAATCATCTTTTCCTATGCACTTGCTTTTCAGATTCCTATCTATTTCAGAGAGCCTCACCTAGTTATCCAAGCCCTCTACATCAGAGGTCCCCAACCTTATCAGCACCAGGGACCGGTTCTGTGGAGAGAGGTTTTTCTGCGGACTGGAGGGTGCTTGGTTTTGGATGGGGCTTGGCTTGTTTGTGGGGACCGGTTGCTGGCATGCCATGGCCCGGTCGACTGGTTGGGGACCCCTGCTTTACATGTTACAAAGAAGTTTACAAAAACTGCTCAGAATGTGCCAGAGACTCACCTCTCTAAAGACAGGACGGACAAGAGTAGAGAGACACTGGGACCGGGGCTGCCTCTTGATAGGTTCAGAAGCCTGGAAAGAGAAAAAAAAACAAGGTTGCCAGCTAGTGTTTCCCTAAGCAAGAACTCCAATTGTTAGAACAAGAATATTCAAGAACTGGTTCATATATTATGCTAAGCCAGGGTTTGCTTTAATCAAGATTTTGTTGAAAATGCCATATGGCCTGATTCATAATGCTGAGCGTACATGAGGATCCACAAACCAAAATGTTGTTGTGCCTACATCATGCTAAATGAAAATCAACATCTTTATGGCTAATGTAATGTACAAACCTAGCCTGAATGTTTTGGATTACATGTTCCATAATCCCTGGCCACTTGGGCTGATGCGGGTTGAAATCTGGGGTGCACTATGTTGCCTACCACCATCTACATTTGCTTTTTATCCACAAAAATGTAGTGTATTGCCAAACATCATGAACCTATATTGTTTTGAAAGAAACAAGTAAACAAACATCATTAACTGCTTTCTATTCTTCCCTACAGACTCTCAGCAATCCCACTCTGATTTCAAAAAAAGCCTAAGGCTGGAATGACATCCTATTTGCCACTTGTATCTGGTACTAATGATAAAAAGGAAAAAGCAGCCAAAGCAAATGTTTTAATACTGTATTGTTTTAGTACAGAGAAACATTAAAGTTCTTCCAGACCTACTATCAATGGTTTGGTTCTTCTCAGCTGCAAAAAACAACAACAACCCCAAACTGACCTTTTGAGACCCATGATGAGGCATCCCTTTATGCAATTTGTTCAGGGAACTGGGTCGAATAGTTGGAGGGAAAGTCCAGATGGGCCCTTGATCCCTCTCATCTGCATCTCCATCACTAAGAAATAAAAAAAAACTTGTATTCAAAAAAATATGTTGAACTGGAGAAATTACATTACAGATCAAAAATCAGAGAAGAGTTTCCCCAACTGCTTCTATGCCCTCACAATTGGCATGGTGTATCCTGACAGTCAGAACAATTAACCAGTGGAACAACCTGCCTCCAGAAGCTGTGAGTGCTCCAACACTGGAAGTTTTTAAGAAGAGACTGGACAGCCATTGTCTGAAATGATATAGGGCAGTGATGGCGAATCTTTTAGAGACCGAGTGCCCAAACTGCAACCCAAAACCCATTTATGTATCATTGGGTGCCGGATGGGCGTGGCCCACTGGGTGGGACTAAAAAGTTCAATCAATTCCAACTTTGCGAGATCTTTTTTTTTTCCCGCAAGAAGTTGAAATTGATTTAACTTTTTTTTTTTTTTTTGCACACGGCGGCGGAGGCCTAGAGCAAAAAGGTTTTATAAAACGCAACTGAAGGCCTAGGACTGGGGCGATGGTGCGCATGCCCACAGAAAGGGCTCTGCATGCGACCACGGGTATAGGGTTTTTTGCCTGAGCAGGGGGTTGGACTACATGACCTCCAAGGTCCCTTTCAACATTATTATTATTATTACTACTACTACTACTATTACTATTATTATATATTATCAGGGGGCTAACATTTGATGTGATATCACATGCACTATTTTTTCTGGCAGGTTCCCAACAAGGAACCAAGTTTGGATATTCATTTCACTTTAAAAAAAAAATGGAAGCATCTAACATTAAAATAATTAAAATAATATATGTTATTCCTTTCTCATCCACACCCAAAAAGCCACATCAATTATATTCATGTTAAGATCTACAAAAGATTATTTTCCATGAAACAAAATTTATACAGTTCAGATTCCTCTCACTAACATCTAACTGTGAGTTATTCTTATCTGGAAATGGAGCAGGAGACAGGGAGTATACATACATGTCAGAGTCATCTGAGCTGGAGTCCTCACCGTGCCCCTCTGATTTCCACCGTTTGTACCGGTCAATGAGTTCCATGAGAAATGATGTTTTCTTTGTGTAACGTGTAATAAATTTGTGCTTTAGCAATTCCTTTGCAGTGGGCCTCTGTGCCAACAAAAGAGACAAAACAAGGAGTTTCAGCTAGCAGAAACCCAAATAAGAAGTGGACATCATTTTTGGCTTTCTGAAGAGCATTTTGGTTTAGAAAATGACTCGGGCAGACTTACTTTTTAATTAATCTTACATCCACACTTCCTCCAGAAGATCAGAGCAGTATACATAACATTTTTCCATCAACAATGTTGTAAAGTAGATTGGGCTGGAAAGCTGATAGCATGACTGGCCCAAAATTACCACAATCTTCTGTGAAGGATAAACCAGAACTCAACTCTTCTCTAGTCCCTTAACTCATCTCCAAAGGTCAAGTATCATATTCTTTTAATAACTTTTGCCAGATATTCTGACACAGTACTCTGTATAAAGTCAAGGAAAAAAAGCCACTTACAAATCTGGGGTCCTTGTTAAGGCAGGCTTCCACAAATTCCTTAAAAGGCTTACTGTGGTGCCCTTCTAATGTTGGAGGGTTGTTCTTGGGAATCAGGAAGAGAACCCTCATTGGATGCAGGTCAGAATTTGGAGGCTCTCCTTTTGCCAGTTCAATAGCAGTAATGCCAAGAGACCAAATGTCTGCCTGGAAGAAAAACCAAAGGATATGAACTCAGAATATTCCACCTTAATTTGCCCATGGAAGCCAACATTGTGTGGTCATAGACTTTGAGTCACATTTCCAGAATACAATAGTTCAATTTACCTTCTAGAATGATTCTCTCTCTCTCTCTCTCTCTCTCTCTCTCTCTCTCTCTCTCTCTCTCTCTCTCTCTCTCTCTCTCTCTCTCTCTCTCTCTCTCTCTCTCTCTCTGGTGTGTGTGTGTGTGTGTGTGTGTGTGTGTGTGTGTGTGTGTTGATATATGTAAGTAGGAGCAAAACTCTGCTAGTATACTCAAACATTACCATGGGCAAAGGATGTGGATATAACATACTGTAAATCTTTTATTTTTTCTACATAGGGCAATTCCCTGGTGAGATAATATACTCATGGTCTTTTTACTTCTAGTTGCTCCTCTCAGCTCACCTTGAAGTCATAGGCTGATTGCTTGATGACTTCGGGTGCCATCCAAAAAGGAGTCCCAACAAAGGTGTTTCTCTTGATTTGAGTGTCTGTCAGTTGGCCAGCCACACCAAAGTCAGCTAGTTTCACATCCCCTTGTTCCGAAAGTAACACATTGGCAGCTGTTTATACAAAAAGGTATACAAGTAACTTAATCAAAGGGGGGTTATTTCTCTTGTGGAAAGATAGTAACTTTTGAAGATTTGGCATATAGTTTTCAGTTAATTTTCAAGAAAGAGAAGATGACAAATAATTATTTAAAGAACTGTAACAGGAAAGCAGAAGACAGCCAGAATTTTGATTCAGTCCTTAAGTCTACTTCTCGGACAACTTCCTTATAAATTCAGAAGCCAAACAATGAGATATTATAATTGTCCTACCTGAAATATTTAATTCTATTTTTCATTCTCTGTTCTTTCCATGTTTTATATCTTTCCTTTCTATATTCTAGTGGAAAAACCATTGTAATTAACCCAAATGTACCCTATATTCTGGTTTAAAAAATCACTATCCAGAAGTACTGTACTGAACACAATTTGAAAGTAACTGCACAGTTTATACACAAAGCATAAATCTCATCAAAAACCATTATTAATAAGATTATACTAGTACCATCCTTTTATGAAAGGGAGTCACTTGTTTCTATAGTATACTTACTATAGCAAATGGATTCAAAGTTGTAAAATTTATGCTGATTTCAAATTATTTACATTTATTATTATTCATTACAAACATAGTGCTTGGCACAGTAAAATAATATGCTTTCTGTTTCATAATCCCCTTTTCCTCTTAAAAAAACATTTTCCTCTTAAAAAAACATAAATGATCTTCATTAATCTGTTGCAGATTTATGTCAGCATTCAGACTCCTTAGTTTAATACATGATCACATAAAGGTATATACTTAGCTAGATTCTTCTTCCTAGGATATTAGTGCAAACAAGCAACAAATATGGATTCATTGATCTCAATAAAGAACTGCCAGGAATGAACACAACGTGTAGTCTGTGTGCCTTACCTTTGATGTCTCTGTGGATTTTCCTCTCAGAGTGAAGGTAGTCCAGACCTTTAAGAATTTCTCGCAGGATTGTGGCAATGTAGATTTCTTCCAAGGGACCAGGCTTGAGCTGAAAGACAAGGGCAGAAATAAGTCCATGAAATATATAAAATGACTTTGGCTATCAAGTTTTTCACTCCTCCTCCTGGCTTCCCATTAGAACAGAAAAAAGAATGTATGTGAAGATCTATGAGTACCAAAAACTATATTTTAAGTTATCATTTATATTTTCTACAGGGGCGGTCATGATAGTCAATTTCACCCAAAATAAAGTGGCAGTTTGACTACCACCAGATGTAAAAAAATACACACACACACACACATACACACACACACACACACCAGGAGAGTATAAATATAAAAAATATACTTTACTAAAGGCTGCCAAGCCTCGGCCGGTTAATTAGTGTTCCAGATGTTTATGCAAATTTTCCAGCATATGTGAGATATCACATATTGTAGGAATCTAGGCTGGATCTCCCCGCCCTCAAAAAAAATTGGAAATGGCTACGAGAGGAAGAGGAGAGCACTACAAAACAGTATCTTCCATTTCCAATCCTTGAAGCCAGTCCAGAAGGATACCATGGTTGATATTAAAACATGCCAGCTGATCCAAAAGTGTCAGGATAGTTGCACCATTTCCATCCTAACCCCCCCCCAGCCCCCCCCAACCCCCATGAGTGGGATCAATACTGTCTCGATACATTAGCCTAAACCCAGATTGAAAAGGATCCAGATAATCTACTTCATCCAAGGTCAGAATATCAAATCTGCTGACTTGATGGCGCCAAATACCAGTTGGGTTAGGTAGATGGTCATAACTGATTATATGAAATCTTGAGCTGCTCCTGAGTTGGCAATTCTGTCTGGTAAGTTAATAAGCGAAACAATAAAACTACTTACTAGATCCAGAGCTGAGCCACCTCCCAAATACTCCATGATTATCCACAGTTTGGTGCCCTGTAGATTAAGTCAAGCAGATATGTCAAATTATCATAATGTTTAGTTAAATCCATCTACTGTATTAGAAATATTAGACAAAATGGACTGCCCTTCATCTCATATATAGTTTCTTAATACCAGAAAGACCTAGCTGTCTCATTGACCTTTGTAACTAATTCATGGTGATATTTTTTATAGTTTAAAAATTATATAAACAGTACCACGATAACCAGTTTCATACAAGAATGTTAGCATAAGGAAATACAAGGAAACTTTAACTTTGCTGCACACAAATTGAAACTCTCATAACAACCCTTTAGGCAAGAAGATCAGCATTTCAGAAGCAAAGTTCATCCACCACAATCAAGCACCTTCAATTAAGAAATGACAACAGTTTTACAAAATTATTAAGAAAGTCTAATTTAGAATCAGTAAATTTAGAGAGGGACCATTGTATGTATTATACATTCACTACATTGATTACTTAGACTGAATTTCATTCAGATTACTAGATCTTTGAAAGATTAAATATTGATCATGAGTATTTTTATTTCAACAAGAACAGAGAGAGGATTTTGAAGGAAAATCTTCCCATGTTCACTGATATTTATCCATTCATACCAGTATCTTTACCACAAGATTTTGTGCTGCAGATTGAAATATAAACAATTATTGGAAAAAAGGGAGGGCTTGTCTAAAAAAGAAGCCATTTTACTGTGCTTGAAGACAGAAGGGTTTGTGCAGCAGTTGCTTTTTGTTTCCCTTCAGTTTTATAGATAAATTGCAACATAGCTTGCAACAAAAGCATTGCAGTTCAGGCTATTTTTCTAGCTTCAGTTACCTTCAAATAGGAGCCATAGTATCGGGTGATATACGGACTGTCACACTGACTAAGAACTGTTATCTCTTGCTGGATGTCTTCAATTTCATCCTCTGCCTCTTCCAAGTCAATTATTTTGATAGCTACTACCTCCTTGGTACGGTTGTCAATTCCTTTGTACACTTCCCCAAATGATCCTTTACCAATTCTCTCCAGCTTAGTGAATAATTCCTCTGGATCAACCCGAGAGTGCTAAGTTGGATAAAAAACATTGGGGAAATGAAGAAGTGAGAGGGAAAGACAACACATTAAGACAAATTATTCAGAACTCTAAAAGGCAGAAAACAAAGGGTAGTTATTATTATTATTAGCTAGTATAACAATTCTAAATAAACCCTCCATAGGAGAGTTCATTATAAGACAGTGCAATAGTGGCTTCCCATTAGAACAGAAAAAAGAATGTATGTGAAGATCTATGAGTACCAAAAACTATATTTTAAGTTATCATTTATATTTTCTACAGGGGCAGTCATGATAGTCAATTTCACCCAAAATAAAGTGGCAGTTTGACTACCACCAGATGTAAAAAAAAAAAAAAGTCAAACCAAGAAAGTTACATCTTAATAAATTGAAAGCCTTTTATGTGTTGCAAGACTCTATGTTTAATTACACACACAGAGAGACAAATATCAATACCATGTCAATGCATAGTAGTCAATAAACGATTAACCATATTCATAAATGTGAAAAGAGAAACTGTATGCTCAAAATAGAACAAAGCTTGAATTATCCTCCCCTCTTTTGCATGTCATGAGTTCTATGACTTAGTGTAGTATAGCCTTCCCCAACCTAGTGTCCTTCAGTTATGTTGAAAATGCAAATCTTAAAAGTTACTCTGAAATAAGCCTTGAATTTGCACAGCCCTCTTCACATTCCGTGCTGGAGATTGCCAGAAGGATCGATTTTACATTTCCTGAAACTTTGGCTTATTGCTGTCAATCAGCCAAGAGTCCACATATGAAAACATCAAGTTCAGGAGAATTTTTCTAAAAGTAATTTTAATCTTACTGGTATAACATAATGCATAACATATTTCTCATCAATTTAAAGAAGAGGAATAGGAAGACTACAATATGAATACTTTCTCCAATAGTTCTGTAGTGAAACAAAACATTTGCTTTCTCTCTTGTGTTTATTTCATTTTAGATTGATTTCATAAAGTGGCAATAATTGGCTGATCTTTTCCCAGTTTATGAACTAATATGAGTATATGGAATTCTGGAGTATAAACTAGACTGGGAAATTGAAAAATATCTTGAAAAAAGGCATGCATCTATGAAGTCATCAGCTCAACCCAGAGCCGTTACTTTTTTTTTTTCAAAATAAGTCAGTGAGTGATTCATACGTAGTGACAAAGCAAACGGCAGTAAGTCCAAACCAAGCAAGCCAGGTTACTTAGTGTGACATGTGAACCAGTAATGTGGTTAATTCAGAGGACTGGCTTAGCAGAATGCCAATGAATCAGTAAGACTAATGCATGCATTTAAAAAGACAGCAGTAAGTGAACTAACCAAATGTACGATTTATGTAACAGATTAACTATGGATTTAGAAATTGAACTGGTAAGTCAGTGTTAGGTTTGCAAATAAAGGTGATATCAACACAAATCTCTCAAAATAGGAGTAACCCAGTATAGTTTTCTAAGGTTAAATTGTTCAACATGGATTTACCTTTTTTCTACATAATGTATCTAAAAGAGGAAAAATAACACTATGTAGGAAGACCGTCTGGAACTTGAGTCATTGCAACTGGACTTCTTTTTTGGTTTGAAATGTTTCGCTGCTGATCCAATAGCTTCTTTAGTCTGAGCTCAGACTGAAGAAGCTACTCGGATAAGTAGTGAAACGTCTCAAACCAAAAAGAAAATAAGTCCAGGTGCTATGACTCAACTTCCAGCAACTCTACCTGGATGACTGAGAATCTTCATCAACATATGCAAAAAGAGTTTCTGGCTGTAAATATCTTGAGTATTGTTCAACTTGTAACAGATCCTTAGAATTTCAGGGTTCTACTCATATCAGGGCTATTTAGATAAGAGATTATATTAATTTAACACCCTAAAAAACGTTTCTGAGAACCTTTCATGATTTACTTTGTAAATCCACAGGACACCCTGTGAACATCAATCTATATAATCATTATATATATATATATATATATATATATATATATATATATATATATATATATATATATATATATATATATATATATTAAAATTAACAGAGGTAGAAGGATGTATCTATCTTGCCTTTATTATTTTTATAAACAACTAAAGGCAGCAAATATACCTAAAACTCTTTCCTCCTCCTGTTTTTCTACCACAACAATTTTGTGAGGTAAGTTAGGCTGAGAGAGTGACTGGGCCAAAGTTATCCAATTTGCATGCCTAAAATGGAATTATATCTCAGTTTCCTGCTTTGTAGTCTGGTTTCTTAATCACTAGACTCGCGTGGTATTTGTTAATACATCAGTTTTTTCTGATGCAGTCTTAGATAAATGTCTCTTCTATATTGGAGATTAATTTATATGTCATCAAATTAGCTGTAATCTTTCATCAAAGTTTCTTCCACCTTGAGAATTAATTATAAAGGCTTGAAGTACTGAAGAACACTTGAAATTGTTCGTTTCCATTCTGAGTGATTTGAAAGAGGGTCAATTTTAGATTTTATCCAAAAGGAAAGCGTGCAAGATCTACTATAAAAGAATCTCAGCTTAAAACATTCTTATGAGTTGAAATATTTATTGAAGTGAAGTAATTAATGGACTCATGTTTGTGAAAATAATTTTGAATGCTGAAGAATTCAATCTTAGCTTTCATATTTTAACAAAATTTCCAGAGCTATTTCCATCTGATCTTCTGCAGCTCCTGTAAGTATAACAGTATCATAAAAATGGTAAGATATTTAAGAGCCATGTACATCTCTTACAGCTGACCAATATCAAAAGAATAGGTACATTCTGTGTCTACTTTGCGTAAGAAGCTCAATCCAGAAATGGCTGTTCCATATAGGTAGTAGAAAGCACATTAATATGGAATATGGGCGGATGAGTATCAATTATTTTCAGAGAATTGTCAATAGACTATATTATTTAAATAATAATAAAATCCATAGGTGTCCAGAATTATTATTAATACATCATCCAAGATCAAACCAGCAAACTTTCATATATACTGATGCAGTAGTTATCCTCTCACAGTGCCTGAAGGCAGTGGGGGTTTGGATGGAGGATAATTGGCTTCAGCTGAACCCTGGTAAGACACAGTGGCTGTGGGTTCAAGGAATCTCAGGGTGTTTATCATCCTTAATTCCGGATGGAGTTTATTACTCCTGACAGATTTGGTGTGCAAGCTGAGGGTTTTTCTAACCCTCAAAGAGCAGGTGACAGTCATGGCTAGAAGAGCCTTTGCGTGACTTCAAGTTTGCACCAGTTGCACCTTTTCCTGGATTATGAGGCCCTGCTTGCAGTCACTCATGTCCTGGTCATCTATTGGTTGGATTACTACAATGTGCTCTATATTGGATAATCCTTGAAGAGTATTTGGAAGCTACAACTGGTACAGATGCGGCATTTTCAATTGGTTATTATCTATAAAGCCCCTTATGGCATGGGGCCAGGATATCTAAAGGACAATTTCATCCTGAAGGGACTAGCCTACCTCACTTGTTCTAGTAGAAGGGCCTAGTTTGGATCCTCTCTGCCAAAGAATTTAGGCTGGTGGGATTCAGGAGAAGAGCCTTCTTTGTTGCGGCCTCCATCTCTGGAATATTTTTCCACTAGAAGTGAGGTCCTCCCCCCCACAATCCTGGTTTTCTAAAAGAGTTTGAAAACTTGGTGTGCCATTTGGCCTGGGTGTCTGGCAGGGACCCAGCTATGTTGAGGGTGGCTGACCAGGTAGAGAAGACCCAGACTGCCCATTGCCCGGTTTTCAGCTTTTCTATTTAATTCCTCTACTTTTAATTGACTTCAAGGACTCTTTTACTTTTTATCATATTGTTAGCCACCCAGAGTTACTGTATCAGTGAGATGTGCAGAATAGAAAATTAATAATAACTTAAATATACAAATTACATAAAAGCAAAATATTAAAGATGCGAGGAAGAGACCAGTCACCTCCCAGAAACTAAGCTACGTAAGTTTTACTAAAATTAATCAAAATATGATGTGTGCAAGCATACAAGTACAGAACAATATGACTAGAAATGCTTTCCTTTACAACAGTGTTTCCCAAACTTGACAATTTTAAGGCATGTGGATTTCAACTCCCAGAATTCCACAGCCAGCAATGCTGGCTGTGGAATTCTGGGAGTTGAAGTCCACATGCCTTAAAATTGTCAAGTTTGGGAAACACTGCTTTACAAGAGTAACAGAAGCAGCAGAAATGCCAGACAGCTAGGAGCCGAAATATTAGGACTATTTTTCCACTTCTTTTCATTTTCATTTTCAAGATGACAGACCATGCCGAAGAGGTAATTTGAGCTAAAAGCTCAAATTTCTTAGAATGGTCTTATTTTTTTGAAACCAGATTATACGCTCCCACCTTCCCATTTATATTATCTTAATCCCTATGTGTATGTTTATCACTTGAGAAGATATGGTACAGACTCACCCATCACCATCAAGGCTTGTACTAGTTTCAATTTCTGTTCTAAGGCTTTTGAGTTAAAGACTTTTGCTCTTACTCTTAATAGGGCAACCACCGGTACTGTATGTAAATTCCACTAAGAAACTCTTTGACAGGTACAGAGTACAAGATGTAAGCAACTTTTCATACAATGCCACAACATCCATGCATGCTCTCAAAAAAGCAAGCCTCACACTTGATTTCTGCATTCAACTAACAACTATTAGCAAATACATATTAGAAATATAAATAGAATATAAACATAAAAAGAAATATAAAAAGGAAAAAAAGTATGAGGGGGCAGATAACAGGCTAGAAAATCAGCCAATCCCTCATAAACATAGGAAAAATTGTGGAAAACTGGAACATATAAAGATGTATACAGCATAATGCAAAATGGTAGAATAAATCATCCAGGGAAACTGGCCTGGTAAACATGGCAAACTGGATCATGAAAACTGATGCCATCATGGACTTTTGCAACAACAAATGTCAGAATGTAATGTAAATGTGGCCACATGCAGAAGTTTGTTTGGATATTTCAATTTCGTGTAAATAATTTAGAAACAGCCTCAAGTTCTCACTCACCTGATTGGCAAATTCCCTCAGATGAGCCATGGCTGAAGACTGGCACCACACCCATATACCAATTCTTCCACAGCAATAAAAAATATACCTTCTATTGATCATTTAGCTACAAAAAGAGAAAAAAAGTGCAGCCAATTAATGAGTTAAGATACAAACATGCTTACATTTTAACACAGACTCAGGAACCATAACAATTTAACAATCTCTATTAATCTCAGAATAGGCAACTCAGAACCTGATATTCTCTCTTAGTCTATCAATTCACAAGTGTGCAAGGAGTTGGGAAAAATTCAGCTGTATGCAGATATATATCCAGAACTGTTTGAAAAAGAATGGGGTGAACACCTGCTTGTTTAATAAATAAGAAAGAAACTCTCTTTTTTAGTAACAGTTTGATAAAGCACAGATTTCACAGTGTGGCTTTGCAAATGGAGATGTCATGAGAATTTCAGCTTAAAGCACAGTATGAAGTTTAACTTCATGATTAAGCCCAGTATGAATTATTTCCGATTCCATCCGCTCTTATGGATGTTAAGATACCAATTACGTTGGATAATGGGAACGGTACTCCAAGAAATACAGAAGAAAGAAGAAGCGGGGAGGGTTAATTACAAAAAAATCAAACCAAACCGTACAGATAACATAGACGCTTTTCCAGCGCGGGAAAAAACGACCCCTCTTATTCCCCCGTCCAGATTTATTAAGCACGACGGGGCTGCACAGAGAGGAACGTTTAGGGCGGACTGCAACGAGAAAGCAAAAAACCATCTGAAGAAACGCCTTTCCTACCACCTGCGTATAAAAAAAAAAAAAAAAGCCTAGCGGAGATGGAGATTAATTCGGAGAAGATCCCTTGTGGGTGATTTCCATCAGGTATTTCCAGATGGGCAGTCAACTCGAGATGGATATAAGGCCAAAATCTTCCCTGCCCTACTGCTGCCACCAAAGAGAAAAGCTTCTAGATACACCTGCCATGGCAACGGTTGCCGCGGTCAGCCTTACTCCCAAAAAACTTGCTCCGCCTCTGCCACCAGGCGTGTCCGAAGCCCTTCGCCTCACCTGCATCCCGAGGGTCTCCCCAGCCCAGCTGCCCCATTGTAGCTTGGCGGGCGCCAATCCAGCCTAGCGAACTCAGTGAGAGTAACTGCAGGGAGCAAAACGAAAAACAATCATGCGCAGGAATCCGACTCGCCGCGGAGTCTACTGGGAAGACTAGTTCTTGAGCCAAGCGACTTGCTAGAAAAAGGTAGGAACGGAGACTGCAATGACTATGATACATTTCAGGAGGGCAGGGCAGGAAACTCGGAAAGCGAGGATTTCTGGGAAAGGTAGTGTATCAGGCTTCGTTTTCGGCTCTCAGGAAGAAATAAAGGCTGAAGTTCCTACTGTTTGCGGCGCTTTGATTCCTTCTGGTGGTCGGATTAAGCAGTACAATTTTTGCATAAAGCAAAATGTCATATGAACTCCTCTGCTAAACCGATGTGACTAGATTCTTTTATGCAAGAAACTCGTGGAATGTTTTAAAATCAACCTTCTATGATAATTATTTAGAATTCTGAGGTAGCCATGAAGTTTAACAAGGAGCAGAAGGTTCACAAAGCAGTTAAAATAACTTTTCTTTTTATTGTAAAGTAAAATTCACAGATGAGCCCTTTCAAACTGAAAGCGATCATTTTTTTTTCATCCATTTTTTATATTTCATTGACTTGTGCAAAAATATATTTCAAGCAAGCTTTAGAACTATATAAATTAGATATTAATAAGACAATGTTGGAAAAACTACACAACACTGGAGCAGGGGAAGTGGGACTTATCCCCAAATAACCGTTAGGAATTGCACAGTAATAGATAAAGATGATTGGTCAGCATCATCTAAGTGATAAATTATTATTAGAGAACTCAAGACAGACTGATAACTTGTTAGGTTTATGCATTCTAAAATCACTTTTAGAATGTTTGTTGGAAAGATAGCTTTGTTTCACTGATGCCCAAGCAATTTGATACAATGCAACATGCAAATGTCAGTTATAAAATAAGAGCATTGACAGAAGAACCTTAAACAGCTGTTATCTAAAAGGTTTGCTCTCTGGAAGTCTGGAAATATTTGAAAAACAAATAGTTCAGTTCAAATACATGTTAACAAAGTTCCAACATATTTGCTTGGAAGTTGTATTGTTAATTAAATTTACCGGTTATAATTTGAAAGATACTCGAGAGTCAACTGTCACAGAATATAGCTGGATGTTCATATAGAGATTTCCACAGTAAATAGTTAAAACTTAATATGTTGCATTAGCATAAATCAAATGAAATATATAATACTGAATGGTCCAACCAGCAATTTAAGAATGTATTAGTAAGCGACTTAATTACACACTAAAGTCTAGCTTCAAAAGATAAAACTCAGTTTGGGTTAAATAAAATTTAACGGGAGGTATAACTGCTTTGGCCCGTCATGCTGGTTCTTAGTTTATAGCAGAATGGGAGTGGTGTCAGATTTTTCAGGTGAAAGGTGGTATCCAAATAAATATTCCAAGGGGCTCAAACCTATATTAATCTATTTAAATAATAATATTACTCTTTTTGTATTTAATCCCAGTCTATTCATAGTTTCTGCCACTGCTTTAGAAGTTACCTTAACCTTGCATTTGAATCTGAAGGTAAAGTATAAACTAGGTTTAGCATAATATGACAGCTGTATAGGTTAGGAATTACAGTTCTGAAATAAGATCTTTCTTAGATATAGACACTCCACTTCAGTATAAAGTTTATTCCTGGAAACATTCTTTTTTTTTATTTCACTCATTCCTTCTAGCAATCCACTCCAGATTACACCAGGCAATGTAAAATATGATGACTTTCTATCAGATGAAATTGGCCACGCAGAGGTGTGAATTCAAGCACAGGTCCCCAACTTTTTGGGCACCAGGGATTAGTTCCATGGAGAGAGGTTTTTCTGCAGACCGGAGGTGGCCTGGTTTCATGTACTATCTGCATCCCGCGGATGGGGCTTTGCTTGTTTGTGTGGACCGGTTTGTGGCATGCCTCATTCTTTATCTTGCTGTTAATATAATAAGAACAGCTTATGTTGAACTTCCACTGGCAGGTTGAAGCTATTATAGACATATTCATTCCCTCTAATAATTGACCTCTGACTTCCACAGTCACTTTGGCTTGAGTTCAATGAGATGCTGGATACATGATTTCTGTGGAGTGATATGCCTGAATAATATCTGGCCCATGCTTTGCAAAGTACCATTCAAGTCTTTTGGAAGACAGTTTGATCTATTGTTAAACACATGTTCAGCAATATTTCAAAAGAACAGTAGACCTGTTTGTAAAAAAAAAGACTATTTAAACTGAGAAAGAGATGAATTGCTTGTTTTGTCTCAAATCAGTGCATTACAGAGTGATTATTACTTCTGCTAACAAAAGTTTTCCTGCGGTCATGCTTTTTATTGTTTACTTTACTTAGGAAGGAAGCTGCCATTTTGTCTACTCCAGTGCCATTTGGTATGTCCCAAGGGATAAATATCTAGATACTGCTAATCATAACTGCCTTTCCCTTGCAGCACTTATTAGGTGGGATATTTGAAAGTTGGAATGAAATTGATGAGAATTCTGCCTGTTTGTCCAACAACCTGTATCTCTATGCCTGGTTGAATAATATAAATCCCTGTGCAACCTCCTCCATTTCATGTTAAGACTGTGACTAAATAAGATACTGATTTTTTATATTAAAAATATCTATGATATATTTATAAATGGAAGAAACTGCACTCGGTATAATAAAATTTACTCCCAAGCAGGTAGTTTTCAACAGTCCTCATTTACATTTTTACCACATTTTTCTAAAACAATTCATCAATTAGCAGGCAAAATTATTTGGACAATTCTTCATAATTTGAAACACAAGGAAACACTTGTGTTTCCTGCCTGAGCAGGGGGTTGGACTAGATGTCCTCCAAGGTCCCTTCCAACATCATCACTATCATTATTATAATTATTATTATTATTATTATTATTATTATTATTTGTTTTCATGTCTTGTATAGATACCTCTTTAGTCTCTGAAGCATTCTGGACTCTACACTAGAGCCATTCCTTCTTGGAACTCGCCTGATGTGCCTTCCTTTATAAGCTGCATCGTTATCCTAGATTGTCCCTGGGGGCCCAATAGGATTCCCCAACAGACTCTACTCCTTAATTATACAGTAAAAAAATTCAATTTTCCATTGCAAGACAGATTCTTCACTGTCATGTTTCAGAAAAACAACTGAAACTAGTATGTAACAATAACAATAATAGAGTTGGAAGGGACCTTTGAGGCCTTCTAGTCCAACCCCCTTCTCAGGGAGGAAACCCTATACCATATCAGACAAATGTCTGTCCAGTTTCTTCTTTAAAACTTCCAGTGTTGGAGCATTTACAACTTCTGGAGAAAGGTTGTTCCATTGATTAATTGTTCTAACTGTCAGGAAGTTTCTCCTTAGTTCTAGATAGCTTCTCTCTTTGGTTAGTTTCCATCCATTGCTTCTTGTCCTGCCTTCAGGTGCTTTCGAGAATAGCTTGACTCCCTCTTCTTTGTGGCAGACCCTGGGATATTGGAACACTGCAATCATGTCACCCCTAGTCCTTCTCTTCTCTATGAATGTGGGCATTCATAAATTATTTGTAGGTCAACATTATAGGGGTCAAATGCTTTCCATTAGTTTCTGGCAACACACATAAGTCACTTTAGATAGATGTTACTAGAGATCATGACTACTGCACTCAAACTCATCAAGCATATACTTGTATGGTGAATAGGAAGTGTTGTGTTCCAATCCACGTGCAGCAGCATGGAGGCAGTGACTCGGTTCATTAAACTGCCAAATCCAGCATCTTCTTTGTCATGTTGCAAGTCTTTGCCCCAAAGATGCTTTTTGGATTGTCTTGTTTTTCTTTGAAGATGTTTCACTTCTCATCCAAGAAGTTTCTTCAGCTCTGACTGGATGGTGAGAATAGAAAGATTTATACTCCTTGTAGACAGCTAGTCATTTGCATTCTTTTAGCAAATTGTTAGTGCTGCCTGGAGGCTTATCTGTGACTTCAGGGTCACATGAATAGTGCAAATGTATGTGGAGCCTTCTTGGAGCTGTTGAAAGGACTCGAGAGAGATGATGTCGTATCCCTCCCAATCTGTTAAGAGAGGGCTGTTCAATTTTGACATAGATGGCTTCTTTGACCCCTCTTTCAAACCAGCAGTCCTATCTGTCCAAAATGTGGACTTAGCTGTATTTTAAATCAGATGGACTGCTAAATCTTGTCCAATGGTTTTGCTCTCCTATGTTGTGCCATACATTTATGAAGTTGTTTTGATTCCCCAATGTACAGATCTGCACATGGCTCACTGCATTGTACTGCATATACCACGTTGCTCATTTTGTGTCTCTGTGTTTTATCTTTGGGATGGACAAGCTTCTGCCTTAGTGTATTCTTGGGTTTGAAGTGTGCACATATGTTGTGTTGGCTGAAGATTCTCCTGAGCTTTTCCGATATTCCTGCAACATAGGGAATGACTACGTTGCTTCGTTTATTGTTTTCTTTGTCTGCTACGGAGGAGCTCCTGCTAGATCTTTTTGAGATTTGATAAAGGCCACTTGGGATAGTCACAAGTTCTGAGGACTTTCTTGATATGTTTTAGTTTTTTTACTTTTCCATCTTTGCTGATAGGCAGGCCTTCAGCTCTGTGGTGTAGAGTTCTGATAACTCCCATTTTGTGCTCCAATGGTTTGTGTGAATTAAAATGTAAATCTATGTGTGTGGGTTTCCTGTAAATTTCAGTGTTAAAGCTTCTGTCTTCCTTAATGTATACAGCACAGTGCAGGAAGGCTAGACTATTTTCCTTAACATTTGTACATTGGGGAAACAAAACAACAGCTTCATAAACATATGGCACAACATAGAAAAGCTAACCCATCAGGACAAGATTCAGCAGTCCATCAGCATTTAAAAGGTAAAGGCCACTCTTTCGAAGACAGCTAAGTACATTTTGGACACAGAGAGAAAACCGCTGGTTTGAAAGAGGGGTCAAATGCCATCTATGTCAAAATTGAACAGCCCTCTCTTAACAGAGCGGGAGGATACAACAGCATCTATCTCCAGTCTACAACATAGTCCTTTCAACAATTCCAAGAAGGCTCCACACACATTTGCACTACTCAGGTGTGTTCACAGGTTGTTATAGCAACTCATTAACTTCCCAT